ATGGGCTTGGACGGCGGAAGGGCAATAATCACTGCCCTCACTTCTCTTCTTCCTCGCGGCGGCCATCATCGTCATGTGGTGATGATGGGTCGGAGATGGGTGATGGTGCAAGGGATTGATGGTCGTGTGGGAGGGTATGCAGGGGAGGCGGCAAGGAGAGTTGTCACCGACGAGGAGGGTGGCGGCACCGACGGAAATGGGATGAGGTGGTGCGTGTGTTCACCGAAGACGCACCCGGGTTCGTTCCGATGCAGGTATCATCGAGCTGGTTAATTTGATCTCTTCTCTGCTTTGCTCTGTATTCACATAACTAAAAAATCTCAGTAATTAGAAACCAAATACGCAATATGCAAGCTGAAGCTTGAATGGAAGTGGCAGGGGATGCGATTGGTGAAGGAAGGCAAAGCTCTGTTGGAGGCAGACTGTGGCGGTCGCAGATCTAAATTCAGGTTCCAGATCTGAATTCTTCGCTGACCGGCGCAGGGGAAGATGCGGCGAAGGAAGATGAGAAAGGAGATGAGTCGGGGTGGCGGTGGACGAGGATGTGGTGGTGGTCGTGTCTCTCACGTCGTTAGTCGTCTCTCTTGCGTCTAACTCCGGCGAGATTGGCTCTGGGCACGCTGGGACGCAGCCACACAGGGACACATTGTCGTCGGTCGTCTCTCTCGCAGCCACGCAGGGACAAACTGGGAAGAAACAAAAAAATCGGGGCCGGATTTTAAAATACTTGGGGGCTAGCAGCTATTTTTATTACACAGCTGCCCACATTTCTGGATCCAAACGACCCCCAGAAGAAGATCAGCTAGAAGAAGTCTATCACGTGCCTGGAATAAAGAAGAATCTAATTTCTATTACACACCTAACAACTCCAGGAAATTATGTCCTGTTTGGCTCCAATGGCGTACGGGTCTACAAGGAGTTAAAAATCATAGGCACGCCATTCATGGAAGGAGTGAAGCGGGAAGCCGTTTATGTGATGTCAGCAGAGTCAACCTTCGTGGATCGTGCAAGGAGGAATGAGAGGACAGACTTGTGGCATGCACGCCTAGGGCACGTGAGCTATCACAAATTGAAATTAATGATGAAGAAGTCGACGTTGAGAGGCCTACCTCAACTAGAAGTTCGAGAAGATACAGTTTACCCGGGATGTCAGTACGGGAAAGCACACCAGTTACCATACGATGATTCAAAATTCAGAGCCAAGGAGCCACTAGAGTTGATACAATGTGATCGTGTTCGGCCCAATTAAGCAACCATCAATAAGTGGGTTCTGGTACATAATAACGTTCATTGATGACTATTCAAGATATGTATGGCTTGACTTTATGAAGGAAAAGTTTGAGGCCTTGGAGAAGTTTTAGCAATTCAAAGAAAAGGCTGAAACTGAAGTTGGAAAAAGAGGTCAGGTTCTCCGTCCGGATAATGGATGCGAGTACACTTCGAGATAATTTTGGCGATACGTGAGACAACAGAGGATTCGACGTCAGTTGACCTGTCCTCGTACTCCACAACAAAAAAACGGAGTTGCAGAACGAAAGAATCGACACCTTGCGAAGACGTGTCGTAGCATGCTACATACTAAGAATGTACCGGCAAAATATTGGGCAGAGTGTATGAAGACAGTTGTGCATATAACCAATCGACTGCCGCAACCAAAGCTGGGATTCATCTCGCCGTTTGAGAAGCTCTTGAAGATCAAACCCACGGTCAGTCACTTTCGAGTATTTGGATGTGTTAGCTATAGTTTTGTGCCTGACCAGCTAAGAACCAAACTTGATAAGAAAGCTATAAGATGCATATTTGTGGGTTATGATGAACAAAGAAAAGGATGGAGGTGTTGTGATCCAGAGATAGGAAAATGCCACGTGTCAAGGAATGTGGTATTTGACGAGATGACATCTTATTGGTCACCACAGGCAAGGATAATGCCTGACTCAAATGAAATCAAAGAACAAGTACAAAAGAGGCTGGAGAAGAAGTCCAAAGTAGAAAAGGAAGAAGAAAACGAGGCAGAACAGAAGGTTGGTGAAGAAGACAAGGAAACTCAAGTTCAACAAGAATTAAATGGAAAGTTACCATGGAGATCTGGCGTATATCAAGAAGTAAAGGAAGATGAAAGCCCAAGCCAGTTTGAAGATACAATAGAGCAAGACCAGCCAGAGTTGAGAAGGTCAAAACACCAACGAAGAGAAAGTCCCAAGTATGTCTATGCAGCCTTTGTAGAAGAAATAATGCTCAGAGAACCCAGTTCATTTGATGAGGCAACATCTAAGGAAGAATGGCAAAAAGTTATGAAGTAAGAAATGGACGCCCTAAATCAAAATGAAACATGGGACTTGGTGCCAAAGCCTGAAGGTGTGAAACCCATCTCTTGTAAATGGGTCTACAGGATCAAGACTCGTCCTGATGGATCGGTTGAAAGGTACAAAGCTCATTTAGTAGCTCGAGGGTTCTCACAACAATATGGGATTGACTATAATGAAACATTCAGTCTAGTAGCAAAGATCACAACCGTACGTGTTGTACTTGCACTAGCAGCAAGTAGAGGATGGAAGCTTTGGCAAATGGATGTCAAGAATGCATTTCTACACGAAGAGCTAGATCGTCGGATTTATATGGAGCAGCCTCAGGGATTCAAGCTTATTCGTAAAGCAACAAGAAGATAAAGTAGCAGTAGTGCTCGTCTACGTGGATGATCTCATCATTACTGGGAATGACGAGCCAGAAGTATTTCAAGTAAAGGCAAATCTCTCAGTGCGCTTCAAGATGAAGGAGCTTGGAGAATTACGACATTTCTTGGGTCTGGAAGTTGAAAGGAACAAGGAAGGAGGGATTATTCCTTTGCCAGCAAAAATATGCCAAAGATCTTCTGAAGAAGTACGGAATGACGGATTATAAACCGACGACTACTTCTGTAGAAGTCAACACGAAGCTGTGCTCACATGAAGGAAAGAATTTGGAGGACACAACGATATATCGACAACTAGTGGGGAGCTTAATCAATCTTACACTGACTAGACCTGATATATCATATGCAGTAGGCTTGGTAAGCAGATTCATGCAAAATCCAAAGAAGCCTCACTTGGAAGCAGCAAAGCGGATTCCACGCTATGTAAAAGGAACACTTGATCATGGAATCTTCTACAAGAAAGGAGGAGACACAAAGTTAATAGGATACTGTGATGCTGATTATGCTGGAGATATTGACACAAGGAGGTCAACAACTGGGTATGTGTTCAGCCTTGGATTAGGACCAATCTCGCTGCCCCGGAAGGATATGCCTACTATGGCAGGAAGGGGCTTGCGCACAAAACGGCTTTCAAAAGTATTTTGGTGGGTGGGACAATCTACAGTAGAATTATCAACTACTTAGGCAGAATATAAAGCATATGCAGTAGCAACTCAAGAGTGTGTATGGTTAATACAACTCTTGAATGACTTGGGGCAAGAAGTCAACTACTCAGTACCACTACATTGCGATAATCAATTAGCTTTAAGATTGGTGGACAATCATGTGTTCCATACAAGAACAAAGCATGTGGAGGTACAATATCATGTCATCAAAGAGAAGGTGTTACATGGAAGTATTGAGATGAAGTATGTCAACACTGAGGACCAAGTAGAAGATATGTTTACAAAAGGGCTTGGAGGACCAAGACTACAAGAAATGCAACGACGACTGGAAATGATCTAAAGACATCAGAGAATTGTCGTTGAGGGGGAGTATTGAAGAACCAACTCCATTTCTCTGGATTCTTCTATCAACAACAAATAAAATAAAAGATGGAAATGGAAGAGAAGTCAAGAAGGCCCTGGAGATCATATTGGAGCCACAAATCCTACCTACCACACTAGCTGTTCTTGATATTTTGAAGTGGAATGGCGGTGGATTGTGTGTATAAATAGAGGCTTGCTATTGGGTGTAAAGTAAATTGAGTGAGTAGAAGAAAGAATAGAAAGAAAGAGAGACGTGAGGTAGTGTGTTGAGAGTAGATTGAGTGTGGTGAGAGTAGTGAGCTTGAGAGAGATAGTTGTGTGTGACGAGTCTCATAATAGTGAGTGTGAGCTTGAGTTGTCAAATTACAAACAAGTGTATAAAGTTTGTAAGAGTTGTAATTTAGTCATTATATTTTATAAAGCACTATTTCAGAGCATACTCGATCCGATAAAACTCAACAGGCTTGGATAGCAAGATCTCTGCTTCTTCTAAGATTTCCAATGTGTATTTCCTCTGTGATAAATGAATGCCTGATGAGTTTCTGGCAACTTCAATGTCAAGAAAAATTTGAGTTGTCACATGTCTTTGATACCGAATGTCTGGTGTAGAACTTGCTTTAATTTTGTGATTTCTGTCAAATCATTTCCCCCAACCCGAAGGTCGTCAACATAGACTAGGACACAAGTGTATGAATCGTCAAGGGATTTGGAAAATAGTAAATGGTCAACTTGACTGGGAACAAAACCTTGTTGAATGAGGCAATCTGTCAATTTTGCAAAGCACTGTCTGAAGGCCTGTTTGAGTCCATATAGTGACTTTTTCAGCCTGCAAACAGGGTTCTTGATGTGTGGTGGTGGCTTGTAGTCCTTAGGTAGTTTCATGTAGACCTCCTTTGTGAGGTCTCCATGTAGGAAAGCATTGTTCACATCAAGTTGGTGAACATGCCAGGATCTGGAGGCAGGAATTGCAAGGAACAGTCTGACTGTTGTCATCTTGAAAACATGAGCAAATGTGTCTTGATAATCTATCCCTTCTTGTTGATTGTATCCTTTGGAAACCAACCTGGCCTTCTCTCTTTCACGTGGGTCATCTGACAAAAACTTGTACTTTAAAATCCATTTGTTCCCTAGTGGTTTCCTCTGTGGAGGTAGAGAGACCACATCCCATGTTTGGTTCCTTTCAAGTAGGGGTGTGCAATGGTCCGGTTCGTACTGGACCACACCAGACCAAACCGTTGTTAAGACCGGACCGGACCAGACCGAGTAAAATGCGGTCCGGTCCTTGGTCCTCATGAATTTTATAATTACTGAAGAAATGGTGGACCGAACTCATATTTGGACCGGACCAAATGGACCAAATGCAAGAATGGTCTGGTCCTTGGTCCTAACATGTCTTTCACTAATGGACCGCGGTTCTCATGAGTTTGGTCCGGTGCGGACCGAACCGTTGCACACCCCTACTTTCAAGGGCATCAATCTCATGGTTGATGGCCTGATTCCACTCAGGTCTGAGGGCTGCTTCCTCATAGGTTTCTGGTTCTTTGTGACAAGAGATGTTGAGAATGTACTTTAAGTGGTGAGAGGAAAGACAATTGTAGTTTAAAACGTATGAGATGGGATAGGTGATACCTTGGACCTTTTGCTGCAGAGAGTGACTAGTGGAAGAAATCTGTTGAAGCAGGTTGCAATGGTATTTTGTAGTTTAGAGGGACGTTTGATGGTTCGGGTTTATTTCTGAGGGCTATGGGAAGGTCAGGTGGGATAGTAGAGGGTGGGGAAGGAGTATTAGGTGGGTTAGAAACTGCAGGAGGAGAGGTAGGAGATGGTGGGATGAGGGAAGGTGGAGAGGAAGGAGGGGGATCATCAGGAGCAGGGCATGGTGGAATAGGATAGGGGGATGGTGGGATGTAGGAATGATCTGGAGAAGTAGAGGGGTCTGACTGGAATGGAAATTCAGTTTCATAAAACTGGACATCTTTGTAGATGAATGTTTCATTGGAATTGAGGTCATAAAGTCTGTATTCTTTGATCCCTGAAGGATATCCTAGGAATACACATTTTCTGGATCTCTATTGGAATTTGGTTATGTGATTTTTGAGAGTGGAGGCATAGCACAGACATCCAAAAACATTCAAGTCTTGAAGGTCAGATGGTTTGTTGTATAATTTTTGGTAGGGAGTAAGGTTGGCTAGGATTGGAGTTGGGACACGATTAATGAGGAACACTGCATGTTTAACACAGTCTCCCCAAAAACCTATAGAAAGATTAGCTTGAAACTTTAAAGCTCTAGCAATGGCTAATATGTGCTGATGTTTTCGTTCAACTTTGCTATTCTGTTGGTGGGGTCTCCACACAAGATATTTCATGTGTGATGCCAGTGTCTGCAAAGAAGTCAGACATCTGGAATTCTTGTCCTTGATCACTACGAATGGTTTGAATAGAAGTATGGAATTTAGCATGGATTACAAAACCGTACCGGACATCAAATCGGAATCGTCTTTGGCATGGTAAATCATGGTACAACCATGGTTCAACCGTTTCCTACCGGTAAATACCGTTTTTGGAATAAAAAAATATTTTTTTGTTAAAAAACCGTACCGGCAAAATTAGGGTACCATATCGGGAAAATACCGGAATAAAACCGGATTATACCGCCTAAGAAACTGTAAAAAAGTAAATAAGCTTAGGTAACATTCAACAAAGTGTTCCAACGTGAAAATAGACGTTCAAGGCCAAAAATTCAATTGATATTTTTTCTAAAATTAATTCTCTATACTAAACTATGAAACCAACATACAAATATTTAGAAATCTCAAAATTGACCGCCACCCTTTACCAATCCTAAGCAACTAAAACCTTTATTACTAGCTACTTTCATTATTCTACTACTAACCCCAAAAGCCAAAATCCCCCTCATCAAAAAATAAAAATCCAATAATCCCCCTAACTACCGAATACTTTCTAATAATAATTATAATAATAAAAAAAAAACAACAAAATCTCCCTTAATCCTCTCACGGCAATATCACTCCCCATACCCATCTTATATAATAATAATAATAATAATAATAATAATAATAATAATCAATCTCATTTATCTCCACCTTCCCCAAATCCTCCAAACTCTCTTTCTGCATCGGCTTCCCCAATAATAGCCATTATCGCGTCTTTTCTCCACTTGATAGAGCGACAACAGAGAAAAGCAGGGAGACGAGAAGGCGAGACCGGAGATCCGTGAGAAAGAGTCCACTGTCGAGCTTATGCCCGTCACCAAGTACACAGGGAGGAGGAAATCACCACCTACCCGCCTTCTCCGTTTTTGTGCCGCCGCCACTTCTCTCGACATATGAAGAGGATTCATGCTGGCGGTTTTATTAAAACCGGCCGGTTGGAAGCGAAATACCGGTTGCACAGTCAATATCGGCCGGCACGTGAAAAGCCGTTGGATTCAGACACCGTTCCGAATCAGATGCGGTATCCGACTTTTCCGGTCCTACCGTCCAGTACGGAACGGTTTGGTAATCCCTAGAATTTAGTAGTGATCATTATGCAGAATTGTTTGAGTTTAGGTCTGGTATCAGCCTTGGATGAGAGAAGAATTATCCAAGTCATTCTGGAATGATCATCTACTATAGTTAAGAAATACTTGAAGCCATCATAAGTAGGATAAGAATAGGGACCCCAAATATCAACATGGATTAACTGAAAGCAATGTGTAGTTACAGATGAACTTGAAGGAAAATGAAGCCATTTTTGTTTGGCAAAATGACAAACATCACAAGGTAAGTTGTTGCTGGTTTCTATGGATTTACAAAGCTGATTCAATGGAGGAATTCGACTGTGGGAAACATGTCCAAGTCTGAAATGCCAAATGTCTAAAGAAAGTGAGCTAATAACAGCTATGATGTGTTTAGGTATACTAGCTAAGTTTCGGTTGATGTGGTAAAGGCCATGGGAAAGCTTACCAGAACTAGTCACTCTTCAGCTCCAGGTCCTGTATTGTGCAAGAGTCAGAAGAAAAGGTTAAACAAAAAGGTCTAGTGGTGGTCAACTTGCTTACTGAGATCAGGTTGAAGGTAAACTTTGGAACAAATAAGGCATCCTCAAGGATCAGACATTAAGGCAATGCACTTGGCCAATGTGAGTGGCCTGAACTCTGTCCCCAATAGGTAAGTTGATATAAATATGGTTGACATTTTTGAATGTATGAAGAAATGTGAGGGAGCTGACTATGTGGTCAGTAGCTCCTGTATCTAGTATCCATTGAGTAGCAGAAGTACTGTGGTTTAGAAGATAACAAGAGTGATTACTTGATGGTGCAGACTCATAATGAGTAGTGGGGGCTGTTGAATGAGAGGGGTAAGACTGCTTGCCCTTGAGATTGTCATTCATGAGATTCATTAGTTTGTCATAATCAGACTTTGTAAGTTTGAATTCCTGTTGTGAATCTGAGGAAGTACCACTTTCAGTGGCATTGATGAATGATCTTATGCGAGGTGGTGGTGGCCTAGCCTGGGAGGATGGAGGAAAATCATGCTTCTTGAAGCATTTTTCTTCAGTGTGTCCAATCCCCTTGCAGAAGGTGCATTCTGGTGGCTTAGCAGAGGGGTTAGAGGTCATAGTGGAACCAAGCAAAGACAAGCCTGGTGGCCAACCATGTTTATGGTAACATGTGTCTTCAGTGTGGCCTAGAGAGTTGCAGAATGTGCAATGGGGGTGCTTGTCAGAGACAAAAGGGCCTTTAGAGCCCTGGGCAGTGAAGGTTGTACTCTCAACAGTAATTGTTTTGCCTTGTTGAGTGCCATAGAGTTGGCGTTCATGTTGCAATGCCCTATGAAAAACCTTGTCAATGGGTGGGAGAGTATCTCCAAAGAGTACTAGGGAACGAACAGATGCATAATTATCATTTAGACCATGAAGGAACTGAATAACAGAGTTGGCATCACGATATCCAACAACAACATTCATCATAGCACAATCGACATGGCTAGTTGTTGTGCAACGACAAATATCGATGGCCTGATAGTTGTCTAGTTCATCTTGTAATGCAATAAGATTGTCATAATACTCAGTCACTGTTTGATTGCCTTGTTTCAAGGTGCTGATGGACTCAATCAACTCATCAACGCGAATCATGTCATCCTGACCGTAGCGAGCTTTGAGGCTAGCCCAGGCCTCGGATGCAAGTTTGGAAGACATGATTGTCTTCTTGATGCCATGATCAACAGTCTGTTGGATCCAGCTGAGGACCATGATGTTGTTCCCGCTCCAGGATGAGAACTGAGCATCAATGGGTGTAGGGGAACTGATGGTGCCATTGATGAAGCCAAGCTTGTTCTTGGCGGCCAGAGCATTGAGCATCCCCTTGCTCCAGTCATTGTAATTGGTGTGGTCAGCTTCTCACCTACCAGAAGAAGTGCAGGTTGTTCAGAACCATGGAGATAGTAACGATCCGCGGTGGGATCTGGTGTGGTTGTTGTTGCCATTTTTGAAGCGGCGGCTAGGGTTGCTCTGATACCATAACAACTTGTATGTTTTGGAAACCCTAACTTGATTTCTCATTGATTAACATTGAGACTTATATACATGGTTCGTGCCGTGCATTACAGGACAAGCAACTCTAGCTGTAAATTGACAGAGGAGAAGGACAGAAAAACAGAACAAGAGTGAACATAAACTGGACAAGTGAAAGAGACGTTGTGGCTTCAGGGCACAACGACGACGTTTCAACCATCTTTAGTCTCACCGCCTACTACGACGACGTCTTGATCATTTTCGGACTCTCTGCTCGGGCACCATTCCGGCTATATCAGTCTTCGATTTACCTGAGACGATGTCGCACCAGCTAATTGCCTTGGTAGCCGTTGGAATCGCGGAATAAAATTTTGAATTTTTCTAATGATACAAACATGAAAGCGTGAATATTTCAATAAAATGTTTGACTAACTTTCATAAGCCCCCAATTTTAGTGATATTAACTCCATAGTTCATACTAATCCACCTCTCCAAGATAAATGACACTTTGAATTAGCGTGAAACCTAATAGCGTTGTTCTTTACGGGTAATCATTTCCTCCTCAATATAGGATTTTGGTTGATATTTACATGGGCCTAAGCATATTGGGCCATCAACCTTAAACCCGATACAGTTTTGAAAAAGGAGAATTTTATCAAACGCGTTAACTTGCTATTGACCTCGCCGAAATCGTAAACGAAGTCATAGCCGTCCATGTCTTCATCGGACGGTTCCTATGCTCTCGAACCTTCTCGAATTTCGCACCCTCCTCCTCCTTTGCCCTACGCTCCCCATCCCCAAAGCTTATAAAACCATCCTCAAGCTCAACCCCGTATTCCTCCACTGAGATCTGAAAGTGAAGCTCGATAAACCCTAATCGAGCTCTTCAGATCTATAAATTTTCTTTCCCCCGTTTTTTTTAAGCTTTCGTTGCCTTCGTTTGTTCTTTCTCCGCCGGCAATATGGCGAAAGGTGAAGGTCCAGCCATCGGTATCGATCTCGGAACTACATACTCCTGCGTCGGAGTATGGCAGCACGACAGGGTCGAGATCATCGCCAATGATCAGGGCAACAGGACGACGCCGTCCTATGTTGCCTTCACTGATACCGAGCGTTTGATCGGTGATGCCGCGAAGAATCAGGTCGCCATGAACCCCATCAACACCGTCTTCGGTAAGTAGCTCCGCCCAGATCTATTTTTTTTTTCGGGGTTCGTATTGTTTGAATGCTTATAGTATTGCTTTACTTGTCTAGGGTTTTGCCTGTGTGTAGATACCTTCGTTTAATTGTTGTGACTGCTCTGGTCTATGTAGTCAAATTGTAGTAAACGTTGAATCTATGTTGAAGATTTCAACTTTCCTGGTTTTAGATTTTGCCGTTCCGATCTATACATCTTGAGTACATGTTTAGCTATTTAGAGGATTGAATATGTGTTGCCAATTTGCCATAGCCAAATATCTAATTAGATATTGCTTGTCTAAGTCTGGGTTGTTACCTCTAGGAGATATTGATACGTATGTTGGGTTTTGCTCTGTCTAGTAAGGTGGAATATGGTCGGATCTTTATGACTGTGCGGATGCGTAGTTTAGTTCAATGGATTCTATTGGCGTTTGCTTATTGTTTGCGATGTTGGTCTATTTTCATAGATGCGAAGCGGTTGATTGGGAGAAGATTCACTGACGCTTCCGTCCAGGGTGACATGAAGCTGTGGCCTTTTAAGTTGGTCTCTGGTGTCGGAGACAAACCAATGATTGTTGTCACCTACAAGGGCGAGGAGAAGACATTTGCAGCTGAGGAGATCTCCTCCATGGTGCTCATCAAGATGCGTGAGATTGCTGAGGCTTATCTTGGTACCACCATCAAGAACGCAGTTGTGACTGTTCCAGCTTATTTCAACGATTCCCAGAGGCAGGCCACCAAGGATGCCGGTGTTATTGCTGGTCTCAATGTCATGAGAATCATCAATGAGCCTACCGCTGCTGCCATTGCTTATGGTCTTGACAAGAAGGCCACAAGTGTTGGGGAGAAGAACGTGTTGATCTTTGACCTTGGTGGCGGTACTTTTGATGTTTCTCTGTTGACTATTGAAGAGGGTATCTTTGAAGTGAAGGCAACTGCTGGAGACACTCATCTTGGTGGTGAAGATTTTGACAACAGATTGGTGAACCATTTCGTTCAGGAGTTCAAGAGGAAGAACAAGAAGGATATCAGTGGAAACCCCAGGTCTCTGAGGAGGTTGAGGACTGCTTGTGAAAGAGCAAAGAGGACCCTCTCGTCCACTGCCCAGACCACCATTGAGATTGATTCTCTCTATGAGGGAATTGATTTCTACTCCACTATCACCCGTGCCAGATTTGAGGAGCTCAACATGGATCTCTTCAGGAAGTGCATGGAGCCAGTGGAGAAGTGTTTGAGGGATGCCAAGATGGACAAGAGCACTGTCCACGATGTTGTTCTTGTCGGTGGATCCACCAGGATTCCCAAGGTCCAGCAGCTCCTTCAGGACTTCTTCAACGGCAAGGAGCTTTGCAAGAGCATCAACCCAGATGAGGCCGTTGCTTATGGTGCTGCAGTCCAAGCTGCCATCTTGAGTGGTGAAGGCAACGAGAAGGTTCAGGATCTTCTTCTCTTGGATGTCACTCCTCTGTCCCTTGGTCTTGAGACTGCCGGAGGTGTCATGACTGTTTTGATCCAAAGGAACACCACCATTCCCACCAAGAAGGAGCAGGTCTTCTCAACCTACTCAGACAACCAGCCTGGTGTGCTTATCCAAGTCTACGAGGGTGAGAGGGCCAGGACCAAGGACAACAACTTGCTCGGCAAGTTCGAGTTGTCCGGGATCCCACCAGCACCACGTGGAGTACCACAGATCAACGTGTGCTTCGACATTGATGCCAATGGTATCCTGAATGTCTCTGCTGAGGACAAGACCACGGGACAGAAGAACAAGATCACCATCACCAATGACAAGGGTAGGTTGTCCAAGGACGAGATCGAGAAGATGGTCCAGGAGGCTGAGAAGTACAAGTCAGAGGATGAGGAGCACAAGAAGAAGGTCGAGGCCAAGAATGCCGTTGAGAACTACGCCTACAACATGAGGAACACCATCAAGGACGAGAAGATTGCTGCCAAGCTCGATGCCGCCGACAAGAACAAGATCGAGGATGCCATTGAGAAGGCCATCCAGTGGCTCGACAACAATCAGCTTGGTGAGGCTGATGAGTTCGAGGACAAGTTGAAGGAGCTTGAAGGCATCTGCAACCCCATCATCGCCAAGATGTACTCTGCTGGTGGCGGCCCTGGCATGCCCGGTGGTGGCATGGATGAAGATGATGTTCCTCCTTCAGGTAGCAGCGGTGCTGGTCCCAAGATCGAAGAGGTCGACTAAGTTGTCTGCCTGGTTTCTTATCCCTGAGGGTTTCTGCTCTTTTGAATTGTTTTTTTGAAGATGGATATTTTGTTTGATTTTCTCATTTGGATTTTGTCGGGGGAAGGGTTAAGTGATTGCAAGCTGGTGGCTTGCTTATTTTGAACTGGTACTGGTTTATGTTATTTTTTGCCTTATGAATGATATTACCTCTCTTTGACAATTGCAATTTCTGTCCTTCAATGATTTTATATCATTTTGCTTTTTTCATGTTTATGCTTGACATCGTACTGTGGAGCGCCTACTCGAGTGGATGGCAGAAACTGGTTTTAACTTTTAAGACCATCTCCATCCCCAAGTTTTAGCAATAGCCAAGGTATTGTTAAGGTGACATGGAGCTAATGTGGCAAAACTTTAGGAATGCCACACGTGTGTAATTGTTTTCTTTTTCTTAGTTAGACAATGTCTTCAGTTCTAAAATGTTTGGTAGATTTAATTGGTGGGTGGGATACATTTTAGAAATTATTGCTAACATATTTTGGGATGTTGATGACATATTTTGGGATGTTGATAACTAGAAATTGCTAAGTGAAAAATTTATAAATTACTAAATTTGATGACGTGGTTGTAGGGGCCACATTTAGAAATTAGGGACTAATTTTAGGGATGGAAATGGTCTAGAGTTTGAATTCCACACGTCTCATTTGGGCACGTGGGGTGGCTCGAGGTCTGCGGACCTGCACACCTTACAAGAAGAAAAATTAGACTTTGTATTTAATGTGAATCGATTGACCGACATCCTATTTGACTCAATTATGAACCAAAATAGATAAGGAGACCTCATATTTGATCCATATCAGCAAAGCTACTTGGGCCAACAAGTTTTCTTTGCCTCAAGTTTTCTGGTGAAGTTGCAAAGTTCTTCACTTTCGTTTCTCTCCAAATATCTCCAAAACTCTACAAATATGATTTGGCGGTTTGAGATTCGTATTCATGGTTATTTCTAGACTCTGAGAACTAAGATGTAAAAGAAAATAAGAATTGAAATACCATACCCGAGGCTGTAGCGAAAAAAATAACGATAAGTATTTTATGCTGAAATTGTGGTTCAATCATTTCATATGGGCTAAATACTGCTTACTGATTTTGCTTCCGGTAAAACATTTTTTTGGTCGAACCGCCGGTAGGATACGATTTTTCAATTCTTGTAAAAAAAAGTCATTCTAGTTGTCATGAAAAATTCTCCAACTCACCAGATAGGCATTTCCCCGAACCATTGGCTATGGATATCCACAAACTTGACCTCGCTGCTGCAAACCCTACCAACATACTGCAAATAACAAAATAAACACAGCACCAGAAATCGATCACTGATCTAGTCGCCTTTTCACTCTTCCCTTGGGGGAACTGAATAGGCCCTCTATAAATATGACAAAGAAACCAGAGCTAAAATTGCCCACCAAGAATAAAAACATGTAAGTTTCAGGTATACCAACCTACAGACTGGAACCCAAAAAACCAGAAGGAATAGAAAACAGGAAAAATGGTAATACAGAAGAATATGCTAAAACAAAAGTGCACCAAATGCCATGGGACGGATTTTCCATAAGAGGTAAGTAAACAGACCGTATCCCAACCTACAAATTCTATGCCTCCTTCAAGTCGATGAATGATCGCTCGCTCAAAGGAGAAGGGCGAAGACACACACGGACTTCATGTTCCTCTGGTCCTTCCCGATGTTTCGGCACAATAATCTCCAGAATGGTTCCAGTCTCGTCCCGATAGGCTTCCAGCTTAGCATCTTCAGGAATGCAGTTCGGGAGGGGAATCTCCCTGACGAACTCTCCTGGTGGGCAGTGCTCCGGAGTTGCATCTGTTAGTTTAAATGACCTATCATGCCTTTTAATAAACGGCACGCAAGCAGTACTTACACAAGATATTTTCACTATTCCATGACTGTTGGTGTTCCTCCAGGTGACCTTCACCCTTTCTAGATCAGCAAATGGCAAGCTGACGATGATCAAGAATGCTTGTTCATCTTCGTATATGGTCTTCGCCGCTGTAACAGGTCCATAGACATTTTTCATCACCCCGCCAAAGTCATTGAGCCATGTTGGCTCAGTTGGATGGATGTTCATGTCTACCCTCTCAACACGGGAATTGTTATTGTGGAGACAATCATCCTCATTTGCTTGAGGAGAATATGCCTTCTTCCTTTTATTATTGCAAAACGGAGAGTAATCCATCACTTCACCACTACTACTACTACTATGGTCCGTAGACTGAGTAGAAAGATTCAAACCAGTACCATTAAGCAATTTCCTTGGTTGGAAATTCCCATTAATCTTCAATGGCAGAGGGGGACGCTCGAGCTCAAATTCTGTGGCTGGCAGGGTCCTCCAACAGCTAAAATCACTTGCTTCAGGAGGGATGCAGAAATTAACATCACGGCCAGTGAGTTCTACCCACCTCTTCCTCTCTCCCTCTTCAAGATTCACGAGATTTGGAGACTCAACAACTTCAATCCCGTGAAGGCACTGTGGGTTAGATAGACCCCTATAATGCTTCCTTTGCATCCTGTGAGACCGGACAAAGCCCTTGTCAACACTGAATGGGAATGGGCGCTCCCCTTGACGCGAGTGCCCATTCATGTAACTCCTCAACTGCATCTTACCCAAAGCATTTTCAGGCCTCTCCTTGAAAACCCACATGTACATATTCTCCATATCGTGTTGCACCAAGAATGCGTCAAGGTGCAGATCCGTTTTCTCATACCCAGAGACACCATTGCTATCCTTCACTATCTTGGACTTCGACTTCTCACTCAAAACCGGTTTGAAATAGAAGGTAAAGAAGAACCAAGCACCCCAAATGCTGTCGAGCCTCTTGGCACATTTCTTTGAAGCTTTAGGCACACTGACAGTTGTCTCAACTTCATAAATTGGAGGAGCATGACCCAAATCTAGGATGTCACATGAGTCGTTCCAATTCAGAAGAGAAGGTGAAGGAGGCTCGGATGACACCGGAAGGTTGATGTCAGGTGGCCTGGATAGAATCAAAGGCCGGTTCATCTCTCTCTCCAAGTCATCGTGCATTAAGGAACCAGAATCCATTGACAAAAGCGTGGAAGGGTGATAATTCTCCATTGACAATGTCGTTATGAGAGCTTCCGCCATATATTCTTTTCCTCTTGTTTCTACTTTCCAAATGAGATTTTTTATTTTCACAATCACTAGCAAAGCCCTCGATCAGTCAACAAAACCAAACAAGCAACTTATCAACCTCCTCATGATTTCAACTGCCCACTATTTTCCCAGTAGGTAGGCTACAGAAGTTCATGAGGATTTCAAAAACCAGAAGAAAGCGGCTTCTTCAAGTACATCACTAACCTGGCCAGGACAAAAACCGAATAGAAATCGAGATCAGATAAACAATCCCCAGAATCACTCACTCAACAGCTAAAGATTGAAGCTTCATAATCATTATGGCATGAAACCAGCACTACCAATCAGCTCTACTCATACCGTCAAAAGAATTTCCAGCAGACTATCAGAATCAGCTCAGGCAACAATGAAGAGATCATGACTCCCAGCATAACCCAAAACTTCAAATGAATCTACTTAATGTCGATCGGTTAACTAATAGCTTTCTGGGTAATCCATCACGGAACATGTAATTCCAAAATCATGGAGGGAAGAACATAAACAGTAATCCTAAACAAGCCCTAGAATCTCTTCAGGGGAACGCTTCTAGAAAACAGCAAATAAAGTGACAAGAGATTCCGAAACACATCTAATCAAAAGTAAGCCAAACCCTGAAAACCTGAACAGGGTAATCGTCAGAGATTCGAGAATTACCTAAAAGAGGGAGCTGAAATCCACCGAGAACGAGAACTTCAATATTCGATCCCCAAATTTTGAGAGAGAGAGAGAGAGAGAGAAACATTGGAGGTTGTTTAAAGAGACGGATAGATGAGACTGGGGACAGCCACTTGCGAGACCTGCACCAGATGAAGCCGGTTGGGAGCGGTGATAGAGATTAGAGCCATAGAGGACGTTAATTTCAACTTCTAAGTTATAACTAGACTCTTGCCACTAATGTGAGGATTACTAAAATATAGAATATACCATAGATTCCCCACACCCCACCCTAATAGCTCACTTTATTATAGTTTACACCATATAAACAAATCAAAAGTATTAACACTCGCAGGTAACAAATAAAGGGTCTTCTTAGCCACCAGATAGGACACCCGATTATTTCTCCAAATATCCCGCATTGTTGTCGAAGTTGCCTAATTTCCTCCAATAACAATATTAAACAAATTTGGATAATATAAGCTATCTAGTGTTATGTATTGTCATCCTAATTGATTACCTACAGACTTAATCAATCGTGTTTTCATACTAAATTAATCGAGTGTTTATAAATCTTTCATGACTCAAGGAAGAGAAGAATAAGTTTAGTCCAAATTTTTGTTACCGTCTCAATTGTGACTATGGCGATAAGAATGAAAGAGAATGTGTGTGTATTTTCTTTTACTAAATTTCACGACCTTTTGACTTCATAGTTTTCACTTCCTACTCTTAAAGGAGAGGCGTCGTAGTTGAAATAAGTAACTTTCATCATTAGTTGTCTCTTTCCCCTTTCCCTAGAGCGGCTGGCATGTCAAGATTGTCCATTGTTGCCTCCTCGTATGGTTGGTCTCGTCGTTGCATTAGATTCTCGTACTTCGCTTCAACTACCTTGATGATGGAGTGTGTTTAGTAGCGGCACCACATTCTTCATTATATTGGCTTCTCATAACTCATTCTTGGTAGTGGCATGGTTTGTAGCATTTGTGACTTCTAGGATGACACCCCTTACATGTTGAATTGATGATGACTCCGAAGGCCTCACACCACGTACAAGATTATATTACTCATTTGCGAAGGTCGTCCTCGGAATCACAATAACCACCTGTGCAACCTCCTAATCTTACACTGCACCCTTGACTGTGTCACGATCTCTAATTATGTTTCAACATAGACTTTGGCAATACTCTTCTATTGTACCTATATACCTCCAATACTAACACCACACTTCTAGCCTTTAGGGTCGACCAAGGTTGTCAAACCGGGTTAAGTCATTCGGCCGGTTTGATAAGGGGTTTGTGGTTTAATAGTCGGATCGGGGTTCAACCGGGTTAAGCCGGTTTTGACAAGATATGTTGGAGAGCTATTGACACCTAATAAATTATGCATATATACATGACATCACACTTCAACATAGACTTTGGCAATACTCTTCTATTGTACCTATATACCTCCAATACTAACACCACACTTCTAGCCTTTAGGGTCGACCAAGGTTGTCAAACCGGGTTAAGTCATTCGGCCGGTTTGATAAGGGGTTTGTGGTTTAATAGTTGGATCGGGGTTCAACCGGGTTAAGCCGGTTTTGACAAGATATGTTGGAGAGCTATTGACACCTAATAAATTATGCATATATACATGACATCTCAAAGACAATCCCAAATTCTCAATACACCTAGATTTATATATAAATAAGGGCTAATACCATTGGGAAACCCGAACTATTAACTTTGTGTCATTTGTGTCCTAAAGTATTCGATATGACATTTGTGTCCTAAACTATTTTTCCGTTAGAGTTGACCAATGTTGACCATTAGTATTTAACAGAAAATCCAGTCAGCGTTGACGTGGAGTTTTAAATTAAAAAAAAAACATAAACAAAATAAATTTTCCTTCTTTCTGTCGGCATGTCACCCAAAGACCACCCACCACCATCCCTTCCTTCCTCGACCCTAGCCGCCGACGTCCACCACCCACCACCATCCCTTCCTTCCTCGACGTCCCTAGTTCTCGAAGTGATCAAAAAAATTGGACAGATCCAACCCACATCAGTTTTGATTCCGAAAAATCAACACTTCACTCATCTCGGCATTATGTTGTGATCGAAGAAATCGGATTATCCCACACGCAGCAGATCTAATTTCAAATCGGAAGAAATCGGAGGAGCAGTAGCTGAATAACCTGTGCGTAGAAGGAGGAGAGGTCGGGAGAAGAAATCGGAGGATAATTGCAGACGAGGGATTCCGCAACAACTGCGGCAGAGGATTTGAGGTCGAAGATTGAAGAGGAGCCAGAGAGAGAGAGAACTGAAGGGGCGACTCTGTTCCACTATTGTTCATCATCGTCCCTCTCTCCTCTCCCATCTCTGCCTACTGCTTCTTTCGGCCATGGAAACTGTTCCACTTGTTGTATCAGAATCGGAGCTTCGTCGTCTTCCTCCTCACCTTCCAGATCCACTTATTGTTCTGCTTCATCTAGCTCCAAATCGAAGGATGTCCTCACCATACAGTGTGGCAAGAATGGGAAACTGAGATGAAAAATGTGTTTGGTCTTCAATTAGGGGAAAGGAGGGAGCGGGAGGGCGGTGGAGGAAGCCTTGGGCGGCGGTCGAGGGATTGAACGGCTGGGGAGGGACATCGGAAGAGGAAGGGTTGTTGAGGGCTTGAGGGGGACGATTGGTGAGGTGGGCAAGCGGCGGAGGGCGAATCCGCTGCAGGCGAGAGCACTGGGGTTTTGGTGCGTGAATGGCGGCGGAGCAGAGAAGCACTCATGAGCAGGAGGGAGTATCGCAGGCGAGAAAGAGGTGAGGGGATGCGACGGTCGGGGGGGGGGGGGGGAGGGGGGAAGATGAGAGGATATTATTTTATTTTATTTTTTATTTTCAATTTATTTCTTTTAGTTTGTATTTAATTTTGAATTAAAATAATGAGGTGTCAATGATGTGGCATCTACGTGGTTGCCACGTCAACAAAAGTCAATGTCAAAGTTGACTTCCGTTTGGTCAACCGTCATCTATAACAGTCAGCGAAATCGTCAGGACATAAATGACACACAATTATCATAGTTTGGGACACAAATGTCATATCGAATACTTTAGGACACAAATGACACAAAGTTAATAGTTCGGGTTTCCCAGTGGTATTAGCCCTATAAATAACATACATCATTACAAACCAAATCCTCACATTTAAAGTTTTAAATACGCCATCTAGAATAAGTGAATAACATCCAAACATTTATCAGAGTATTCATACTTGAATCCCACAAATGACAACATTCAAATCTTCTTACTTGAAATTCATACTCTAAAAATTAAAGGAGACAATCAAACATCTTGAAAGATAAAAGCATTCATCTCCATGTCCTTTGCTTCAACAATTTGAGAAATGTCGAAATCAATTTCATCAATCACATCATCATCAAAGTCCTCTGCACCAAAACCATTAAACCAATCATTCTTAATATTTAGTAATGAGCAATGACAATTTCATTATTGCATGAAGAATTTGCACTTGTTCCACGTCTTTCCATCTTCAGTGCGAATTTCCTCAGCATAGTCCCAAGCAGGATCTTCTTTTTTTCTGAGATCCAGTAGCACCAACAACACTACTAGTAACTGATGGCTGACTTGATGCATTGCCTGATTCCATCTATCAACCTGGAAAACAAGTAAATTATTAACAAAATAAGAGTTGAAACAACAACCCAATCTTACTTCCACTATCCAAAAATGAAATCGAACCTGGGTCGAGGCGGCGGCAGCAAGTGGTGTCGAGGAAGGGGGCACTGGGTCGAGGCGGCCGACGGCGAGCGGCGTCGAGGAAGCGAGGACCTGGGTCGACGCACTAGGGACCTGGGTCGAGGCGTCCGGCGGCGAGGAAGCGCAAAGCTGGGTCGAGAAGAGGACAGCGCCGACGAGGAGTGGCGAGTGGAGCGCCGGCGTGGCGTGACAAGGGGAGCGCCGGCGGCGAGCGGCTGCTGTGCTAGTTGTTGCCGCAGGTGTTCTCTGCTCTGCTGGCTGGGCTCGACGAGGGAGGAGATTTGGGAACGGCGGACGCAATAGATAGGGTATTAGGGTTATTGAAGTTGGAAGAAGTTCCAACCAGCCAAAAACGACGCCATTTTCCTCAAAACCGGTAGCCGGATCAGTCTGGTCAGACCCCGATTTCCCCCGGTTTTGATCGGCTACCGGCCAGCTCTAATTATGGATGGTTCCAGTCAGACCCGGTTCAATCCCAGTTTGACAACCATTGGGTCGACACTGCAGTAGGCTTGATACCTGCTATAGCACGAATGTTACAATAGGCCTAATGCTAACAAGACTTGCTATCCTAAGCGTAGATCCAAATAACAATGGACAATTCTCGACGAGACTTTCATGGCAGGGACGAAGCCAGCTTGTATGATTGTATCTGGGAGGGGGGGGGGGGGGGGGGAGGGGGAGGCATGGCCCCCCTAAAACTTAAAATATCCGCAGAAGTGAGGTATTACAACAAAGTAGTGGTTTAGCCTTGTGTCATTTTTATATTATTTTTTGCTTAAGATTTGCTCTCCCCCACAATTTGTTGTTTATTTTGCTTGAATTTGGCTTTCCTCCACAACCTTTCCCCTAATTTCTTTTTAATTTCATAGCTAAGTCTCCTACATGTTTTTAACCTTATTTTCTTGCAAGTAAATTTATTTGAAAATTTAATGTGTTACTTTTTAAAATGGTTAAATCTAGACTAAAAAGGCTTTCTCAATACATCTAATTCGTTTTGTTCGATATTTATAGTTAGCTTTTGGTCACTGTGTGAACATGATCATACTTGGGGGTTGGTAATTCCAATTATCTTTTAAAAAAAGCCAATATGTGGAATAAGTTTAAATGGTTTTTACATAAAAACGATTGTGAATAATGGGTGTTATATTTTTAAGTATTTTCTTCATCACTTTATATGTGTTGGAAAAAAAAAATCGTCGACCCCTTCTAATTGAAAATCCTGGCTCCGTCCCTCTTCTATGGTAGAGGCATGAGAACCAACTCTGTTATGTAAGGACCAACTCAAACTAATTGAACTATAATAGTTGAAATTTCCAATCGAAACTACCCGTAAGATTGGGATTACGATCTTGTTAGGCGTGCGAGGGTTACGGATTGGTCAATACTAACTCAATACACTGAAGTGACCATATTGATAACTTATCAACTTTAAGTGATCTTTCACCTAATGAGTTTCGTTTTTCTTATGAGTTATGACAAATGTGAATGCTACTTTGAAACGTTTGACCACTTACAATAACAAACCTTGGCCCCCAAACAAAGAATAAAGAAATGTGGATATATCATCTTTTTTCCAATTATCGGATAAGCTTTCAGTCTTCATTCACGCAATGATACGATACGGAGGGATGGATTTTATACCAACTTTACCATATCCCAACAGAAATACGTATACGAGTATACGACGTCGCTGTACTCTGTATATCACTATATTGTACAGACTACAGAGCTAGAGTAGCAGAGACGAGAATCGAGAGACGCCTCTTTTGACCTCAGCCAAAAAGCTCTTCTCCGCCGTTAAACTTAACGGCGCCCCGTCACCGAACCCGACCGGCCTCATCTGGTGCAGGTCTCACTGTTGTTTTGTCCGTCTCTTTAAACACCTTCCGTTTTCCTCTTCCCTTCCTTCCTCTCTTTCTCTTTTTCTCTCTCTCTCACAAATTGGGGATCGAATGTTCAGGTCTCTGTGCTCGGCGGATTTCAAGCTCCCTCCTTTAGGTAATTCTCGAATCTCTGGCGATTACCCTTTTCAGGCTTTTAGGGTTTGGGTTGATTAGATTGGTTTCCGAATCTCTTTGCCACTCCTTTTTTTTTTTTTTGCCGTATTCTTTAAGCGTTTCCCTGATTGGACTCTAGGTGATTTGTTTATATGCTGTTGGTTGTCCCTCCACCTTGATTTTGGTGTGCTTGCTCTGTGATTGTTTACTCAGTTAATCGAATGGCCTTCTGGGTTTTCTATCTCTCCAAAGTTTGTAGCTTTGGACATAATGGACTATTTTTCCCTGTGAACAAGAATGAGACTGGTAGCTTGGGTTTATGTTTTTGGGTTATCTTGGAATTCATAATCTACTGTGGTCTGAGCCAGCTGATTGCCTGCTGGAGAGTTTTTCATATTGTCTGAGCAGAGCTGATGTTCTGTTGCTTCACAAGAATGTGCCATGGCTACAATTTTAGCTGTTCAGTTTATGTTTTCGTGGATTCTTTATCTGATCTTTGTTTCTCTTTGGCTTGTTCCTGGCTAGGTTCTTGATGTACTTGATGTTGTTTTCTTCTGGTTTTTGAATTCCCATATGAGCTGGGGAAGTTGTGGGTATTTGAAACCATGAAGAGGTTGATAAGCTGCTTGTTTGGGTTCGTTGACTGATTGAGGGCTTTGTTTTTGTGGGTCGCATCTGATTTTGTAAAGATGTCAGTGACCTTCTGACGTGGTCCTGGGATTTTGAGAATCAAGGCCCTCAAAAAGGAAAAATTGGAAACAAAGACAAGAGAGAAATGGGGGAAGCTCTCATAACGACATTGTCTATGGAGAATTATCACCCTTCTACGCTTTTGTCAATGGATTCTGGTTCCTTAACCCACGACGAATTGGAGAGAGAGTTGAATCGGCCTTTGATTCTATCGAGGCCACCTGATATCAATCTTCCAGTATCATCTGAGCCACCTTCCCCTTCTCTCCTGAATTGGAATGATTCATGTGACATCTTAGATTTGGGTCATGCTCCTCCAGTTTATGAGGTTGAGACTACCGTCACCGTGCCCAAAGCTTCGAAGAAATGTACAAAGAGGCTCGACAGTATTTGGGGCGCTTGGTTCTTCTTTACCTTCTATTTCAAGCCAGTTTTGAATGAGAAGTCAAAGTCCAAGATAATAAAGGATAGCAATGGCGTCTCTGGGTATGAGAAGTCAGATCTCTACCTCGATGCATTCTTGGTGCAGCACGATATGGAAAATATGTACATGTGGGTTTTCAAGGATAGGCCTGACAATGCTTTGGGTAAGATGCAGTTGCGGAGTTACATGAATGGGCACTCGCGTCAAGGGGAGCGCCCATTTCCATTCAGTGTTGACAAGGGCTTTGTCCGGTCTCACAGGATGCAGAGGAAGCATTACAGGGGTCTGTCTAACCCGCAGTGCCTTCATGGTATCGAAGTTGTGCGCACACCAAATCTCACGAATCTTGAAGAGGAAGAAAGGAAAAGGTGGGTAGAGCTCACTGGCCGTGACATAAATTTCTCCATCCCTCCTGAAGCAAGTGACTTTGGGTCTTGGAGGACACTACCCAATACAGAGTTTGAGCTCGAGCGTCCCCCTCTGCCATTGAAGATTAATGGGCATTTCCATCCAAGGAAATTGCTTAACGGTACTGGCTTGAATCTTTCTTCTCAGACTTCAGATCATAGTGGTGAAGTGATGGACCTCTCTCCGGTTTGCAATAATAAAAGGAAGAAAGACTGTTCTCCTCATGCAAATGAGGATGACTGTCTGCATATCAGTAATGCTCACGTCGAGAGGGTAGACATGAACATCCATCCGACTGAGCTGGCATGGCTCAACGACTTCAGCGGGGTGATGAAAAATATCTATGGTCCCGTTACGGCCGCAAAAACCATATACGAAGACGAAGAAGCATTCTTGATCGTTGTCAGCTTGCCCTTTGCAGACCTGGAAAGGGTGAAAGTCACCTGGAGGAACACCAACAGTCACGGAATAGTGAAGATATCTTGTGTAAGTACTGCACGCATGCCATTTATTAAACGGCATGATAGGACGTTTAAACTGACAGATCCAACTCCGGAGCACTGCCCACCTGGGGAGTTCGTAAGGGAGATTCCCCTCCCGAACCGCATTCCTGAAGATGCTAAACTAGAAGCCTACCGCGATGAGACGGGGACGATGCTGGAGATCATTGTGCCGAAACATCGCGTGGGGCCAGAGGAACATGAGGTCCGTGTGTGTCTTCGCCCTTCTCCTTTGAGCGAGCGATCCTTCATCGACTTGAAGGAAACATCAGGTTGAAGCTCTCTGGACTGGTGGGGGGATGCTAGAATTTGTCGGTGGGTTCTTCTGTTTATTGTAAGGGGAGAATTCATACAATAGTATTTGGCACTCTTGTTCTAGGGTATTATCGTTGCTCTTTTCCATTTTCCTTTCGTCCTTTTTTCCTGGGTTCCAGTCTGTAGATTGATACATGAATCCTCTATGTTTCTATAATTGGTGGGTAATTTAGCTGGTGTTTCATTGTCGCAATACACAGGGAGCATCTTCCATTTCCCAAAGGGAAGGAATGAATAGAAAACTGCAATATCTGTCGGTGTTAGCTCTTGCATCATTCAATTTTCCTGTGGCTATATAGCTGTGTAAATTTGTTTCAGGGATAGACTGTATAGCATATCCGACTGCGTCAGTTGTATAATCAGTTCCTTCTCGTACTCTAGAGTCTAGCCAATCCAGTGAGTTGCTGAGTTTTCATTCTTCTGGCGACAATCAAAGCATGTCTCCAGCTCTGCTTTCAGCTTGGGCGCATCCCCAACGGAGTGCTCTTGTTCGAAAACCAGTCCTCAATGGAGTGCCCTTGGCCGCATGCTCCATGACATCCGAAGTATGTTCATCTACAACCACATTTGTGTTATGGCCGTTGGTTTGCGACAGTTCCGTTTCAAAGCTGCGCGCTGCAACACTGACATGGTTGTCTCTATCTGCGGCTTAAACGTGGTCCAGGAATTACAGGCTATTCAACTTCACCATTTGACGACTTCATGACTTCAACGTTGTTCTTCCTCGAGCAACGGCTACCGTTGTCTCTCTAAAAACAAGTTTGTACTACTGTTCGCATCAGTTTGCGCTACTGTGTTTATGCTCTTATTTAAGCGGTCTGATTTTAGACGGAATGACCTTGCCGGTTCGATGGTTTCCATTTCTCCAGTTCCCAGCCGATTGCCAGGGTTTTGCATATACTATCAAAATTAGAGAGAACTATTAATCTTTAAGTAGCCAGATCAAGAATGCCGAAATGAGAATGACAATTGTACTACTTAAATTGCATAAAAAACAAAAACAAGCAAGTCACAAGCTTGCATCCCGACCACCAGAAAATAGAGCAAATTAAACCAGAAAAAAAGGACACAGTCCAAACATCCACTACCATCGTCTCCAACAACTATAAAACCGAAACAACTTAGTCCACTTCTTCAATCTTAGGGCCAGCTCCACTGCCACCGGAAGCCGGAACATCATCATCCTCGTCCATGCCACCACCAGGCATGCCAGGGCCGCCACCTGCAGAGTACATCTTGGCAATGATCGGGTTGCAGATGCCTTCGAGCTCCTTCATCTTGTCCTCGAACTCGTCAGTCTCCGCCAGCTGGTTGTTGTCCAGCCACTGGATGGCCTTGTCGATGGCATCCTCGATCTTGCTCTTGTCAGCAGCGTCGAGCTTGGCAGCAATCTTCTCGTCCTTGACGGTGTTCCTCATGTTGTAAGCGTAGTTCTCCAAGGCGTTCTTGGCCTCCACCTTCTTCTTGTGCTCTTCGTCTTCGGACTTGTATTTCTCTGCCTCCTGAACCATCTTCTCAATCTCGTCCTTGGACAACCTCCCCTTGTCGTTGGTGATGGTGATCTTGTTCTTCTGCCCCGTGGTCTTGTCCTCGGCCGAGACGTTCAGGATACCGTTGGCGTCAATGTCGAAGCAGACGGTGATCTGGGGTACTCCTCTTGGGGCAGGGGGGATGCCAGACAGCTCGAACTTGCCGAGCAAGTTGTTGTCCTTGGTTCTGGCCCTCTCACCCTCGAAGACCTGGATCAACACACCGGGTTGGTTGTCGGAGTAAGTAGAGAAGACTTGTTCCTTCTTTGTTGGTATGGTGGTGTTCCTCGGGATCAAAACAGTCATGACACCTCCAGCAGTCTCGAGCCCGAGAGAAAGAGGAGTGACATCCAACAAAAGAAGATCCTGCACCTTCTCGTTGCCTTCGCCGCTCAAGATGGCAGCTTGCACTGCTGCGCCATAGGCAACGGCCTCGTCGGGGTTGATGCTCTTGCAGAGCTCCTTCCCGTTGAAGAAGTCCTGAAGCAACTGCTGCACCTTGGGAATCCTGGTGGATCCACCGACAAGAACGACATCATGAATGGCGCTCTTGTCCATCTTGGCGTCCCTCAAACACTTCTCCACTGGCTCCATGCACTTCCTGAAGAGATCCATGTTGAGCTCCTCGAATCTGGCACGGGTGATGGTGGAGTAGAAATCAATACCCTCATATAGAGAGTCAATCTCGATGGTGGTCTGGGCAGTGGATGAAAGGGTTCTCTTCGCCCTCTCACAAGCAGTCCTCAACCTCCTGAGGGCCCTTGGGTTCCCGCTGATATCCTTCTTGTTCTTCCTCTTAAACTCCTGAACAAAGTGATTGACCAATCTGTTGTCAAAATCCTCACCACCAAGGTGAGTGTCACCAGCAGTCGCCTTCACCTCAAAGATACCCTCCTCAATGGTCAGCAAGGAAACATCAAAAGTACCACCACCAAGGTCAAAGATCAGAACATTCTTCTCCCCAACACTGGTGGCCTTCTTGTCAAGACCATAAGCAATAGCAGCAGCAGTAGGCTCATTGATGATTCGCATAACATTGAGGCCAGCAATGACTCCTGCATCCTTGGTTGCCTGCCTCTGGGAATCATTGAAGTAAGCAGGAACTGTCACGACAGCATTCTTAATGGTGGTACCAAGATACGCCTCAGCAATCTCCCGCATCTTAATAAGCACCATGGAAGAGATCTCTTCTGCAGCGAAGGTCTTCTCTTCACCTTTGTAATTGACCACAATCATGGGCTTCTCCGCAGGACCAGGGATCACCTTGAAAGGCCATAGCTTCATGTCGCTCTGGACAGAGGGGTCACTGATCCTCCTCCCAATCAACCTCTTCGCATCTGTCGCCCAAAATTACCACAAAACAGTAAGCAAACCCCGAAGTTTTACCAATTACCACATAAACCCTAACCAAAACACTAAACCCTAAAATGCAATTGGCCATTGATAGCACGCTTAATCCCACAGAACAGGCAAGTAAAATTTCAGATGCAAATTTCAAACCAGAGAAAAAGGCAGCAGGAGTAACAAAAACTTGACGCAGGTGATCATATTCACTTCCCTATATCAGTTACCAAAAGCTACGCAGCTAACTAGCAGGTCAACGAACCCTAGACATCCGAAAAACACAAAAAAATCAAACAATTGAATAGAGAACAGCAGGAGAATTCGGGTCAGAAGGAAGAGCTTACCGAAGACGGTGTTGGTGGGGTTCATGGCGACCTGGTTCTTAGCGGCGTCGCCGATCAACCGCTCGGTGTCGGTGAAAGCAACATAGGACGGAGTCGTCCTGTTGCCCTGATCGTTGGCGATGATCTCCACTCTGTCGTGCTGCCATACTCCGACGCAGGAGTACGTGGTACCTAGGTCGATACCGATAGCAGGACCTTCACCTTTCGCCATATCTTCGCCGGAGGAAAAAAGAATCGAACAAAACGTAGAGAGATCGTAGGGTTTTCGACGGATTTTTTTAGGCTTCTGTTAGATTCAGGGACTAACAATATTGAGGAACTGCGGCGAAGAGGAGGAGGAGGTTTTATACGCCGGGGAAGCGTAGTGGGGAAGGCGCAATAGCGCGGGAGTTCGAGAACGTTCTGGAGAAATTGTGGCCGTTGGATGGGAGATGGACGGTGGGGTGATGAGTGTCAGTTTCCAAGTCGGACAGGGGGTAAAATAGGAATATTGAGGGTTGTTTGGGGTTCTAGTTTCTTCGGGAGAGTTCCCTTACTGGGCCGACGCGGTGAAGGTGTAACGGAAACACATTCCGGCCGGCCAGCCAGCCAGCACCGCCCACGTCGCCATAATTTTCGCACTTAAATCATTCGTGGCGCGTGAACTGTGAATAAAAAGACAATGTGGCGCGTGTGTGGATACTGGATAAAGGGTTTAAACATTTTGGGTTGAAGCCCAATCGAGTGAAACAAAAGGACTACAAGAATAATGCAGTTCAGGCCCACATAAATGAGATCCAAAACTAACCTATAACAATGCAAGCGAAACAAGCCCAACTGTAAAAGCTTATTCTATAACACAGTCGCCAAGTAACCAGGATTATCACAAGGGTTTGAAATCTCTAGAGCTTCAAATCTTCACATGGATGGATTTGAAATCCATGAGACTTTGGGGTTTCCCACACCATTAATGGATATTATTGAAAATTCTCGTTTTTTAATAATTTCGTATAGATATTTTTACCAGATAATAATATTTTCCGTCATTTATTCTTAACGACTCGCACGTTTTAAATCCCCTCATTTTAACACATTACATACTGATTTTATGTAGCACCCTAATAAGGGACAAGTGGTGAAGTCAAAAATCTTAATGAGGCGGCAAAGAAATTTATATTTGTGAGTTCTTAAGCATGGACACTAGAGAGGACAGAGGAGGGCTGGAGCCTTACCAAAACAGTATGTTTGCAATTCTTATACAAGTTTTACAAGTAAAGTTGAGGGGCTATAGCCTCTCATGAATACAACGTTGCTCCGCCACTAATGGGAGGACACATAAGTATATCAACGCATGGGAGTGACTAGCAAATCAGTGAGTGCATCCTTGGTGACAGTGTCCGACAAAGTATAGCTATCATAATCTTGGTATATCACATCCGTCGCCCATCCTAGACCAAGGATCATGGAAAGCACTTCGCCAGACACAAATTCGGGCAGATTGAGACTCTCCTGGTTTATATCCTTCCTGTCCGTCTCCATCATTTCCTTCAATGCATCAACTGCTTCCTTTTTCGATACGTCGTACTGGTTCATGTAACATTCAACCGATGACGAGACATGTCCTCTTTCTTGCTCGAACTGCATGCACACCAACTTTATATCTCAAGGTATGGTTCAAACCACCGACAATAGTTACGTTGCAGTAAGCACGCACGTACCTCATGTGAAACGACGTCGTTGCCTAGGCGTCCGAGATCGGATACATCAACTAAAATTTTGGGGTCCTGGAATAACCAATCGAACACTTCCACGGGTGCCTTTTCACCCATCCCACACAATGACGCACATATAAGCAAGTGGTAGGTAGATGAATATACACCGTTGCGCCTATAATCCTCCACACTCGGCACCTCCCTGTTGGCATACCACCTTGCTTCTACAAGGTATGCCCTCGTCAGATTCTTTTCCTGCGACGATTATGCAAATACGAGTAAGAATTGTTGAATTGTGACATCTTTTACCTTAATATTGTTTTCTAATATGATTGTGTACATGAATTTTGTCTAGAAAGTTTATAATATAAAATAAAACTACTAGATCATTACCGCTTGTTTCAAATACTCGTAACAGTATGACCTGCCTTCCGCGGTAGTAATTGTGCCTATTTCGTCAACGACACCCATAACTGCTTCAAAAAACACTTTCATGTAACACGGGAGATCCTTCATGCTCGTGTCCCATCTATAATCATGCATGATACCATGAGGATCAGTTTGGTTCATAGAAGATGATTTAATTAAGAACGAATGTGAATGAACAAGTTGACGACGAGGTATTTGGTTTTAAGCTTTAAACGTACAAACCAAACAAACTAACCTGACTGCCTTTTTTACAGACTAGGGTGATAACGAGCATTTATAGAACTCTTCTCCTAATCCCAAACAGAAAACCAAATACCTTTTCCGAAGATAAGAAAATTTAATTAAGAACCAATGTGAATGAACAAGTTGGTTAGTATGCACTCTGTCAATAAAATGTCAATAAAAAGAAGACGAATATACTTGTAAAGACTATAAATGTTAAAGGAAACCTCAAGAAGATGATTTAGCAATAGTATGAGGATGATAATGTTCACTACATTCTAAATTCAAATCTCAAAAACCAACAAATCATCGTTCATCAAAAGAAAAAGATGTTGAAGTAGATGATTAAGCAGCAAATAACCAACAAGATAAATAAATTTCACCTCTTAATAGTAGTTGTGAATAACTCCAGCTCATCAATATTGCCTCGAACATCATATATGTCATCAGTTACTGACGCAAGAACCAAAATTTTGGTGATAAACAATCTGGCTTGAAAAAATTTCGGTTCCCATATGGCTCCGAAAGCCCAATAGTAAATCTCCACTAGTCTGTCTCGAGCAAAGCTCAACTTTTCCGCAAAGTTCAATCCAATCCACCATCTAAACATAGAGTTCAAACGATTGCTACTTAGTTCACAGTTCCTTGCACAACTCAATACTCCATAGCAATAACAATAGCAAATAGATCATATATAGAAATTTAGGAGGGACGAAGGAAGTACTTGGTAAGATGTCTAAGCTCTTGGTGGTACAAGTGCTGCACCACGTTCCAACTCAACTTGGCCAGGCTGAGCAGCACCGTTGGATCGTCGCGGCCGCCGCCAACTTCTCGCTCGTAGCAGGAGATGTAGAGCAGCTGTTCATGCCTCGGCATGCACTTGGGCCCGTTCAGGGCCCGACCAACCCGCTCCCACCGGGCCCCGGCCCAATCATCATCCCCATCGGCGGCGGCCTCCTCCATCTTGGACCTAAGCCCAGCCGTAGTGAATTCAATACCTTCTTCCAACACCACCTCCCCTGCCCCTCGCAGCTGTGCAGCTTCGTGAAAACAGAGCATCCCTTCAACATCATCTCCCAGCTCTTTCTTAAAAATTTGCTTCCCGCCAACACCCGCCGTGAGGAATTTGCTGAACGTGTCGCTCGACACGTTGTAACCGCGTCGACGGAGCAGCTTGAAATGGAGCGCTACGGTGGAGAGCTCGTGATCCTCTGCACAAGTAGTGTTCGACAGGTTTGGATGAAGGCTGAAGACTTGACGGAGTTGGTCGTCGATTTGTGGTTCGAAATGATAGCCGATACCGAGCCGCTCGATCGTATCGATTAGTTTCAATTTCTGGGACAGTTTGCCGTCGGAGGTCGAGGATAGCATGTTCGTCACCTCTTGCTTTAGGGCTTCAATCTGCTGGTTCCAGCTGCTGACTGACTGTGAGATATTTATACAGAAGAGGAGATTAAGCAGTGAAAATATGTATATCTGCTGGGTCTAGCTAGCGAAATGTGTAGTTGGTTAATTACCTCTTCAGAATGGAAGACATGGGTGATGAAGAAGTCTCCCCACACAGTTGGGTGGAATTCCGCCGTCCGGGCCTCATTCGCGGCTGGGCTAGTCGACCCGTTAGCTGCCATGGTAGTAGCTAAATTGCTGTCTTGTTTGCTGATTTCGAAGAGGATTGATTGGTGGATGGATGAAGGAAGAACCAATTGCCATCCCCTGTTTATATAGGCACTACTGCACATATCTTCACAGTAAGAGATCCCACGCAATTGATATGTGCTCTTTGTTGCTAATTCGATTTTTTAGCAATTCACCTCTTTGTCACTTTTATTGCAATTGATTTGTAATTGGATATGTAATTAAATATTATGTTTAAATTAAAGAAAATAAAATAATATAAACTTAAAAAATTTCACGCTATTTTACTGGCATATGCAATTGATTTTACAATTGCAAACACTCATGTCATTTCATCTTGCAATTGAGAATGCAATATCAATGTAGATGCTTATAGGGATGTCTATGGAACCCGAATTCACGGTACCCAACCAGTCTCGTCCAGTGAAAATAAGTAAAAATTCAGTATTGACTGGTTCTGGTTTGGGTGTGAGTTCTAGTTTTTTTTTTTTAATTAACGGATTGGGTCGGGATTGACTTTCGTCAAAATCTAACCAGCATCCAGAAAGCAAAACTACTTTGTTTTGTATATAATCCAAACAATATGGATTAATTAATTGATGTTATTAATCTCTATGACAAATATTAAACCTATTATTAGTCTTTATAGAGATATAAGTTTTTAAAATATTATCATGTGCATGTTCGAAGAAATAACGTATAATATTTATATTGAATCCACGAGTATTCATATAGTCATCGAGTTGAGTTGAATTTTATCTTCAAAATTCAATGACTGTTTTACCAAAAAAATATATAATAAAAAGTTTGAATTTAAGAAACGGCCAACCAACCGTAACAGTTGACAATTGCCAATTTGGCATCCCTGTCTGTCCGCAGCCCTCCAATTATTTTTTTTGTTTTCTTTTTTATAACGCAGCCCTCCAATTATTTTTTTGTTTTTGTTTTTATAACGCAGCCCTCCAAATTGGGGAAAAAATCCCAAAGTACACTAGTTTTTAAAAAAAATTCCCAAAATACAGTAGTTATAAAAAAAATTCCAAAACTACACATGTTTGAGCATCACCGTTTTTGTCTAAAACGGTGAAGGTCATCACCGCGTTTGCAAAACACGGTGAGTGCTTCACCGTTTTAAATTAAAACGGTGAAGGGTTCACCGCTTTTGTTTAAAACGGTGAAGTACTCACCGTTTTAATTAAACACGGTGATGCCTTCACCGTTTTTGTGGGACGCGGTGAAGTGCTGACGTGGACAGCACGGGGTATTCACCGCGTTAGACAAACACGGTGAATAACCCGTGTTTGTTTGCGTCAGCAATCCGCGCCATTGTGCTTTCACCGTGGCCGTTAGATGCGGTGAGACGCGGATCGTGGTTTTCTTCCCACGATCCGACGCCTCGCAGCACGCCACGTCACCATGCATTCACCGCGTTTGGTTAAAACGGTGAGTTCACCGCGTTCATCAAACGCGGTGAATGGATGGTGAATTAACTGCGCAGCATCTCCTCCCCCTTCCCCCAAACTATAAATACCCCCTCCCCCTATCACTTTCAACTCACCCCACAAACATTTACCTTCTTTCTCCCTCAATTTATCCGCTCTAGTCTCGTTCTAAGTATGCTCCGTGGTTGCGGCTAAGTCCGATCTTCCACATCAGAAAGAATTACTAGAGTTTGACCCTAAAGCCCCCGTCCCGCTAAGTTCCCGTCCCTTACAAAGCTAAACCCGTCGAACCTCTGTCCGGCTTCCGCCAATAATGGACGAAGAGGCTCTTCGTGTAGGTTTTTGGTTTGTGATTTTTTTTAATCGAAACAATTTGATTTATTTTTTATCAAAACAATCTCTGATTATATTACTTTTTTATAGATGGGTGCCGAGATATACGATCCTCGATTGTATATCCATTATGGCCCAAGGGATGCGAGTCTATTAACCGATCAGCAAATGCATCGCTCCCGTGCCATTTGGGATAACAATCCGGTAATTTGATGAACTGACTTGCTTTATTTTATTATTTTCTAATGTTTTATTTTGCTTTATTTAATCTAATTAATTGATGTTTTTCCTATTCTTTTTAGGAATCTCTTGTTCCCGTGCCATTCGTACCCTCCTGCAAAACCATCATCATAAGAATACTGGTGAGAATGAGATTCACCGAGCGCCTCGGTCTCAACATACACCTCTGCAAGCCGGACTTGGTTATCGCTTAGGAACTGTAACATCATCATAACCGCGTCATCATCGTTTATGACAACTTCTTGGAACACGACCCCGCCAGCACTCATGTCTGGATACCGGTAAGTAATTTTGCCAAGTCTCGTCTGTCCGCTCGTACAAACCCTTTCTGCACAAAGATCATAGAGTTCTTGAAAATTGAATCGGGATTCAATTTTCAGCATAATGGATTCGCCGTCCTCATAATCAATGCCTATGTCAGAGTTTGTCACCCTTCCATTCCACCGAATAGTAAGATGAAACTTCTTGAATTTACCCATATCTACAATTTACAATAAGTATCTATTAGCTTAAAGACAGTAAAATTAACCAAAATCATATTGTACAACTAATATTAAATCATACCATAAGTAACAAAAATAAATTCAACTAACTAACAACAACATAATACGAAAATTAAATCATACTATAACTAACGAACATAAGTTCAACTAACTAACAACAACATAATACAAAAATTAAATCATACCATAACTAACGAAAATAAATTCAACTAACAAACAACAACATAATACGAAAATTAAATCATACTATAACTAACGAATATAAGTTCAACTAACTAACAACAACATAATACGAAAATTAAATCATAATACGAAAATTAAATCATACTATAACTACTAAAAACATAATTAGACCATAATACGAAAAGTCTCAACATACCGAAAAATTTCTGTTCTGTGTATTATGCTCGATTTTGGCTGCTGAAATTTGAAGAAAGGGGAGTGGTTATGTTTTTACAACTGCTGGTGGTGTGGTATTTATAGGAAAATCTGCCTACTATTCACCGTTTTTGACAAAAACGGTGAACACTATCACCGCGTTTGTCTCAAACGGTGAATAGGTGGTAGCTGCGACCTAATTTTGACCTACCAGGGGTGGGAAACGTGGGAAATGATCACCGCGTTAGTTAACAACGGTGAAGGCTTCACCGTTTTGGTCAAAAACGGTGAAGCTTTCACCGTTGTTAATTAACGCGGTGAAAGCTTCACCGTTTTGGTGTGAAACGGTGAATACTTCACCGTTTTTGTTTAAAACGATGAAGTATTCACCGTGTTTGTCAAACGCGGTGATGATCTTCACCGTGTTTGTCAAACGCGGTGATGCTCAAACATGTGTACTTTGTAACTCATGTATTTTGAGAATTTTTTTTAAGAACGTGTGTACTTTGGGATTTTTTCCCCAAATTGGACCATGATGCGATTTCATAAATGATAATTTGACATTAATAACCTACCAAATGATAATTTGGCATTAACAGCCCGTCCTTTCATGATATAATCTTTGAATTTGAGTGAGTTCAGAAAATTCAGTTATAAGAGATGTGATTTAAAGGTTTTATTATCTTCATTAGTTTTTAATCGGTTTTTATTTTCTTCATTCTAACTTGGATTTCATTTTTTTTTTTACAGTGAAACGAGTTCGTTGTGAATGTGAACTACAAAATGAGATCTATTTTCAATATATTTTGACAAAAAAAAAATTCATACCACTCGTTACCACCCAGTACCACTCTCGTTTTAACTCGAATTCTGTTTTTTTTTTTTCCACAGACGGAACAAAATTTTCTTTATCTATTGGATCCACAAATTTATGGAAAAAAACTACAGGACTATTAGTGATGCCAATGGTGCGGGACGGGGCAGGTACCTCAATAGCCATGTCCCGCCCCACGCTACTACGGGTTAGGGCAGGTAAAACCCGCGCGGATACGTGGCGGAGCGAGTCGACCCACTCTTACATGTTATTTGAGAAAAACATACGCAAATTTTAATTTTACGATAAAACGATGGGAAAAATACTTTATGAATGAAAATAATGATAATAGAATAGGTAATTGAGTCTAACCAGTTGAAAGATCGACTCTAACTAGTTGAAGAAAAGTCAAAATAGTAGAAATATATATAGATATTGTAAGAAATTGAGGTAGAATGGGCCAAGAACAGGGTGGGAAGGGGCAGGGCGGGTCGGAAGTAGATACCCATGCCTCGCCCCACGCTATTGCGGGTCGGGTAATACCCACCCATCGCGGGCCAGGTCGAGTAATAGCTGCGGTGCGGGTTCAAATTGCCATCACTAAGGACTATAACGTACCACTTCATATACCACCCTGATATATTGGTGGTAACTAGTGGTACATAATGATGAATGTGGTAACTGATAGTTCATATATTTCTACTATCATGTACTTCAACGATTTTACAATATGTTATATTTATATCATAATGGGACACTTCCGTACCATGTGGTATGATCTCATGTAGTGCCAAGCAGTACCACCAATCCACCATGGTATATACTAGTACTAAATGTCTAAAAAAATTAAAAATATATCAAAATGGATATAATTTTGAACAACACAATTTATCTTATTTATTTGTGAAAAAAATAAATTCCGACTTAAAACGAAAGAGATATAGTACTTTAAAGGGGTAATACCACTGAAAATACCAATCTTTAGCGAAAGTGCTATTTATATTACAGAATTTCAATAATCACAAAAATACTTCAACCTATTGGGGTTCAGTGTCATTTGTGTTACGCGAATTTCAGTTGACTGTTAGAGTTAATAGTTGACTTAACGGTAGTCAACTTATATTTGACCATTAATGATGTGGCGCTTATGTGTCATCCATATATGTGCCGCATAAGAAATAAATATTATAAAAAATTAAATTAGCATTACAATTAAATAATAAACAATTTCCCAAAAGTTAACACAAAAAATCCCAAAAAAAGATTCTCATTCACGGCGGACTCATCGTGGTCTCCCCGCCGCCTCATGACCTCACTCCAAATCAAGGTCGACATCCTCCTCAGTCCTCACCCATCGTTTCTGCCATGGACATGCCACATCTCGTTGGATCGGCTGGATCGGCGACTGGGGAGACTGGATCACTGACTGCCACAAGAGTCGATCAAAACTACCAAAATCATCTCCTTTCCTTTCCCCTTCAACCGGCGGAAACCCAGCTCCGATCGATTCTAGATCAGCATCCTTCGCACTTTTTCTGTCCTCCTCTGCAAATCGACTTCATTTGTTAAGGAAAATCTAGAGAACCCAACCCCAATTGCTATCCAAACCCGACCAATTCGATCGATCACCACCAGACGGCGTTGGCGTCGCTGTTCTCCTCCAACTATTCGAACGATAAAATCCTCTAACCATTGGATTAAAACAATCCTCCAAAATCCCATATGGGATCTGTTTGAGCCTAACTGAGAGTAGGAGTGAGACTCAGGAAAGAGGGGAGAGAAGAGCAAAGCGATGTGAATATCCAATCTGTCAATGGTTGGAAGCTTTGAGAAAGAAAGAACAAGAGACAGAAGTTTCCTAGTGAGAGAAGTAGATGTGTATTGGTGAGAGAGTCAAAAATCCGATCTCCTCACCCACCGTAGTAAATGCTCCTTTTATAGTACATTACAGTAGTGGATATTTAATGCGACAAGACCATTACGTGTGTCAGAAACTTAGGCCATGCTTTAGGTCATAATCATTCCTAGGATCTGACCTAGGACGTGACCCTTCCTTCGTAGGCTGCGACACCGTTTTCTCGGTTCTCTTTCCCTGGTTTGGGCTGACCGAAACGACACCGGCTTGGGCAGGATCAAAACGACACTGGTTTTGGCAAAGTGAAACGACGTCGGCTTGGGCAGGATTAAAACGCCGCCGCCTGATGCTTCAATCATTTGCGATCATGTCTTTGCTTGCGGAAAGTTCGCTCGGCCGTCTTACTCGCGCGACTGGATCCGAGCTATATCCCCAACAGGATCCATAACTGAAGGAAAAATCTGTTAACACAATCTTATCGCCGAGTTTGGGGAAACCCTCTCTACTGTCGGCGAGAGTTTGGACGCCATTGGAATCCGTCTTTGGATGACTCCTCCGTCGCATTTTCTCTCTCCTCCCTTTTTGAATTGGGTCAGCCTCCATGACCCAGATTGATTCCACCAACCTTGTTGATTTTGGGAATTTTGTTCAAGGGTTCTACCTCTGTTCATGGCTCGAGAGTGCAAAGAGGAAAGGGTGAGAATGAAATGAAACGTGTGGCCTCCCATTTTTACATTTACTATATTTTTTTGCTATCGTTTAGTAAATTAACAAACACAATATAATTGTCCACGTCAGCGCGCCACATAGGATCATATTAGGCGTTGACTGGGCATTGAAAAGTCTTACAGTTAATTTAACAGTCCAACTAGCGGAATAGACATTTTGGTATACAAATGTCATATCGATAGTTACATAATATAAATGACACTTTCGCTAAACGTTGGTATTTCCAGTGGTATTAGCTCCTACTTTAAAATTAAAGGGAAATGATTAGGAGTCTTCCATATATAGCGATGAGGTGCTGATATGCTAGATTATGGAAGAGTTATTGACTACAAGATTAAACGTCTCATCAGTTCCCGCTCTTATGACGTTAGGTAACAAGACCACCTGGACAAAAATATTAATTTTTTATCGTGAAAAAAATAGCTCAAGTTTCTTCTTCTGTTAGAAACGAAAAATTATACATATATTATTTCAAATGTTCCAGTCTCTGCTTTGTAACGTTTTTTAACTACTATATTGTTCATTTTGTACCTAGTATGCACGATTTTGCTTTCAGAAGCGTCATTGTGACTTTTCATAAGCTTATTCACTGATGCACTGGTTTACAATGATGAACACACTTAACTTTAAAATTATTACAGTAACTTATCCATTTCACTCCAAAATTTGTTGTCAGTTAACATTGGATGTTCCTTATGAGTCGCAGATCTTTTCCGTACTTTGTCGACGTGAAATTTGTCTAAGGTGTTACCTAATACATCCCTTTTGAGACTCAACGTCCTCGTTGAGATTGTCCGACCATCACTCAACAATAACATTTTCTTTTTTTATTCTTAAGGACTCGCACATTTCAAATTCATCCATTTCAACAATCTCACACTGGTTTGACGTACCAACCTACTAATGGGGGGCACATAAGTAGATCAACGCATGGGAGTGACTAGCAAATCAGTCAGTGTATCCTTGGTGACGGTGTCCGCCAAAGTATAGCTATCAAAATCCTGATACATGACATCCGTATCCCTTGCAAGACCAAGGAACATGGAAAGCACTTCGTTAGACACAAAACCATGCAGGTTGAGACTCTCCTCGTTAATATCCTTCCTGTCAGTCTCCATCATTTTCTCCAATGCATCAACTGCTTCATCTTTTGACACGTCGTACTGATTCATGAAACATTCAACTGATGACGCGACATGTCCTCTTTTCTGCTCAAACTGCATGCATAACGTAAATATATTTAAAAGCACGGTTCATCCCAATATATATAATAGTTGTTGTAATCGCTAACCAGCAGTAATTGCGCACATACGTACCTCATGTGAAACAACGTCGTCGCTTAGGCGTCCGAGATCGGATACAACAACTAAAATTTTGGGATCCTGAAACAACCAATCGAACACTTCTAATGGTGCCTTTTCACCCATCCCACAAAGGGAAGCACATATAATCAAAGGGTAGGTAGTTGTATATACACCATTGCGCCTATAATCCTCCACACTCGGCACCTCTCCGTTGGCTTACCACCTTGCTTCCGCAAGGTATGCCCTCATCTGATTCTTTTCCTGTGAAGGTTATGCAAATACCATATGAATTATTCAATTTATGACGTATGTGATTAATTTGTTAGTTAGTTAGTTCCTATTATTCAAATTGCCGAGAGGAAAGTCAATAACAACGTTTATATTTTTTATTTACTAATATGGGTTGTGTGAAATGAATTTCATCTAGAAAATTTATAATATAAGACGATAAGATCTTTACCGCTTCCTTTAGATACTCAGAACAATATGATCTGCCTTCCGTGGTAGTAATTGTGCATATTTCGTTAACGACACCAACAATTGCTTCAAAAAACACTTTCATGTAATCTGGGAGATCCTTCATACTTGTGTCCCATCTGTATTCACGCATAATACCGTTTGAGATCAGTTTGGTTCATAGTTTCCGGCTTGTGTTTTTTTTTTTTTTTTTACATAGATGAGAGACTAAATTAGGAACACATGTGACTTAACAAGCTGAGTCTACACGCGATCAATACAAAGAAAATGAATACTAACAAAGATTAAAGATATTGTTTAAAAAAAACTAAAGATGTTGAAGCAAACTTCAAGGAGTTGACTTAGTGATAATAAGATTATGATCATATTCACGCCAGATTCTTAGTTCAAATCTCGAAGATAACCATCATCACTTATGGGGGAAAAAAGAGATGTTTGAGAACTAGACTTGTAATTGAATAGCCAACAACCATCGAGATAATTAAATTTCACCTCTCAACCGTGGTCGTGAATAGCTTCAGCTCATCAATTTCGCCACGCACATCATATATGTCGTCAGCCACTGAAGTAAGAACCAAAATTTTGGTGACAAAGCATCTGGCCCTCGAAAATTTCGGTTCCCATATGGCTCCGAAAGCCCAATAATAAATTTCCACCAATCTGTCTCGAGCAAAACTTAGCTTTGTCACAAAGTCCAATCCAATCCACCACCTAAACATGAATTCAAAACGATTAGTAATTAGTTCTTAGTTACTTGCGCAACTCAAATATTCCATAGCAATAGCGAGAACAAAATGGATCATATAAAATTTTGGAGAGGGGCGACGAAAAGTACTTGGTAAGATGTCTTAGCTCTTGGTGGTACAAATGTTGCACCACGTTCCAACTCAACTTGGCCAGGGTGAGCAGCACTGCTGAATCGCGGCCGCCGCCGCCAACTTCTCGTTCGTAGCAGGAGATGTAGAGCAGCTGTTCATGCCTCGTCACGCACTTGGGCCCGTTCAGAGCCCGGCCCACCCGCTCCCAAAGAGGCAGGGCCTGGGCCCAATTATCACCCCCGTCGCTAGCGGCCTGCATCTTGGACTTCAGCCCAGCCGTTGTGAATTCAATAGCTTCTTCTAACATCTCCTCCCCTGCCCCTCGCAGTTGTGCAGCTTCGTGAAAACAGAGCATCCCTTCGACATCAGCTCCAAGCTCTTTCTTAAACGAGTGCTCGTCGCCCAAACAGACCCTGAATTTGTCGAACGTATCGCTGGACACGTTGTAACCGCGTCGACGGAGCAGCTTGAAGTGGAGCGCTGCGGCGGAGAGCTCTGCAGAACTGTTTGACAGGTTTGGATAAAGGTCAAAGACTTGACGGAGCTGGTCGTCGATTTCTGCTTCGAAATGGTAGCCGATTCCAAGCCGCTCGATCGTATCGATTAGGTTCAACTTTTGGGACAGTTTGCCGTCGGTTGCGGATAGCATCATCGTCACCTCTTCCTTCAGCGATTCAATCTGCTGGTTCCAGCCGCTGACCGACTGCCCAGAGGAGAAAGGAAACCGCGCAAAATATGTGTTGGAACGGTTAGGGAAATCGACCGTGTAAAAAAAGTAAAGAACATAACATTATAGCGTGGAAGATTCAAAATAAAGAGATTGAGAAGACATATATGAAGACGGTTTAAACTTAATCTAAACAGAAAAGAAAAGGTTACATAATGTATCTGATGGATCTAGCTAGCGAATGTGTAACTTGATTACCTCTTCGGAATGGAAGACATGGGTGATGAAGAAGTCTCCCCATACGGTCGGGTGGAATTCCGCCGACCGGGGCTCAGGCGCAGTTGGGTAAGTCGACCGGCCGTCAGCTGCCATGGTAGCTAATCGCTCTCTTGTTTGCAGATTTTGAAGAGGATTGATTGATTGACGGATGAAGGAAGAACCAATTGACATTCCCTGTTTATAGGGCTGGACAATCAGTTACCGGTTAGCGATTTATCGACCGGTTACAATCGAAAACGGTCGGTTATCTGCTAACTGAAACCGAGATAATCGAAAACCGGTAGGTATTAGGAGGGATGGTCGAGGTGATTTTGAACTTGGGAGCAACTCGGTTAATCGAAAACCGAGATAATCGAAGTCTTAAAACCATGGTCCATGAAACCGTACCGGAGATCGTACTGGGAAAGTCAGCGGTAGGGTATTTTATGGTAAAACCGTGGTTTAACCGTAGTTCAACCGTTATACCGGTAAATACAGCCTATCGGTTTAGCCTACAATACTGGTATTTCGTGGTTTAACCGCCGGTACGATACGGTTTTATGGACACTGCTTAAAACCTCTTTCGGCCGGTGTGGTCGGTGATTCGGTTATAACCGAACCGACCGAAATTCCCATACCTGTTCATATAAGCATTGGGCATGTATGCTGCAAACGATGTTAATTAACTAACTTCCATTAATAATTTGAATCTAATTAACTAGAATGTGAATGAACCCGAACCCACAGGTCTCCAATCCGGCCCAACCTGATCAAAACAAAGTATTGATCGATTTCGGGTAGGGTCTAGGTTTTACCAGTCTTTTAAATTGATGGCATCGGTTGGGTTTGAACACTCATAAAATAAAACAACAACGTCATTTTGCATATAACCTGAACAATATAAATCAAATAATATGGATAATATTATTAGTCTTTACAAAGATTATATGTTTAGAAAAAAATTTAAAATATTACCATGCAAGCATTTGAAAAATTAATATATGATTATATTTGTGAACTCATGAATATCCATACACTCAAGGACAGGTTACGGTGATTACTAAGGGTAAATTGGGTATGGAAAAATAAATTATATTAATTAATTTTTTAATAAATTACATTTTAGGTAGTTACAAAAATCTATTAATTAAAATTCTCTCTTTCTCTCACTTCCGTGATCTCCAACCAGATTTCCTTTCCATATATTTCTCAATCTTTCTGCAAAAAAAAAAAAAATCAGTACCAATCCATTAGACAAACACTACCACTTTGAAAAACATCAATACCATTGCAGAAATAAATATATACCAATACACGAAAACTACCATTGCAGAAATAAATCTATACTATTACACGAAAACTACCAATATAAACAATCTATACCATAAACAATCAATACCATTGTAGAAATAAATCTATACCATTACACGAAAACTACCAATATAAACAATCTATACCATAAACAATCAATACCATTGCAGAAATAAATCTATACCATTACACGAAAACTACCAATATAAACAATCTATACCATTCAATTTACGAAAACTACCAATACAAGGACTATAGAAAAAAATCACTACCAATATGAGGAAAAAAACACTACCATTGCAAAAAAACAATACCAATGCGACAAAAACAATACCAATGCGAAAAACACTACCACTACAGAAAAAGCAATACACTTACATGATAATCATCCCCTGTCCGAGCACCTTTTGGCTCTATCTGTCACACACTTCGGTCAGTTCCCTCTCTCTAATAACCGGTACTTCTGAAATCTGATTCTAGGGTTTGAAGGCGGGTGGAAATTTGGGGGGAGAGGAAGAAGGAGGGGATTTGGAATCACGGTTGGCGTTGGCGCTTCTCGCTTGCGCTCCTCGTGTCCAAACTTCTGCTTCAGCTTTGCTCTCTGCAATTTCTTCAAGGAAGAAGAAAAGTTTTATTTATTTACGGCGGCCGGCGATTGAAGCGGAGGGAAGGAATACAGCAGTGATTGAAAAGGAAGGAAATAAATAGGGTTATTAAGGGTTTGGAGAAAATATATGGAAAATCTTATTTTAGGGAAGGTAATCAAGTGTGGTCATTATTTTCGTTCCAAAATTATCCCTATTCAATAATGACCGTCAGTTTAATAATCCTGAGAACGAAGAGCGAAGATGTAGGTAGCCACTATGGCTACTTAAAAATCAGTAACCATCTTAACTCATCCCCATACACTCATAGTACCTATTGAATTTTTTCGTCGACAACTCGATATGTATTTTACTATTTTACTAAAAAATTCATGAATGTACCACTAAATTAGGTTTGAATTTAAGGAAACCGACCTCACCGGTCCATTAGTCATTACTATCCCTATTCGCAGCCCTCCAAATTGGACCATGATGCGAGATCATAAATGATAATTTAGCATTGATAACCTAACATACAAATATTCCATCTGCCAACGCAGTTTTGATGCCATGCATACATTGCTGAATTTGCTGCCTGCATTGTCAGCAGGAGCGTCACCTTTTCGAGTTTTGATAGGGTTGTATATCAGGGAAAGAAAGAACCCTTATCCTGAATTCCTGATGGACCTTATTCTCAGTCTAGGGACATTCTTTCACGATCTTCTCCATCGCCAAATAATCCACAAGAAAAAATTTATTGCGATTACTCGCTTGACAACAGGACTCTGAAAGTGACTTTCGCAATAGTTTTTTTTAGAAGTAAGCGATTTTAGAATAGTTATTGCGAATTTTAGGGGTTAATTGCATGGTTGGTCATTGAGATCATAAAAAACATTCAAGTTTGGTCACTCGAAATATTTAAATTCATTGGTGGTACTTTAGGTTACTGAAACTGTTCACATTTGGTCACTCTCCGTCCAACTCCATTAACTTTGACTGATATGTCAGTCAACTCTCAAAATTGACCGCTAACTAAGTGACGTGGCAATTAAAAATAAAAAATACAAGAAAAAGAAAGAAAAGAGTAAATATTGGAGAAGGAAACCGAGCGACTCACTCAACCCATTTTTACCAGAAGTCATTATCATCCCGTGACAGCAAGAAACCAAAGAAAACCCCACTAGGAAAAAATGGCCATAAAATCCGCCACCGCTTCCTCGTCCTTCCCGTAGAGGAGGAGGAGGAGGAGTACAACGAGCTGGCGGCGTGGAACTTGAGCGGGAAGCTGACGGGAAAGCAGAGGATGAGGAAAGTGGGGAAGAAGGGTTCCCAGAACAAGATCAGTAACGCCAAGCGCAATCCCTACAGCTACGTCAAGAGAGGGTGCGCTTATGGGAAGCACAAAGCTTGAAGAAACCGTAAGTAAGTAGCAACCAGATCGGAAGGTAACAATTTGGGGGAAACGGGGAAGGAACCATCTCTTTTTTTCTTTTTGTCCTTTCTTTTTCCCGATGTGAATTCTGCAAATTCGTGAATTTTAGGGTTCGTCTCCTGGTAGTTTGATTTTTAGGGATTTTAAATGTAAATTGGGGGTCTGTAGGAATGTTTAGTTGGGTTGGTTGCTTCTGTTCCTAAAATGACTGGATGGAAAATTGTGGCTGTGGGAGGATGGTTTAATTTGGAAGCCCGCTCCAGCGTGCGAGCAATGGGAGTGGTTGGGAGCAATGCAGTCAAAAGCGTGATTCTATTTAGAAACGGAAAAGGGGTAAAATCGTAAAGCGTAAAAGCGTAAAAGTGTAAGTTTTTAACGCATACTGTAAAATAAATAAAAATATGTTAAGTACGACATATATTGTGTAAAATATGAGTGCACGGAATCTAGATAAGTTAATAAATACTTGCAATGCATGCTTAAAGTATAGCAACTTATAGTCTCTTAATAATACGTTCATAAACATAAATATTAACGATTAGCTACCTTCACCTCTATGCTAATGAATTTGGGAAGAGTCTAGCTAGTGAATTAGATGACTCTATTGAAGCTGAGAATGCATCCAAGCAACTGGTATGTACCTTTTAATCTCAAATGTATCATATTGTTGTGATTTACCTTTAAAATATACTTTTGATAATTAATTTCATGAAAAGAATCCACATTTAGTGAACTAAAAGCGTAAAAAACGTAAAGAGTTTTGGTGAACCAGAAGCGTAAAACCGTAATTTTTTAAGCTTTAAATTGGAATTTAGTCCGATTTTATACACTAAAGTTTTTAGGGTAAATACAATATATTAGCCACAACTATTATGAAGCGGGATATTATAGCCACAACTATGAAAATTCAAATTATTAACCATAATTATTGTTGCGGGTCAAGATATGGCTAACTGTTCGATATAGTTATTGAATTTTTAATAAGAAGGCCACGTCATCGACCACGACAGCAACCACGTCATACTGCTTTTAATTTATAACTTTGAAACATAAAAGTTTAGTCAGTATTACGAACAAAATTGTTAACAGGTAGTTAATGTTTGGCTAATAATTTGAATTTTCATAGTTGTGGCTATAATTCCCCGCTTCATAATAGTTGTGGCTAATATATTGTATTTACCCACGTTTTTATATGGAAACGAAGGCGGTTTGGTGACCTAGAAGCGTAAAACCGTAAGTTTTTAAGTTTTAAAACGCGATTTTGATTGCATTGGTTGGGAGAGATGGCGATGACGATCCATCGTCGTTGGAGAAGAGATGGTGGTGGTGGTCCCCTGTTTCCGGCGGGAGTTGATGGGTGTGACGACGGTCCGTCGTCGTTGAAGTGGTGGTGGTTGGTTTGGTGGTAGTCGTGGTGGTGGTCTGAGGCATGGGGAGGGTGCTTGTTGTTGTTCTTGCGGGAGGTGATGGCGATGGCGGCGATGGTGAGGTTGAGGAAGAGGAAGAGAGAGGTCGGCATGAACAGATAGGATACGCCACTTTCAATTTGATAATTATAATAATTTTGTATTTTATTTTATTTATTTATTTTATGTAAAAATGAGTTGGACATTAAAATAAATTACATTAAAATTTATTTATTATTTCTTAATTGCCACGTGTCTTAGTTAACGGTTAATTTTTAGAGTTGACTGCCATATCAGCCAAAGTTAACGGAGTTGGACGGAGAGTGACCAAACGTGAACGGTTTCAGTAAACTCAAGTACCACCAATGGATTTAAATATTTAGGTGACCAAACTTGAACGTTTTTTGTAATTTCAATGACCAACCATGGAATTAACCCCTAATTTTAGTGGACAAATGTGTGAAGGAAAGACTGACATGGTAATTTGTTCTTCTCCCAGTTCAATTCGGGACACGCAAAGAAAAAGGGAGGACCAGAACAAAACCATAAATATATTTAGTTCGTTTCAATTCGGTCAAATCCAAATTCAGTTCCGCTCAATTTTCTTCGTATTTAAAAAATAATTTATAGGATCAAAACTGAATAAAAAATATATACAATCCTATCCAATTCGGTCCAAATATCAATTCGGTACAATTTGTCCCCGGTGTGAACCTGATTGTTGTCCATCCTTACTCAAAGGTCAATCTATTGACCGTTTATAAGTAACGGTCAAAAATTCAAAATTGATGAAGTTAATAAAGATGAAAGTTTGGGATAAAATCTTGGGTTAATACCTTAGTTTGGCCCGAAGTTTAGCGTTAATGACAATTCTGGCCTCATTTTTCAAATAAGACATTTATGGCCCACTTTTGAAATTATTTGACAAATTTGGCCCGGAATTTATTTTGACCGTTAAAACTAACGGTCAAACATTCTCACCGTTAATGACTGAGCAAAAACTACTTATGTGGCCTATGCATGATTGCCACATCATCAAATAATAATTTATTTAATTACCTAGAAGAAAATTAGAAGCAAAATAAAACAAATCAACAAATAAAAAAATAATAAGTCAAAGACCGGGGTCAAAATCCCTAATTTTCTTCTCTTCTTTCTTAACTCATTGCAGACAATCCAAAGGGCCCAAGAACTCTCCACCACCACCAGCAGCTCTTCCCTCTCCGGCAGGAGAATGCTCTGCTGCCGCTGTCAAGCAGTCGTCGGCGTTGAAGGAGAGAACAGAGGAAGGAGAGAACAGAGGAAGGAACTTCCGGTCGGCGTTCCCCTGAATCATCTCGACATTTCCCCATCCGTCGTTGCAATCACCGTCGACGTCGCCCATCAAGCTCGACCTTTGCCGCATTCCCGACGCGCTCTCCTAACTCGTCGCATCGCTGTCCTTGTTCATCGTCCCAGCTGGTGACCCAGGTGTAGGGAGTAAAATCCCCTGCCTCAAGATCTGTCGCCACCGCAGCCGGATTTTCTGGGTTTGAACCATCAATGGCTCTTCTCGTCCGAAGCAGAGGCAAGCTTCCTCCGACCTTTGCCATCATCAAGCTTGTGGGTATCGTCGCCTATGAGTGGGAATAAAAGAATGAGGAGATGGGCATACTTCCTCTGCGGCGGTGGCCATTTTGAGAGGAAGAAGAAGGAGAGAAAGAGATGGGTAGGTTAGGTTAGGCTTTTTTTTTTTTGGAATAAAAGGAGCAGAGAGAAGTCTTTGTCCATTTCTTATTTAATGTTTTATTTTTTTAATTAAAAAGTGACGTGGATGTCACTTCATGCTGAGTTATTAACGGTGAGAATGTTTAACCGTTAGTTTTAACGGTCAAAATAAATTCCGGGCCAAATTTGTCAAATAATTTTAAAAGTGGGCCATAAATGTCTTATTTGAAAAATGAGGCCAGAATTGTCACTAACGCTAAACTTCGTGCCAAACTAGGGTATTAACCCTAAAATCTTTCTATTTAATAATTTAGTACGGAAACGACACATTTTAACATTGGGTGTTGTAGTGGAATTTGCCTACACGCTACAGATACTGATACACTCGTCAATCCAGGACTCAAATTGTGGCGATCCTAGCCCAATCTTACGGGCCGCCTTGTCAGCGTAGTAACCTAACCCAACCCAATCTCTTCATTCCTAAGCCCAGTTCCATAAACCGCGTAACAAAATTTGTCCGGCCCAAAAAAATATTCTTCCCCCCCCCCCACCCCCGAATGGCCGGACGGCGAAAGCACCACCGCAGGCGCACAAGAATAGTTCAAAGACAGAAGAAGAAGACAGAGAAGAGTGACGATCGCCGTCGACCCAAAGAGTTCCATCGATTCGCGGATGTCAACTTCGTGATCTCAGCCGAATTGGGGGAAACCCTCTCGCCAGCGACGACAAAACACCTCCCGAATCTCGAATTCACCGCCGTCCCAATTTTTAATCCCTAATTGATCTTGTAACCTAAAATGGCTTCTTCCTCTTCTTCCAGGCAGAATCCGCTTCCCACCACCAACCTCTCCTCCTCCATCTTTCCAACCACAATATGTCGTCTCCCGGCGGAACAACCGGCAGCGACCCCAACGGCGACTTCAGCACGAAGATCGCAATCCTCCTCGTCGGCGTCGGATCCGCCGCCCTCGTCGTCACGATCTATCACTGCATCGCCGTCGGGTGGTGCAACCGCAACCACTGGAGCGGGTTCGGGAACCAGCAGGGCGCGGGGCAGCAGCGGCAGCGGAGCCGCCGGTTCATGGCGGAGGTGCTGGAAGGGCAGAGCATGGAGAGCTCGACGGCGGAGCTGATCCCGGCGTACAAGTTCTACAAAGGGATGGGGCTGATGAAGGAGGACGGCGGGACCTGCGCCATCTGCTTGTGCGAGTTCGAGGAAGGGGAGGAATTGAAGACGCTGCCGGAGTGTGTGCATTCTTTCCACGTTGGGTGTATCGATATGTGGCTGTATTCCCACTCCAATTGCCCGATGTGCCGGACCGACGCCGCGCCCTCGCCCCAGGTGTCGTTCCAGGAGGAGGAGGCCGGCGGCGGCGCGGTGGAGGTCGGAGATCGGAACTCGGTGGTTACGTTGGAGGGTATTATTGTACATTCCCGGCCCGATCAATGATTCGATTTTCCGATTGAATTTGAAGAATTGCAGGGTTTTCGCCTGTTGTGATGGCTTTTGCGTAGTGTTAAACCGACGTGGTTATTCAGATCCGATGATGAAATTTTTGGAAATCCACATCGGGGAATCGGTAATTACACTGATTATAAATGTAATTAACGATACACCATACTTGAATTGGAATATTGGATGCAGAATAAACATGGTTATCATTCTAAAAAACAATAGACACATTCCAGCAAGATAGATACAAGAATTGAGCATATATACTGTAAACTTTGACAATCCGGTTTAATCTATCATCTCGATTTACAATTTGTCAGAATTAATAATGTGAAACGAACTTTTTTTTTTACATCAACTTGTACTAAATTCAATTAAGTTTATTAATGATTTACAATCAGTGTTGATATGCTGAAAGATAGATGACAAGAGATAAGAAGTGAAAATATCATGTTCTTGATCTTATTTATTAATTTTAACGATATTATTTTGTCTATTTTATTGTCACACTAGATCGTAATGCTATACTCATGAGACACTTGTGGATGCCATGTAGAAAAGTGACCCTACGATTAGGGGTGGAGCTACACAGGGCCTGGGAGTAGGGATGGCAATGGGCCGGGTTGGGTCGGGTTTTGTCAAAGCCAAACCTATGGGTTTATCCGTGAAAAAAATTCGGGGTAAAACCTATTGGGTTTGAAAAACTCAAACCCAACCCAACCCGTTGGGTATCCGCGGGTTCATGGGTACCCACGGGTTTTGTCGTAAAAAATTTACAATAACAAGTTCCTATCAAAATTAAAGTCAAATATCAATCTCTCAATACAAATTATCCATATTTAAAACACCATTCTAGAAAATTCAAGCAAATCACAAATTAACTATACAAATTGTTCAACACCAATCTAGATAACATCTACTTCATTCTACACAATTAGAAGGAAAAAATTACACATGACTCCACAAACATAAATAAGATTGGTTGTTTAGAATATAAAATATACCGAGAAAAATAATTATATGTGTGTGGGCGGGTACCCATTGGTCGGGTTTACCTAAACCCAAACCCAACCCAATCCAGTGAATAGTAAACGGGTTTAAACCCAAACCCGGTCCAAAACCCGTCAACACGGATTTTACCCGCGTTGACCGGGTTGGATCGGGTGGGTACCCGTGGGTTCGGATTTTGTTGCCATCCCTACCTGGGAGGGGCCTAGGCCCCCTCGAGAATTTTGAAAATCACAAATGAATGTTTGGGTATTCAATAATAACAAGATCCGTGCAACAATGTACAAAATGAAGTCACTTAACCTCATGGAGTTGTACGTATAGGTGTCAATCGGGCGGGTTCGGGCGGGTTCGGGCGGGTTCAATTGGGTTCGGGTTCAAACGGGTTCCGGGTTAGTCGGGTTGCGGGTTCATCGGGTTCGGGTTCATCGGGTTCAGGTTCAAACGGGTTGCGGGTTAGTCGGGTTGCGGGTTAGTCAGGTTGCGGGTTCATCGGGTTCGGGTTCATCGGGTTCAGGTTCAAACGGGTTGCGGGTTAGTCGGGTTGCGGGTTAGTCAGGTTGCGGGTTCATCGGGTTCGGATTCAATCGGGTTGCGGGCAAATCGGGTTGCGGGTTCATTGGGTTTTGGGTCGGACGGGTTGCGGGCGGGTCGGGTTTCGGGTTGTTCGGGCCAGCGCATAAAGTAACTAAACTCATTACTCATTACCAACTTACACATTTTATTACACTAATTTAAAATATTTTCTCAACTTTTTAACCAATTTATTTCTACCTGGTATATATATACTTTATTTTTTTGAAAAAAACTAGTCAAAATGTTAAATCAATTTGTATGACTTGCAAACTTGTTATGTAATTAATCATAATTGGTAAAGTATTATAGCTAATAGTAATGGTGATATCAATATTTGCAACCAAAAGACACCGTTAATTGTTTATTTGATATTTTATTATTAATTCAGTGGTAATTGGATTAAAGTATCTCGTTTAGTATAACCATGCAAATCTGGTATTTGGCGTGTGGTATTTGGCAAAAGCATAGTGATAAAAGGAGTTATTTCAAAATAATTCATTGCCCAAATAACTTTAGTAAACTGTTGCCAAACAAGTTATTAGTAAAATTGTTCGAATTATCCTAAAAATTGAACCATTAAAGATTAGCTATCAAATTTAGTAAAATTATTGTGACTTCAATCATAACTTGCTCAATAGCATATATCCTATACACTTAGCTTTACCCTCAATCAAGAATATTAAGTTAGTATATGTTGTTGATTGTATACCCTAAACCATCAATACATTATACACTAACCACATAACCTGTACCCTAATCATATGTCCTTGGGTTGTGATTTTGCTAGTATAGTTAATTTAAAAGTGAAATTCATACTTTGATTTTCAAAACATAGATAAAAAGTGATATTTGCTAATTGTTATACCCTAACCATACATCCTATACTTTACACCACATACCTTGCACCCTAACCACGTACCATAAACATAAATTAAAAAGGGATCTCTTGCCGTTAAAGACTTCAAATGACTTCAAGTGAACATATGTTAATAAAAAACTTAGAACCGTCAAAACCATCAATATCTTATACCCTAACCATATACACCCTAAATCATATGTACCTTATACCTTATACCTTATACCCTAACCATATACTTTATATCCTAAACAACGAACCGTCAAAGATTACTTATCAAGTTTAGTATAAATTGTTGTAACTAATGGTTAATTTATTTATTAGCCCATAAAAAATTACATACATATATACATATTAGCCTTCAAAGCATATAAGAATAATTTTAACTAGTCATGCCCTCCATATAAAAGTTAAAGATTCATATTTCAAAAGCTAAAATTATGAAAAACCAAAAAATTGAAAACACCAAATTTGTTTCCTTCTTGCTTTTCACAAAAATACTAAAATTTTCCTCCTTCTTTCTCCTTCCATACATTATCATCTTCTTTCCTTCTACAAAAAGTTGAAAAGTCAAAAGTTTCCCTCATTATTTCTCTTTCATAATCAAAAGAATCAAACTTTCCCACTTCTTTCTCTTCCCACATATCAAATCCACCAAAATTCCCACTTGTTTCTTTTCTAAAAAAATCAAAGAACCAAATTTCCCTCTTCTTTCTCTTCCCAAAAACTTGAATACACCAAAATTTCCCTCTTCTTTTAAAAACATCAAATTACCAAACCAAACCAAACCAAAATTTTAATTTATATATTATATTAATATTGTCATGATCTCAAGTGACCTTCATGTTTCAATTTTTGTAATTTTCTTAAAATACGTAATATCAAGTGAGTTTCATATTTTTAAAATTTCTTATACGAAATGAAAAAAATAATTTTACTTAAGTTTAGAATGAAAAACTTTATTTTAAAAAACTATGTATTGTATATTTTTATAATTATTCAAGTGGATTAGATGAAATTCGGGTTGAGTCGGTCGGGTTACGGGTTAGTCGGGTTCGGGTCAATCGGGTTCGGGTTAATCGGGTTGCGGGTTAGTCGGGTTGCGAGATAGTTGGGTTGCGGGTCAGTCGGGTTGCGGGTCGGGCGGGTTACGGGTTGTTGACTTTTAGTCAATTCGGATTGCGGTCGGGTTAATCGGGTCGGGCTATGTTTTGACACCTATAGACTTGTACGCATGCTACAGCATAGCAGTCAGTGGTTTGATGCTCGCTAACGTTAGTTTAATGTTAGTTTTTGGTTATCTCATTTGGTTCCTTAACTAGTTAACTATATGTATTTTACTTTCGTGAGTTTGAAATTTAAGTTGTTCAAATTATTTTAGTGATAAATTTCTTCCGATAAGTTTAACTATAATTTTTATGGAAAATCAATCTAGTTATTTAAAAATTTATACTTTGATTTCTTAATCATTTAAATTTCAACTTAATGACTTTCTTAATTTATCAAATTAAAATTTAGATACTTTTTTATACGTAAATGATAATTTTCTTTTAAAAATAAAATATTAAATAACTTGCTACAATTGAAACAATATGTGTTGATATTTTACTCATTTATATTGAAGATATCATAATAGATTACATCTTGAACCAATCTAATTATTTGACAAAACATCGTGTACATATCAATTTGTTTATATAGTTATATAATTATTTTGGTTTTTTGTCTAGTTACGTTAATATACTACGGAACATTTTCGCCCCCGAATCCAAAATCCTAGCTCCAACCCTGCCTACGAAGTTGTGCTCCGTAACAATTTATCTTATTTGTCCGAGAAGACTGAGGAGTGCCCTCCACCACAATTGTAATCTTTGCTAATACATTCGGTGCATGCATTTTTTTTATCTAGGTATGTTCCAAATATTCTACTTGTTAATACAATCCATCGTTCGATCATTGAGGTGGCCGTCAAAGAATATTGGTTCTTGTCATTCACAACAACGATAAGACCCAAAAATATCAATTCAAATTTTGAATTGTTTCCCCCATTTCGAATAATCCCAAACACATTATTTTGGCAAAAGGACATGACCTCTACCAAATTAAAGGGATAGAACTTCACAATCATAGGAAAAAAAGAAGTAAAAGAAAGTGACTCACTCTTGTGTCAATAAAACCAACAACTCCACCTTGGCATTCAATGACGCATCACTATCCCTTCATTTGTGATCCCATGTGAGGCTACCTCTTGCCAATGGTAAGCCCCAACAATTACCTGTTCCAGAGACTCACATTCATATATGTTTTGATTCCTTCGACTCTTCCATTGCCACATTTCTAAGTATTTATATGTGCAACCACCAATATTTATTTCCCGTTCTGTCTATCCCTTGAATTAACTAACCATATCCCATCCTTGTTTTCTGTGTGCAATTCAGCAAAACCCATGAAGACTGATATCTCCTCTGTTAAACAATTTGCTCGCCGCTGAATTCCTTGGCTTTGTCCACAACCTGTTCGATAATATGCCAAACTAAAGGTGAAAGACCACTTGTAATTGTCCTGCACCAATGTGGCCTGCTAGGTAGGGTTTACACAGTCCTCTTGGAAAGGGCACATAGAAAAAAAAGAAAAGAAGTGCTTTCATAATCATGGCTGGTTCTTTGATTTTCAGTATAGGTGTCAATCGGGCGGGTTCAGGCGGGTTCGGGCTAGGTTCAATCGGGTTCGGGTTCAAACGGGTTGTGGGTTAGTCGGGTTGCGGGTTCATCGGGTTCGGGTTTATCGGGTTCGGGTTCAAACGGGTTGCGGGTTAGTCGGGTTGCGGGTTCATCGGGTTCGGATTCAATCGGGTTGCGGGCAAATCGGGTTGCGGGTTCATCGGATTTTGGGTCGGGCGGGTTGCGGGCGGGTCGGGTTTCGGGTTGTTCGGGCCAGCGCATCAAGTAACTTAACTCATTACTCATTACCAACTTACACATTTTATTACACTAATTTAAAATATTTTCTCAACTTTTTAACCAATTTATTTCTACCTGGTATATATATACTTTATTTTTTTGAAAAAAACTAGTCAAAATGTTAAATCAATTTGTATGACTTGCAAACTTGTTATGTAATTAATCATAATTGGTAAAGTATTATAGCTAATAGTAATGGTGATATCAATATTTGCAACCAAAAGACACCGTTAATTGTTTATTTGATATTTTATTATTAATTCAGTGGTAATTGGATTAAAGTATCTCGTTTAGTATAACCATGCAAATCTGGTATTTGGCGTGTGGTATTTGGCAAAAGCATAGTGATAAAAGGAGTTATTTCAAAATAATTCATTGCCCAAATAACTTTAGTAAACTGTTGCCAAACAAGTTATTAGTAAAATTGTTCGAATTATCCTAAAAATTGAACCATTAAAGATTAGCTATCAAATTTAGTAAAATTATCGTGACTTCAATCATAACTTACTCAATAGCATATATCCTATACACTTAGCTTTACCCTCAATCAAGAATATTAAGTTAGTATATGTTGTTGATTGTATACCCTAAATCATCAATACATTATACACTAACCACATAACCAATACCCTAACCATATGTCCTTGAGTTGTGATTTTGCTAGTATAGTTAATTTAAAAGTGAAATTCATACTTTGATTTTCAAAACATAGATAAAAAGTGATATTTGCTAATTGTTATGCCCTAACCATATATTCTATACTTTACACCACATACCTTGTACCCTAACCACGTACCATAAACATAAATTAAAAAGCGATCTCCTGCCGTTAAAGACTTCAAATGACTTCAAGTGAACATATGTTAATAAAAAATTTAGAACCGTCAAAACCATCAATATCTTATACCCTAACCATATACACCCTAAACCATATGTACCTTATACCTTATACCCTAACCATATACTTTATATCCTAAACAACGAACCGTCAAAGATTACTTATCAAGTTTAGTATAAATTGTTGTAATTAATGGTTAATTTATTTATTAGGCCATTAAAATTTACATACATATATACATATTAGCCTTCAAAGCATATAAGAATAATTTTAACTAGTCATGCCCTCCATATAAAAGTTAAAGATTCATATTTCAAAAGTTAAAATTATGAAAAACCAAAAAATTGAAAATACCAAATTTGTTTCCTTCTTTCTTTTCACAAAAATACTAAAATTTCACTCCTTCTTTCTCCTTCCATACATTAGAAAAACTAAATTTTCCCTCATCTTTCTCTTCCATAAAATTGAAAGAACCAAATTACCCTCTTCTTTCCTTCTACAAAAAGTTGAAAAGTCAAAAGTTTCCCTCCTTATTTCTCATTCATAATCAAAAAAATCAAATTTTCCCACTTCTTTCTCTTCCCACATATCAAAACCACCAAAATTCCCACTTGTTTCTTTTCTAAAATATTCAAAGAACCAAATTTCCCTCTTCTTTCTCTTCCCAAAAACTTGAATACACCAAAATTTCCCTCTTCTTTTAAAAACATCAAATTACCAAATACATTACTTTACTTTATTTATATTTAATTAATAATTTTATTGAATAGTTAAATTAACCAAAAATTTTAATTTATATATTATATTAATATTGTCATGATCTCAAGTGACCTTCATGTTTCAATTTTTGTCATTTTCTTAAAATACGTAATATCAAGTGAGTTTCATATTTTTAAAATTTCTTATACGAAATGAAAAAATAATTTTACTTAAGTTTAGAATGAAAAACTTTATTTTGAAAAACTATGTATTGTATATTTTTATAATTATTCAAGTGGATTAGATGAACTTCGGGTTGAGTCGGTCGGGTTACGGGTTAGTCGGGTTCGGGTCAATCGGGTTCGGGTTAATCGGGTTGCGAGTCAGTTGGGTTGCGGGTCAATCGGGTTCGGGTTAATCGGGTTGCGGGTTAGTCGGGTTGCGGGTTAGTTGGGTTGCGGGTCAATCGGGTTGCGGGTCGGGCGGGTTACGGGTTGTTGACTTTTAGTCAATTCGGGTTGCAGTCGGGTTGCGGGTCGGATTGATCGGGCGGGTTAATCGGGTCGGGCTATGTTTTGACACCTATAATTTTCAGGGTAAAAGAAACAGGGGTCCATTTTTCTGGATTGGGCTTTTAGGGATACAAAGTTTGGGTTTGGCAAATGGCAATTGTGTTGAGGTATCAGCTATGCTATGTGCCATGTTCATCATGCTGCCTTAGACCGAGCCAAGGCTTATGATTGCCGTCTGATCAGTATTCACTGAACATTACCACTTCATCTCTGTGGCCTTACTGTCATCAGGAAGCCTTTTTCATTTCTAGTTTTCTTTTCCTTCTCATTCTCTTTCTTTAGTTTGTAGTTTGTACTGCTAACTCCTTCCAAACTGGTCCTCTTCACTTCCCAAGGCTATTTTATGGTAAAACTTGCTGCTGGTTCTTGGGGTTCAGGTGAAAGCATCTCTTATGTAATATCCTGGGAGAAAGATGAAGTCTTTGAGTAGTATAGGACTTGGGCTGAGCATAGTTTTTGGGTGCCTGTTACTAGCTCTAGTGGGTGAGCTTTACTACCTGCTTTGGTGGAAAAGGAGGTTCACAAACAGAAGAATGACTACTGGGAGGGATGGTTTAAGCAGCCCGGCCAAGGAATTGTTCTACATGTTCTGTCTCAAAAAGCCATCATCATCAAACCAGGAGCTGTGCTCGTCAGTGAGAATCACAGATGCTCTAGTGGTGAACAATGAGGTTCACCAAGCGAAGGAGTTTGTGTTCAAGCCATTTGGCGGGGATCATGAGAGCAGTAGTGATGATGTGGTTGAAGGTGAGCTCATGATGCTGAGCAATAACAGCCTCTCAGGCCCACCAAGGTTTCTGTTCACGATTGTTGAGGAGACCAGAGAAGATTTGGAATCTGAGGAAGCCAAGTCGAGGGCTGGTGGTGGTAAAGGGTCAAGAGGGAGAAGCTTGAGTGATTTGATGTTGACTGTGGAGACACCATATCTCACCCCTCTTGCTTCTCCACCATTCTTCACCCCTCCTCTCACTCCAATGGTGGATCCCATTTCCAGTGGTGGTAGCAATGGCAATAGCAACAGCAATAGTGACAACCAGATTGGTGGGTCATTCAGCCATGGCCAGTTGGAGACATCAGCTGAGGCTGAGTTCAACAAGTTAAGGTCTTCCCCACCTCCAAAGTTCAAGTTCTTGCAGGATGCAGAGGAAAAACTGCACAGGAGGAGAAGACTGGAAGAAGTTGACGATAAGGGGAAGTTGCAGATAATGAAAAGGGTTAATAGGAATCAGAAGATGGCTGAAAATTCAAAGCTTGTCCAAGGTGAAGAAGTAGATGGTCCTTTTATCACCATTATAGTGGACAAGTACAGAGACAGAGAGGTCAGTAGTGGTTCAATGTCACAGGTACTTCCTCTGCCTTCTTCACCATCATCCAGGAAAGGCAAAGCTCCATTTATGTCATGACTAGATTAGAGTGTTTCTTTTCTTTGTTAGTTCCTTGTTAATCTTTCTTTTCTCTTTCCTTAACATGAGTGGAATTAGATCAGATTTGTTTTCTTCCCTATTCTTCCTGTTCCCATTGATGTATCAGTTTTAGGTCATCATCCTGGGATTTTAGTCTCTTAAACTTGCTTGACATTTCTGGGATGCTTGAAAGTGGACTGTTTTGGGAAGGCAGACAAGAACAAGTGGGAGGGACCAGTTAACATTGGTATTATTTCACATAAATAAAAAAATATTTTGGCATCTGTCCTCCATTTGTCCCTTTGAGCTGTCTCTGATTCACTATGTGTAATCATTCTGGTGAGTGTGTGTGAATGAGTGGTGCAAATACAACTCCCTCACTATTGGGCTATAGGACCAAAAGGAAGGAGTAAAAAAGAAGAAAGTAACATTGAAAAAAGGTAAGTGTAGTGACAAGTACTACAAGCACAGTAATTTATTAGTGTTCTGTCAACTTACTGTATGTTTCATATGTATGATGAACAAGGCGGTTTAGCACGGACTAATACCATCAGGTCGCTTTACGTAATTTGCGTCGTTGAATGTGTGTGCTAACACCACACACATCCAACAACCCAAATGGCCTCGCGAAATCGAAAAGCACTGGCAACATGGCCACATTTGATATTTGTGTTTGTATAGGAAGTGCTGATACCAATCTGTATCCAAAAAGGAAAGGAAAGAAGGGGGGAAAAGGTATCTCTCAAAGCAGGGAAGAGGGCCATGATCATGATCAAAGACGACCACATCATTTTATTAGCTCTCACTTCACTTATTGCCCATTCTCATGTCCTAATCTTGCTGCACTATCTGCTGATATGCATGCTTAGTCATTGCAGCCTGGGCCACATCACAACCATTCAAAGGCCAAAGCAGCTCCACTAAGCTGCTGAAGCGAACTCAATCCAAACTGTTTGATGCAGTCGTCTGATCGACATCAAAGGGTATATTTGGAGCCGTGTGATCAACATCAGAGGGCCATCTTTCAGTCGGAGTCTCACTTCACGAAGATAATTATGCATCAGCAGGGAAGAAAGCGAGGTTCTTACTTTTAGAGACATTCTGTGTCTGGGTTGTTTTGATTTTGGACATTTTCCTAAAGAACAAATTCCTCGTGAAGGCGTGTCCCCTTCCTGCCTCCGTGGTGGGTGGGGAATTCCTGTTGTGGCCGAAATGCTTAGTTTTGCGCCATTGCTGCCTTTGTAATTATGTACTAAATGTAACCACTACATAAATCATTAACAAAACCTCTTACTGTTTCTCTTCCAAGTAATCATCCATTCACATTGTATTACAACTGTTAATTTCAGGCATATACTGTGTGCAGATTGGTTAATGGAAATGTTCGTCATTTCGGTTCGCCAATGCCTAAGCATGGATCTTCCGAATTGTCAATGTACGCGCGATCTTGTGTTCTCCGGTAAAGCGATCTCTCAATTGAAAACAAAAACAAATCCAGCTAAAATTTAGTATGATACACACATAATACAGTACAATTCTCCAGAATGGCCTATCATTGTGTCCCCAAATGCATGGTGGAAGGACGACCCAACTGTACTTCATGGTCTGGTATATTTTCTGGTTTATGTCTTGCTGTCATTGAATTGGCAATGTCGCAACCTGACTGACATTTCTCTCTCTGCTTCTTCAGGGAATTAGGAGAACATAAGTAGCAAGGAGTCTTCTATTCTGTGGGTTTCTTCGTGTGGGCAGTACAAAGCTGGACTCACTTTCTCAAAGCAGCAGCATCAGTTATCCCAAGTTCAACGCAGATTGAACTGAGGCCCGGTTCTTCCAAGAGGCTGAAGGCAATGAATCCATAGTAGGAATGGTAGAGATCAGGTAGCTCATCTGGAAACTTAGAGAACCCGCCATACTGGTAAAAGAAGAAAAAAAAAATATATATATATAGGTAAGTAAAAGCCAACACTTACATGACCAAGTTGAGAGTAAAGAATGTAGATCGCACCAATCTCAAGCAGAGGCAAGCTTAAGAATGGGGCAAAGAGAAAGAATAGTAAGCACCTCAGATTGGCAGGTGAGCAAAAATCCACGTAAAGCTTTCTCATCAATTAGTTTGCCGGACCCCAAGATCTTCAAAACCGCCCCAACCCTGTACACAACCAACAATCGCCGTTGTCAAGTGCAGGACATGGAACTCTTGTAGAGCGTACTGTGGAGTGGAACTTCCCAAAGGTACTTACCAGAATGCATAACAAGTGTCGCTCGGCTTATTTGATCTACCTTGAAATCCACCATCGGATGCTTGCCTCTGAAGCAAACAAGAATAGCATTTACAACCTTATTACAGCATCAATAAACTTTGTCTCAGCTGATTATCTAATGTCTAGTATCTAAGTCCTAAACGGTCTGAGAGGTTATATACTAGTATACAAACCTGTAAGCACCACTCCAGTAATAGTGGAATGTCCAGTATGGAAGAACTTGCACGGCTGGACAAGAGATCAACTCCAATGGATCCCATTAGTTGAAGGGATGCAACAGCACAATAAGTTCCACCACCTGTCCACTAAAATAGATTATTTGTAATTAAGTTGGGAAGAACCAAGCTCATGAGACCTCAGAGTCTGTATAGGCAACTTAAGATATTATGCGTATCATGTAGATAACTATTGACAATATTGCTGAGGTCAACCACAAAATGACGAATAAGCAGGAAAATAAATGCAAGACTGTTTTTACAAGGTAGCTCTGAACGAAATTCGCCAACTAGAACTATTTACACTCACCATGAGATTCGGCACCTGGGGTCATCCCAAAGCCACCATCGTATGCCTGAATGAAAAGTATACCAAGTGCATAAGCGCAGGAAACAGCGAATTTTCATTCAAACCATAAACATGCAGTCATCACTCAATGTTGATCAAGCCGCACCAAGTTGCAAATGGAGTCATGCTTAGGTTCGTAGGCGCACGCATGAAACACAGGATAGCCTCAGAGAAGGCAGGTACTAACAAGTAATAAGATAATCCATTTAATGTAAGTATACTACAATATTATAGATTTCAGGTTATAACTAACCCAAATTCAATTCTTGCTCTATATGCTGCAGTACTCTAGCATAAAACTTTGTCTGTTTACTGTAAGTAGCAAAACCTATTGGAATTTTACATGCTCTACTCATACAAGATCATAAAATTTTATGTTTATCAACTTTTAGAATGATCTCTCGTTTTTGTATCAGTGTTGACCCATCTAGCTAAAATGTAAGCAATTAACAGACATATCACAAGAAAGGAAAGAAACAAGCAAGTCCAAAACGTTAACACTCGGCCCATCTGTACAGGGGAAAACCTTCTCCCTTAGGAACATTTCTGGCTACCAGGCCTGGAATGCCTTCGGCTGACCACTTTAACATTTCAGAAATCAGAGACTACTGAGGTAAGAATAAAAAGGAAAGGTTAGTAGAGAATAATGGCACAACCTTGCATTTTAAGATGTATTCAGTGGCTTTATCCCTGTCCATTCCACTCCAATCATCCAACATAAAGCAGATGGCGGCTGAAACATTACTCATTTGTAAGAATTACATATTTAAAGAGGTCCAAGAACTTATACAGCATTTGATTCCATTACCAGCACAGTAAATAAACCGAAGATCTGTCTCTGCCCCAATATGAATTGGAAGAAAACTGAAAAAAAAAATTTAGATTAGCACATTCCCCTTGCCTCATGCAAGCAAACAAATGTGCTTAAAGTCACATTTCTCTTAATAACAACTAGTTTCGTATGCATAAACAGCTAGAGGGGAGAGCTAGAAGTCACAGCAAAGCATTAGTTAGCAATTGAGCAACCGCTTAATGTAATTCATACCAGAGAAATGGAGTAGCTAATAGTATAGTTTCCCAACAAAGCTTTACACAACGAATTTCAGGTACCTGCCATCAGGTTGTTGTAAGTTTCTCATCGTCATTAACAATGGTCTCCAATCAATACTGGACAAATTGTAACCAACAATCTTCAGTATGGATAAAGCACAGTATGTACTTGCCAAATGACTATGATTGTTACTGAAACCCTGCAAGCAAATCAAACATAAGAAAAAAGTTGCCAAAAACAGGAGAAAAATGCCAGCAGCTGAATGCTTTTATTGGCTCACTAGAAGGACAAAGGTCAGTTGTCATGGTACCCCAGCATCGTCTGAAGGATATTGAGAAGATCGGGAGCCATTAAACCCATAGAATTCTCCTGAGACAGGGAAAAAGTTCATTATCAGCATTTGGTGTGTTCATACAGGTACCTAAACTTGGACCAGTCTTGCATGTTGAAAAAGAGAAAAGATAGAGACCACAGGGAAGAGACTCTTTAAAGTCATCTAACAACTCCTTTTACCTTTTCCCAAATCGAAAAATAGAGCTATACTATCAGTTTAAGCCCATTCTCACAAATAAAAAACGATCAGGACATACCATCGTTAATTTCAGCAATATCTTTAGGGTAAGCTCGGAACGATAAAACCCAACTCGCAACTTCATCTTTGTCAACCTAAAAATTCCAAAAAAAAGGCAAGTGTTCAGGGCACAAATCAGTGGTAGTGGGATTAAATGGTACAAGCATTTTCTTGGGTTTTTCCGAGCTTACGAAAGGAACTAAATGTTCATGTCAGCAATATATCGATACATTAGCAAACATATGCTCTCATTTGCATATCCAGACTCCAGTTGAAGTTACTGAGAATGTTAAGAAATATAACCTTTGACCAATGCAGCATTGCTTAACAACTACAACTAAACTTTACCTTGATATCCAATACGTTACTCATCAAAGAAAGTGAAAGACTTGCTATTTCTCACCGGTCAAGGTAATGACTTCTCCTCTCTTCGATTAGCTACGTCTAACTACTAATTTTTCATTGGGTTAACAAATTTGAAGTCTCTGATCTCAACTAGTTAACTTCATAATTCAGACACCCTAATTTAGAGAGGCAGAAAAGTCACTCTAGAATGAAGGGAATTCTGAGCTAACCACGAGAACACTCCAACTATTCATGTATTTAGAAGCTTCAACAAACAATTGAGAAGAAGCAGCAGAGCTTACTGTATCTAGCGAACCAACTATGTCGAGGCCGGAGATGGCGAAATAGGCAAGAGTAAGGCGATTGATCTCTTGAGACTGGTAATGATGCGGTAGCATCTGGTACATCATCCGCAAGAACATCAAATGCCGGTCCCTTTCAAAAGAGGTGTCCGCTAGCAATTTACCAATAGACTCTTCTTCTTCTCCTTCTTCCTGTTCTCCTGGTGTCGAGGGCGATGAATCGAGCTCCAGCGGTTGTTCCAACATGGTTGCGGAGAGATCCAGCGGCTGTTCCGCCATGGTTGCGGAGAGAGAAGAGATCTGAGTTGCCACCGTTTGCAGCTCCGATTCGTTTCCGACTTCTCAATCTAAAGGGCAGTAAAACTGTAAAACTGTTGGAAGAAGTTCGAAATTCCAATCCGACTGAAAAAAAAAAGTGAAAGGCGAAAAGTAATGGTTTCAGTGGGCTGGACCAATGGACCAAAGACCCACAAGCGTCCAAAAAATGGGCCTTGAGACAAAATCCAAACCGCTTACGATTTTGTTTTCTCTCTGCCAGCCCGAGGCCCAGAAGCACTCATTTCGCTACTCGCAGCCAAGTTTACTAGTACGTCGCACAAATCGCCGAAGATTCCGACAGAGGAATTCCGTCGAGCAGCTGGTGTGCATGAGAAAAGACGCAGACCAGTGTGGACCCGAAGGAGAGACTTGATCAGGGCCAAGAAATCCACCGTCTTGACGCTTGCTGAGAAGTGCTGTTAGCGGATTATGGCCCATGTTTTAAACGTTTTTGTACAGCCCATTTATGTTTGTACAGCCCATTTATTGTGAACGTGGGGAGAGTGGCCTCCTAGGGTTTTGTTTTTCCTCTTGGTGCGTCTGTTGTATATAGAGGGAAAGAAGGCTATGAGTGGAGTACAGAAAACACACACAACAATAAGATCATAGCTCGAAGGGTTTTCACTCTTCCGTGGATTAGTCCTGGTTCTCCAGGGATACCACGTAAATCCGGTGTCTGTTCTTGTTTTCATTTCCGTTCTCGTTCAGTTCGTCAAACATCAAATCCGGATAATCTATCATGGTATCAGAGCCACCTTCGTCAATGGAGTATGATAGACCTTCTGTTCGGCTCACCTCCACAAACTTCGCTCTCTGGGAATTCCAATTCCGTGTATTTGTTGAAGGGCGCGGCCTCCTGAGTTTTCTCGATGGAACCTGTCCACGTCCGCTACCTACAGCCGCCATTCAGGAACAAGCTCAATGGAATCAAAGTGATGTACGAGTCCGCCACTAGTTGCTGGGATCTGTTGATCCGTCCACATGCCTAAGCCTGCGTCTCTTTCCAACTGCTCATGCGATGTGGCAACATCTGGCTTCAACGTATTCCACCGTCAATGTAGCGCGACAGTTTGAGATCCAAACGGCCTTGGCTCGGCTGGAGCAGGGAGACCGATCAATTACCGAGTACTATAACGCCGCGACGGAGCTGTGGACTGAACAGGATATCCTCACCGCCGCGCTGCATCCTCAACCTGCTTCTGCCGATGCTGTCAAGGAGAGGCAGCAAACTCGCCTTCTGAATTTTCTCATGCGCCTGCGGCCCGAGTTCGAGGCAGCCCGCTCCACACTGCTGAACAGGGATGAACTGCATTTTGAAGGGTTGCTATCTCACTTGGTCCGCGAAGAAACCAGAATTCGTACCCAGGCCAACATCGATGTGCGTCCTGGTGCGGGAGAAACCGTGTTCGCTGTGGCGGGTCAAGAATCAGCCTATTCGGTAAACCGTCCCTCGTTCCATAACAAACCCATTTCTAATGATATTGAGTGCCATTTTTGTCATGAGCGAGGGCATCCTAAGAAGCATTGTCGGCAGTGGAATGTCTGTGTTTATTGTAAAAGATCGGGGCATATAATACTTGAATGCCGAACTCGGCAGAGAAATGAAGCTCGAGCTGGAGGGGAAGGATTTGATTATTCCTCACGGACAGAACGTCCCAGTGGTGGGCCTGCTGGAAGAAACTTCAACTCCCGCTCGTCTCGTCCACCAACCGGAGATCGAACAGCCCACGCAACTACACTTATCTCTGGGAACGGGCAACTCGATGTCGGCGGCACTAGTGGAGGAAGTTTCTCGGCGGCAGATGTCGAGAACATGGTCAATGCAGCTTTGCAAAGATCATTACCAACAGCCATTACTGCTGCGTTTGCTACACTGAATAATTCAGGTAACTCTTCTCCCTGGTTGCTCGACTCTGCTTGCTTTAATCATATGACAAATGCATCACAAAATTTGAGCAACATCACTCATGTTAAAGACATGTCATTAAGTGTAGCAAATGGTGGGAAATTGGATGTTCAAGGGGTAGGATTGGTACGTAAACAGAATATGACTTTGCCTAGTACCTTGCACGTTCCTGGTTTGGTTCCAAATTTGGTGTCAGTAGGACAACTTACTGAACAGGGTTGCTCTGTTGTGTTTGCACCGTCGGGATGTGTTATACAGGATTTGAAGACAGGGAGGCAGATCGGAAGGGGGAGTAAGCAGGGAAGAGTTTTTCATCTAGACGAGCTACGTGGGAGTTCCGTGTCATCTTCAGTTTTTGGATCATGTGTCAGTAGTCCTTCTTTGGATTCTTTGTCGTTGTCAAAACCAGTTTCCTGTGATTCAGCTGACTCTTTTTCGTTCTCAACATTGTCAAATAATGCCTGGGATCTTTGGCACTCTAGGTTAGGTCATCCCCATTCTGGTCGTTTAGAAATGATGTTTCGACAATCTTTGCTTGGTAAAAATCATGTTAATCTTTCTGCTTCTCATTCCTGCACTAGTTGTGTTGAAGCTAAAATGATTAACATTTCTTATCCTTCAAGTACAACAGTAATCACTGATCCTTTTCATATCATTCATACCGATCTCTGGGGATCCTCTCCTACTATATCTCGTCGTGGTTTTAGGTATTTCGCCCTTTTCATTGATCATGCTACTCGATTCACTTGGGTTTATTTTCTTCGTCTTAAATCTAAACTCAAATCTGTAGCTACTGATTTTTTGAAAATGATCCAAACTCAGTTCGATCGACCTGTCAAAATTGTTCGTTCTGATCCTGGCGGTGAATTTAGTTCAGCTCCGCTGTATGAAGTTTATCGATCTCTCGGTGTTCTGACCCAGCAATCCTGTCCTGGTATCTCCCAGCAGAATGGCCTAGTAGAAAGGAAAAATCGCCATGTCATGGAGTTGACTCGTGCCCTTTTATTGGCATCTCACGTTCCTGACCGTTTTTGGCCTGAAGCAGTTGCCACTGCAGTTCGTCTCATAAATTATCAAATTACTCCAGTCCTGCAAAACAAAAGTCCCCTTTTTTGCTCTATACTCCAGTCATCCTGACTATTCTCATCTTCGAGTGTTCGGGTGTTTGTGCTTTGTTCTTCTTCCTAAGCGCGAACGTACTAAATTAACCTCTAAAACTGCTCGGTGTGTCTTCTTGGGGTATAGTGACGTACATAAAGGATACTTGTGTTATGACCCTCGTGCTCAACGTGTTCGAATTGCCAGTACTGTCATATTCTTTGAAAATGTCATGTTTTACTCTCCAGAGTCATCCTCGTCCGACTTCCGACCAGCTAATCTTCCTCCTCCCACGTTTGCTGATGAAATAGATGATGACTTGCTTCCTGCGGTGGATCCACCTGATTCTCCTTCTCCGAGTCTGTCTCCCACTACATCAGATGCTGCTTCGCCATCAACAATTGAGACTTCACCAACGCCTAGCACTCCCGGCTCCAGTACTCAGTCCTCGCCCAGCTCACATACCACTGCCGACACTAGTGCATCTTCCAGCGGTACAAACTTGCTCTCCCCCGACACACCGCCAGCTCCGCGTCGTTCAGACCGTGTCACCAAGGGTGTTCCGCCCCCAAAATTTAATGATTACCTCGCCTATGGAGTGGAGTCTGTAGCTGTTCCGACTCGCTATCGTCAGGCCAAGGGATATCCTTTGTGGGAAGCAGCTATGCGTCGAGAGTTGGACGCGCTTCATGCAAGTAATACATGGACTCTAGTTCCTCGTCCATCTTCTTCTACTTCAGTGGTTGGCTGTCGTTGGGTCTATACTGTCAAAATGAAACCGGATGGTACAGTGGATCGGTATAAAGCTCGGCTAGTAGCTCAGGGATTTTACTCAGGAATATGGCATCGACTACACTGAGACGTTCGCACCGGTTGCGAAGATGGCCACAGTTCGTACTTTGCTGTCAGTTGCTTCTCTTCGTCAGTGGCCTCTATATCAGATGGACGTCAAAAATGCTTTTCTTCACGGAGACTTAGATGAAGTGATTTACATGGAGCCACCTCCCAGGTACCCTGCTTCTCTTGATCAAGTTTGTCGGCTTAATCGATCCTTGTACGGGCTCAAACAAGCACCCCGTGCTTGGTTTGAGAAGTTTCACACCACTATCTCTGACCTGGGCTATCAGCAGAGTCGCAACGATCCATCATTGTTCACTCGCACTACAGCAGCTGGTGTCGTTGCTCTCCTTTTGTACGTTGATGACATGGTGATAACGGGATCTGATCGTGATGGTATTCAGCGGCTTAAGGAGGGTCTCCATGCTTCCTTTAATCTGAAGGATCTGGGGGACTTGTCATATTTTTTGGGACTGGAGGTTAATCGTGATTCACGTGGAATTTTATTATGTCAGCATAAGTATATTACTGACTTATTGGATGATCATCAGTTCACTGACTGCAGGCCTGTCTCTACTCCTATGGAGTTTAATCTACACCTTGGACGTGACTCCGGAACGTTATTACCAGACAGTAAGGTTTATAGGAGCATGGTTGGGAGTCTCATTTATCTGTCAGCTACCAGACCTGACATCTCTTATGCAGTTTAGGTCGTCAGTCAGTTTATGGATTCTCCACGTTCTGATCATTTGGCAGCAGTTCATCGAATTTTGCGGTACCTGCAAGGTACACGTGATGTCGGAATCTTCTTTCCCTCGACCGGTGATCTTTGTCTTCAGGCTAATTCGGATTCCGACTTTGCTGGGTGTGTGGATACACGGCGATCTACCTCAGGTTGGTGTATACAGTTTGGTAAATCTTTTATATCCTAGCATTGCAAGAAGCAGGACAAGGTCTCCAAGTCGTCTACAGAGACTGAGTATCGCTCCATGTCTGAGGTTTGTTCTGAACTCATATGGCTCCAGCGTCTTCTCCAGGATTTTGATGTGCATGTTCACTTCCTCTTAGTCTATTTGTGGACAACACTAGTGCTATCCGCATCGCGGTTAATCTTGTGCTTCATGATCGTACCAAGCACATCGAGGTACATGTCCACTATGTTCGAGAGTTGGTCAATGCTGGGACTGTTTCTCTTCATCATATCCGGACCGAGGATCAAATTGCAAATCTTTTTACGAAGTCCTTCACCACTAGTCGTCACTCGTACCTGTCGAGCAAATTGCTGCTTTCCGACCAGCATCAATTTGGGGGAGGCTGTTAGCGGATTATGGCCCATGTTTTAAACGTTTTTGTACAGTCCATTTATGTTTGTACAGCCCATTTATTGTGAACGTGGGGAGAGTGGCCTTTATTGTGAACGTGGGGAGAGTGGCCTCCTAGGGTTTTGTTTTTCCTCTTGGTGCGTCTGTTGTATATAGAGGGAAAGGAGGCTATGAGTGGAGTACAGAAAACACACACAACAATAAGATCATAGCTCGAAGGGTTTTCACTCTTCCGTGGATTAGTCCTGGTTCTCCAGGGATACCACGTAAATCCGGTGTCTGTTCTTGTTTTCATTTCCGTTCTCGTTCAGTTCGTCAAACATCAAATCCGGATAATCTATCAAGTGCAAGGTGCTCAATTACTCCACATTCTTCCTTTCTTAGCAGCTGAAAACCATTTCCTTCCCTTGGGAGAGAACCCCACTGGTGAATTGGTAATGCTTTTCTTTAGAATGTACTGGCTTCTAACTGGCAAGGTCATCTCCATACAATCAAAGCAGATGAAAAAGGACGGTAAGCATATTAGTTTAAGCTGAAATGTATATCCCAGGTCATAGCTTTGTTTGGTTGCCGAGGAATTAAGGAATAGGATATCTCTTCTTTGGGTTGGAGTGATTTTATCATGCTGAACATAATAACTTAGTATGTCTTTTTTCTGCTAATCAATACTTGAAATCTGCATTGATCATAGCAAGGAGGATGTATACAGTTCAAAGGTGAAGTATATAATGAAGAAAGGAAGGCCATTCATATGGGTACAAGACAAAGATATGCACAACATGGTACCATTCTGAATCTGGTTCTATTAGTTTTCTCGTTTTTTCGATTCGTTCACCTATGCCTGACGGTAAAATGATATGATGACAACATTTCTTGATGTTCCTGTACAGCTTATGCAGAATTCACATGCCATCTGAGCATGAGAATTGCATGAAATATGTTGAAGCTGTTGGTTTCCACATAAAATATGTAGATGGCAGTGGAGGAACACATGAAGTTGACTCTGAAGAGATTGAAAAGTCTAGAACCAATCCGTTGGGTATAGCCTTTACATATTGATTCTGCTGTACTTATTCTCGTGTCTGAATCGCCATGTTTATCCCATAAGTGCATATCAGTTAACAGTTTGGTGTTCCACACTTTGCAGCATCGTTCTCTTCCAGGCTCATTGATGGCATAAACCAAAGCGAAGGCAAGGCGTAAGGCCCTTACCCTTTTCTGCCTCGTTCACTTGAATGCTAATGCCATTATGTCAGGGTAAGAAACTCAAAACTTACTTCCACCATCCTTTCTCCCTTTGTTTCGCAACAGCATAGCAAAGCTAAGCAGTTTCCTCTCGCTTGTTAACCAGGATGCATACATGTTATCGGTGGATCGGAAAGGGCTTCGACATGTTAGCAAAAGTTGCAGCAGTTAGCAGCGACGGTGTTTGTGATTACCAGTGGAAAGAATACAGATTCAGCTTCAAGGAAGAAGCGTTCGAGCTCGAAAGCTTTCTGCCATCAATTAGTGGAAATGGAGGAGGAAGTCGTTAAGAAAATCGGAAACTACAGCGGGTTGACATGAAGAAAGAGAGTTTGGAAAATAATAGTCCTTCAATTAGAAACTGTAACATTACCCAAAACATTCTTTCAATGCTAAATGAAAGGAAAGAAAAGCATAATTGTTGCTCTCGACTATAAGCTAGATTACGGGGGGAAAAAAACTAAAAGGGACACAAGAAAAAGCTGAGAATGGAACCTATGCAAAACTCCGAAACGGCGGCCTATCATCGGTTTAATCGACTTCTTCAATCTTGGGGCCGGCACCGCTGCTGCCGCCAGCCGGAGGAGCGTCATCATGCCCGCCGGCACCCATGTCCGGACCGGCGCCACCCTGGTACATCTTTGCAATAATGGGGTTGCAAATCCCCTCGAGCTCCTTCATCTTATCCTCGAACTCGTCCGACTCAGCAAGCTGGTTGTTATCAAGCCACTGGATCGCCTGGTCGATGGAGTCCTCAATCTTCTTCTTGTCGTCGGCGGCTAACTTGGAGCTAATCTTCTCGTCCCTCACCGTGTTCCTCATGTTGTAAGCGTAGTTCTCCAACGCATTCTTCGCCTCCACCTTCTTCTTGTGGTCCTCGTCCTCGGCCTTGTACCTCTCGGCCTCCTGAACCATCTTCTCAATCTCGTCCTTCGACAGCCTGTCCTTGTCGTTGGTAATCGTGATCTTGTTCTTCTGCCCCGTCGTCTTATCCTCCACCGAGACGTTCAGTATGCCGTTCGCATCTATGTCGAAGCACACGGTGATCTGAGGGACACCCCTGGGAGCTGGCGGAATGCCAGAGAGCTCAAACTTGCCCAACAAGTTATTGTCCCTTGTTCTCGTCCTCTCGCCTTCGTACACCTGAATCAACACTCCAGGCTGATTGTCCGAGTAGGTCGAGAAAACCTGCTCCTTCTTGGTTGGGATCGTCGTGTTCCTCTGGATCAGAACAGTCATCACACCTCCAGCAGTTTCAAGCCCTAGAGACAGAGGGGTTACGTCCAGGAGAAGCAAATCCTGAACCTTCTCATTACCCTCGCCACTCAGAATCGCAGCTTGAACTGCCGCACCATAAGCCACGGCTTCATCCGGGTTAATGCTCTTGCAAAGCTCCTTCCCATTGAAGAAGTCCTGGAGGAGCTGCTGAACCTTGGGAATCCTCGTCGAACCGCCGACGAGAACCACGTCGTGCACCGTGCTCTTGTCCATCTTGGCATCCCTCAAGCACTTCTCCACTGGCTCCATACATTTTCTGAAAAGATCCATGTTCATCTCCTCGAACCTCGCGCGGGTGATGGTGGAGTAGAAATCGATCCCCTCGAAGAGGGAATCGATCTCGATCGTGGTCTGTGCCGTGGAGGAGAGGGTTCTCTTGGCTCTCTCGCAAGCTGTTCTGAGCCTTTTGAGAGCTCTCGGGCTCCCGCTGATATCCTTCTTGTTCTTCCTCTTAAACTCCTGAATGAAATGATTCACCATCCTGTTGTCGAAATCCTCACCTCCCAAGTGAGTGTCTCCAGCGGTGGCCTTCACTTCGAAGATGCCCTCTTCGATGGTGAGAAGGGAGACATCGAAGGTTCCACCGCCGAGATCGAAGATCAGGACGTTCTTCTCGCCGACGCTGGTGGCCTTCTTGTCGAGGCCGTATGCGATGGCGGCCGCGGTGGGCTCGTTGATGATGCGCATGACGTTGAGGCCGGCGATCACGCCCGCGTCCTTTGTAGCCTGGCGCTGCGAGTCGTTGAAGTAGGCAGGGACGGTGACGACGGCGTTCTTCACATCGGTGCCTAGGAAAGCCTCCGCGATCTCTCGCATCTTGATTAGGACCATGGACGAGATCTCCTCGGCGGCGAATTGCTTCTCGTCGCCTTTGTAGCTCACGTTGATCATCGGCTTGTCGCCTGGACCGGCGATGACCTTGAATGGCCAGAGCTTAACATCGCTCTGCACCGACGAATCGCTGAACCTTCTCCCAATCAGCCTCTTCGCATCTGAAACAATCAAAACACATGAAATTAAGCTCCAATTCAAAATCTCTCAATTGGCTAAGAAATCACTTCCACATTATCAAAAACTCACAATCACGACGCCCTAACATTGAATTTTTTTAGGGATTGAATCATCCGGAAAAAAATTCAATTAAGAAAACGAACGATATCAGTGAAAAGGAAAACGGGGACTTACCGAAGACGGTGTTGATAGGGTTCATGGCGACCTGGTTCTTGGCGGCATCGCCGATCAGGCGCTCGCTGTCGGTGAAGGCGACATAAGACGGCGTCGTTCGGTTTCCCTGATCGTTGGCGATGATCTCGACCCTATCGTGCTGCCAGACGCCGACGCAGGAGTACGTCGTGCCGAGATCAATGCCGTTCGCCGGACCTTCACCTTTCCCCGGCATTTTGGAGCAATGAACACTCTGAGGGTAGAACTACGGGAGGTTGTTGTTCGATTTCTTTCGGGGGAAGACTCGCAGTACGTGATTCGATTCAGATGGTGGAGAGTGCAGGTGGGAGTTCCGTTATATAGAGTTTATATAGGGGGCTTCAGTTCTGGAATGTTCTGTATGAGAGGTTTGATTCTGGGCCGTCGATTGGATGTATTGGACGGTGGAGGATCGGTCCTTGTTCAATACGGATTTGAATTGTCTCGTTAGTCTTCTAGCGGAGGGAAAGGTTCCTTGATTTTAGGTGTGTATCCCTTTCCTTGACCGAGTCGTAATAGACACGTGGCGTAGCTCGTTCGGTCCGTGTTCTCATATGGGCCATGGAGAGAGGATCCAGTGACTAAGGGGGTGCTTAGTGACTTGACTAAGCCCCTCCCAGCCCTTAGATCTGGATATAGCAATCTTATGGTTAAAAAGTGGGAAGAGTTATTTAATTAATGACAGGGGTAGTTTCGGTATTATGGAAAATTACCAAGTATACAAACCGGACTTACAATCAGTACAAACCATACAAACATACGAACAGTACAAACTAGAGCGACAAAACATACAAACAGATTTACAAACATATGAACTGTACAAAAAATACAAACTAGACTGACAAACAATACAAACCATACAAAAAGAAAAAACATTCAGGTTGACTTTCGAGGCTTCATCCCTATATAGAGGGGCTCCTTCCCAAAGTCAACCCGGGTGGTTTTTAGACATACAAACATGGTGGACAAAAATGACAAACTAGACCAAAAATTCATATAAACTGGAAAAACACCCAGGTTGACTTTCGAGGCTTCATCCCTATATAGAGGGGCTCATTCCCAAAGTCAACTCGGGTGTTTTTTAGGCATACAAACATTACGAACATGAAAGACAAAAATGACAAACTAGACCGACAATCCATACAAACTGGAAAAAACACCCGGGTTGACTTTGGAGGCTCCATCCTATATAGAGGAGTTTCATCCAAAAGTCAACTAGGTTGTTTTTTAGACATAAAAAACATTACAAACATGATTGACAAAAATGATAAACATGGTGCACAAAAATAACAAAGTTTACAAACATTACAAAAAAAAACCGACAAACATTACAAAATAACAAAGCGTACAAACATTACAAAATAAACTGACAAACAGTACAAAGCATACTAACCGTACAAAATGTCACTAAATATCACAAACCGAATCTATACAAATATTACAAAATAGGTCAGCAAACATCATAAATCCAACACTGTTGTCGGGAAACTCTCTCTCTCTCTCTCTCTCTCTCTCTCTCTCTCTCAAGCCATAAAAGCTTGCTGGGGACATAAAATCCCACCCCTCTCTCTCTAGCCGTGGCTGTTGAAGGCCACAAAAGAGCTTTTTGGGAACAAAAAATCCCACCGCCAGAAAAAGAAACCGCGACGCGGGTTGCGGACACAAGAATCCCTCCACCAGGAGAATTCCCCAGAAAAAGAAACGGTAGCGGGGACGGGTGGAGAACAGGCCTGTGTATTTTTAATTGCTAAATTAATTAATTATGTAATTACCACCTTACCCTTCATTAAATTAGATAGATCTTAACCATTATATTTTAATGAGGCTTAATGGCTGAGATTGGCTTAGTCATGTGACTAAGGGAACCCCCTTAGTCACCTGATCTTAGCCCTGGGCGATGCCCATGCCGAAGAACATTTCGAAGCCCAAGGGGTAGTTTGGAAGTTGCGAATGTTAAATCGTTACATTGTAATGAATCACCATAATATAAATGCATGTATTGATATAATGAATACATTTTAACAGTACATTGTTTGGTTGTTGAGATTCTACTTTGTGCATGGATTTACATAAAGTTACTTTTATGGGGAAATGTCACATTTACCCTCAGGTTTTAGAATAAGATAAAAACTTTTAGGGGTATAAATGGAAAGAAAAAGTTGACACAAATCTAAAACCAACAATCACAACTTTTAGTTAAGATTGTATAATACATGCATTGTTTTACACTTTGACACTTCGGGGTCGTTTGGAAGTTGCGATTGTTTTGTTGAGATTGTCATTATGCATGTATTGTTTACAATGCATCGTTTTTTTGCTTTTTAGCAAAAACAATACATGGATTGTTTCTATGATGTGACAGAAACTATCACTCATTTTCAGTGATTGTTATATCTCAACTTTTAGTTGTGATTGTTGAGATGGTTGAGTTGAGATTGTTTTGTCTCAGCTTTTAGCTGATGCGACATACACAATAACACATACCAAACGTTGTATTCTACAATGCATTAAATTCGACAATACATGTATAATATTATAAATGCATTCTCAACAATACATCTATTCAACAATCGCAACTTCCAAACGACCCCTTCCAAACATTGTATTGTGCACAATACATGTCAGTGGCGGATCCAGGGGTGGCCACCCCGGGTCACGACCCAACCCTCCTCTGGATCCGGAGCTAGTATAGTCCTTATAAGTTTATTGATTTTAGTCATTCAGCGCAGTGTTAATTTATAATAAGATTGTGTGTAATTAGGAAATTGGCAAGATGAACATATTCAAATCACAACTCTAAATTTAGCTTGAAAATTCTAGCTCCAATAATTCTCATTTAAAGAAAAACAAAACGAAACCTAAAATTCTAAAGCGTAAAAGACTAAAAGAAATATGAGGTTTATTCCCTTAGGAAATTACTAGAGCAGCTGGTGAAAATCGGAATTGATACACAATATATATTGATTAGTCGATTGATTTGTCCAGTGTTGACATTGCTCGTTTCAACAACTACTATGGAGAGAACCTTTTCAACAATGAAATAGGTGAAAAATTATGTGTGCAACAAAATGAGCGATGGATTTCTCGCCAATTGGTTTAACTATTTTTATCTTAAAGAGAGTATGCTATTGGTATAAATGTAAACTCTATTATTGATGAATTCACTATATTAAAATTTAAAAGATCGATGTGTACAACTGAAATTGTAAAAAACAGTGATTTTTTACGGTATCTAATTTTCTAATGAAATTCGGCCAAGTGCTCTATTGTGTCCTGGATCCGCCGCTGATACTTGTATTCATCAAACACAACTCTAACAATCACAACTTCCAAACGACCCAACTATATAGCCCAATGTAGCTTGGGCCAGAGAAGAATCTAATTTACCGTTAGGATTAGGACCCGGGCCTTATATATATCCAATGTAGGAAAAAATCTCAGAATACTCTAATTATTAAAAAAAATTCCCTAAATACAGTACTTATAAACTTATTTCCCAAAATACAGCAGTTTCAACATCACTGTTGTAGACCAAGACAGTGATTGCAATCACCGTTTTTGACCAAAACGGTGATAGCATCATCGCTTTCAACCAAAATGGTGCGAGTTTCTACATGTAGAGTAACGGATTGACGATTATGCCCACGTGTTCCTCCACCCCATATACCTGTTTGCACAGCAAAAATACCTTCATTGCGGTTGAACAGAACAACTCTGTGCTTACTTGATTTCTCTTCGATCTTCTGCATGCCATCAAATATATGATGTGCTATTGAATGACCAGCACGCTCCCTCCCTATAGCGAGCTCCCGTCTCTTCACAAACCACTCGTTTACCTTTCAGTATGTCATCTCCATTAGGACAGATACAAGCATTGCCCTAATGCCCTTGTAGACTCCATTTATGCTCTCGCCATGGTTGGTAGTTGCAATGCCGAATCTAGCCCCGTTGTCCATGTGAAATGTCCACATGTGCAGATCTTGACCTTCTGCCCATATTGCTCCCGCCCGGTGTATCTGACGGATCGTCTTCATCTTCTGCTCGTTGGTTGATGTGCAACCGCTACAAGACCGGAAAATAAATAATTAAGCCATAAGAAATTTCATTTCAACAATAAACCATGAACAAGCATTGAATTACATTACTACCTGCACTCCACAATTGATCTCTTATGTCTTTCTTCTTGCCAAATTTGTGTTGGAAATTGGCAAGGAAGTGACAAATACACCAGCGCCATGTCCATCCCCATTCGTCGGGAAAACCACCGACGGCGTGTTTAATCCCGGCATGTCGATCCGATATAATTGTAATACCCATTCTTTGTGTGACGTGGGCGTGTAGCTGGTCAAAGAACCATACCCAACTTAAGTTGTTCTCCCCTTCAGCTAATGCAAATGCTAAGGGGAAAATACTTAAATTTCCATCAACCCCAGTTGCAATGAGAAGAGTTCCTTTATACTTCCCAGTAAGGAAAGTTCCATCAACCTGTTAAAAATGAATAATTAGTTAGTAAAAATTTAACTTAGTAAGGTAATGAACTAGTACAATATTTTGAGTCCGTAATATACCTGAATCACTGGCATGCAGAAGGGAAACCCGTCAATGCATGGATTGAATTTCCAAAACAGACGATGAAACATCAACTCGTTCTGTACTCGAACTTGATCTTCAGTTTGCACGTTGTTGTACCACGGCACGAAAAACGTCCCAGGGTTGGACTCCTCCATTGCGGACATTAGTCGAGGGAGTAAAGCATACGAGTCATCCCAATCACCGTAGACCTCAGCCATGGCCTTCTGCTTCCCATGCCACACCTTCTTATACCTTATGGTGTAGGAATGTCGATCATTCACCTCGGCCATAATAGCTTTTATCTTGATATCTGGTTGTGCCTCGATTAGGTGCTTAATGATTCTCGCCACCTTTTTTGCTTTAAGTTGCCGGTGATCCTGTGAAAGTATGGTTGAGGAGCATCTGTGGTTGTTCTCTACTGTTCGCATGACCCAGACGCCCTTTCTCTTCATATATGCAGCCCGAAGTTGCCACATACAACCCTCTCCAACATTCTTACAAATGACATGCAGTTGTTTGGTGTCAGAATATTTTACCTTCCATTCGAAGTTACGCCGCATGGCTTCTTCGCTAAAAGCATGGCTTCCATTCGAAGTTACGCCGCATGGCTTCCATTCGAAGTTACGCCGCATCGGCTTTCGAAGTGAACGCCATACCCACTTCCAAATTAGCAGTCGGATTATACACAGGCATGGGCCGAAAGTCAGGGGCATCGTTCTGACCATATAAAAATTGATCAGGAACCTCTGTGTAGTAAGGTGTTGGTGCCTGACGGAACGCCACCTCTCTGTCATCGATATCGTCGATATCGTCCGTATCTTCCTCCTCACTGACTGATCTCAAATCTTCCTCAATTTCATCGTCACTAGAGGCGAATGGATAGCTCGACTCAGGATGGTCATCGTTACCAGCATAACCAACATCGTCTTGATGGTCATGCGAAGTACGCCCAGATCGAAGGGTGTTCTCAATGTCAGCCCACTCTGGACCCCAAGCAGGCCATTGATCACCGTCGGGCTGAACGATATTGACGGCAGTCTCAGCATGTTGCGGGTATTCTTCCCACCCAACACCTCCTTCATAACTACCTCCTCCGTAGTTGCTTGAAGTACCACCCCAGCCATACCCTCCTGCAGAAGTACCTCCTCCGTAGTTACTTGAACTACCATCCCAGCCATACCCTCCTGCAAAACCATCATCACAAGAATACTGGTGAGAATGAGTTTCACCGACCGGCTCGGTCTCGACATACACCTCTGCAAGCCGCACCCCGTTGTCAGATAGGAACTGTATCATAATGTTCACCGAGTCATCATCATTTATGACAACTTTTTCGTACATGATTCCACCAGCACTCATGTTTGGATAGCGGTAAGCAATTTGACCAACTCTCCTTTGCCCGCCCGTACAAGTCCTTTCTGCACAAATGTCATGGAGTTCTTGCCACGAGAATCTCGACTCAATTTTTAGCATAGTGGATTCGCCATTTTCATAGTCGATCCCAATGTTCGAGTTTGTCACCCGACCATTCCACCGAATAATAAGCCGAAACTTCTTAAATTTACCCATGTCTGCAATTTATAATAATTAAGTATAGTATATAATTAGTACATTAGGGATACAAAAACAATATCATCCAAACCCATAAACAAACGCATGTAATTGATCTATCATGAGAAAACTAAGCACATTCATCTAAATTCATAACTAACTAACTAACATCTATCATATCATAATTAATCTCAATATATCATAACATATTTTCCAATAACCGCAATTCACTAAATACAGACATATAATTACTAACACATCAACATGTAAACAATACATAATTATAACATACCGAAGCCCGATCTATCATGATAAAACTAAGCAAATTCATCTAAATTCATAACTAACTAACTAACTAACTAACTAACATCTATCATATCATAATTAATCTAAATATATCATAACATATTTTCCAATAACCGCAATTCACTAAATACAAACATATAATTACTAACACATCAACATGTAAACAATACATAATTATAACATACCGAAGCCCGATCTATCATAAGAAAACTAAACAAATTCATCTAAATTCATAACTAATTAACTAACATCTATCATATCATAATTAATCTAAATATATCATAATATATTTTCCAATAACCGCAATTCACTAAATACAGACATATAATTACTAACACATCAACATGTAAACAATACATAATTATAACATACCGACTCCCGATCTATCATGAGAAAACTAAACAAATTCATCTAAATTCAGTACTAACTAACTAACATCTATCATATCATTATTAATCTAAATATATCATAACATATTTTCCAATAACCGCAATTCACTAAATACAGACGTATAAATTACTAACACATCAACATGTAAACATTACATAATTATAACATACCGAATCCCGACGAGTTTCTTGAGCAGTAAACCAACTCCAAACCAGCTGAGAAAACGACTAATAAAACACTAATATTTGTACTAATTTGCTGTAAGGTAGCAAGAGGGGAAGTGGTGGTCAGAATTTATAGGAAAAAACGGCAGCTATCACCGCTGTGGACAATTGCGGTGAACACATCACTGCTTTTGTCCAAAGCGGTGATAGCTAGGTCGCTGTGACCTAATTTCCCACCTACCAGGGCTCTAAAACGTGGTCAATTATCACCGTTTTGGTCCATGCCGATGATGTGATCGTTTTTGTCGACGGCGATGATAAGTTCTATTATCACCGTTTTTCACAAGCGCGGGGAACACATCACCGTTTTGGTCAAAAACGGTGATTGCATCACTGTTTTGGTTGAAAGCGATGATAGCATCACCGTTTTTGTCCAAAACGGTGATAGCATCACTGTTTTGGTTGAAAGCGATGATGCTATCACCGTTTTGGTAAAAAACGGTGATTGCAATCACTGTCTTGGTCTACAACAGTGATGTTGAAACTGCTGTATTTTGGGAAATAAGTTCATATGTACTGTATTTTGAATTTTTTTTTTAATAATTAGAGTATTTTGGGATTTTTTCCTCCAATGTAAGCCGGATGTTGGAGCCCCAGGGGCTAGGGATGGCAATGGGTCGGGTCGGGGACGGATAGTGCATATCCGTTACCCTACCCAAAGTAGTTCGGGTTTTACCCATACCCATACCCACATATAAAACGGGTAGAAAATTAAAACCATGCCCATACCCGTTCGGGTTTCGGGTATTCACGGTTATCCATGGGTAATGATTTCTCTTCCTAACTCCAACTAATATGTTAACATTCACACGTATTCTCACATTACGGAAGAGGAAAAGTATGACAATAATTCACTAGAATGAAGAAAATTAATTTAAACAACACAATTTCATGAAAATATTATATTTATATGCTAAATATAAAATATGTTAGAGAAAAATAATCACTATTTCTAGACAAAATACATATGTATGTGTATAATCGGGCGGGTTCGGGTTGGATACTGAGAAACCCATGCCCACCCATTACCCGCAATATTCGGGTTCGGGTTTTACCCGTACTCACTAAATGTCCTTCGGGTTCGGGTTTTACCCTACCCGATTAGACCGGATTCGGGCGGATATCCACGTTTACGGATATTTTTGTCATCCCTACCAGGGGCCAGGGCCTGCCTGTAATCACGGATGTTATGCAGTAAGCGATGCGATTCTGACGAGTATATCCGCCACACGTGGCCACTTTTCTATGGTGTCACATATGGCTGACGTGTCTGTCACTTTTTTCTGCGCGCTGCCTGGGGACGGTAAGAAGCCACAACGCGGCACCCTTTTCGGGTCGGGGAGAAAGGCCCAAAACTATACGCGAGGGTATTTCCGTACTTTTAGCGCAGCGTTTGCCACTGCCGCCTCCCACACGATTCTCCTCCTCCTTCCCCTCCTGTCCCTCTCCCTCTCCCTCCATTCCGTTAATTCAGATTCACAGAGTGAATAATAATGAGAAAAATCCTGCAGTAACCGCCACACGTTCCCCGGAGAGAGAGAGAGGCCGCCATAAACGAACGCTTTGCCTGAGTTTCTCTCCCCTGTTCTTCTTCTTCGTCAGGCTAGAGAGGAAGGTAAATGGAGGTCGGTGGAGCCGAGCTGGAGAACTTGACCGAATTACCGGTTGCTTCTAATCTTCCCGAACCGTCGACGAACCCTAATTCGTCGGAGCAGCTGGCGGCCGCGGTCCGTAGGGAAGACGGGGAGCTTTCTTCATCATCTGATGACGACGTACGTTATTTCTCCTCCACCTTGTCTTTCGTTTTCGCGTTTGTTGTTTGCGTATTCTGCTTCTGCTGGTCCTGCTTATGGTACTTGGAGACGTCACGATTGGACGATGGAATTTGAGCGTGTTCAGTCGCCGCTAGCTTGTTTGCGCCTGAGATTACTGTGCCCTATGCTTTTCATCTGAAGATTGGATGGGTTTCTGCGTGTGAGATGATTTGATACGAGCTGGGGAAGCTCCCATTTGATATCTGTGAGAGCAGGACGTGCAGGCCGTGCTTGTCGCAATTATGGTAGTTAACACAGACTTGATTTGAACAGCTTGTACTAGCGTCTTTGGGGTTTTATATAATAGGCCGACCGTCAGAATTAGAATTGAGCAAAATGTTAGGGATTCCCCTCGGGGTTTAGTGATTTTGGCCGTGGAATGAATCTATACAGTCTTGGTTTGTTAAATATGAATAGGTTTCGAGACTATAATTGATGTATTGCACACGGCTACTTGTTTTCCCCGTCCCGCCATGGCAGTCTACGCCTTCTGGATTTGGTTTCTTCCGACACTACATGATCTCTTTTGAGTTTGATACTCTGTTGTCTGGGTTTATGGAACTTAGTTTGCTACGTAATTATGGCACTAGTTCAATCAATGCTCACCCACTCTCTACTTAAGTGTTGTTGAATATTCATGTAATGCTTTTGTAACTTAAGCTTACCGTCTTTCTCTTCCGCTATTATGGCAACGTCTTTATCCTACAGGAAAACTGCAGTTCCAGGTTGCTGGAGTCATCTGGCACTGATTTTCCTTCAGAAGCTGGGGGGCTTTGTCTTGTTGAGCCAACAAAGACGTCTATGCTATGTGCTCCTTCAGGTGAAGCTTACTTGCCTATAATGGAAGAAGATGAAATACAATTCCTTCTCCCTAGCATACTTTGTGCAAGTTTGTTCCTTCTGCTTAGGGCTGTGTAGTCTGCGCTTTGGATGCTTGTGTCAGATCATATATTTTTGTCCTGTGGTTATATATTGGTTACTTTCATGCCTGAGGAATTCGTACATGTGTTGCAGAGAATGGAACTCGGACGACTAGTCCTGTGAATTCTGTTGATTTTATGAACCACACCTCTGTAGGAGCAAATAATGACAAGAGCTTTGGTAAGAATTCGATATCAGGCAGATCATCTAGTTCAGGATGGCAGCCAGCTTCAGCAGGTGACAATAATCTTGTGATAAGATTCTCGGATGAGGATACTGGTAGTGAATCTGACGATCGGAGTCAAAAGAAGAATTTGGGATCTACAAGGAGAAATGGAACAGATGGAATTGGGAAGGTAATTCCACCTTCATCAATGCCCAAGAAGTTACAACATGCTGGAAACAATGTACGAAACATAATTCCTAGGAAACCATCCCTGAGTCGCACATTTGTCTCATCCGCCAGCAAGATCAACAGAGTAAATAGCTCTCGAACTTGGACAGCACAAGCTGAGCAAACATCACGAGTTAGAAATTTCAGCAATGGTAATAGAAATACAGTTACTCAAGCGAATACCTTTGGGCTGGGTCTAGGTTCAAACCAAGCTAAACTACACGACTTACGGCAGCAGATTGCTTTGCGGGAACAGGAACTGAAGCTTAAGTCCGCACAACAAAATAAGCAATCTGCTTTGGTTTCGGTTAAAGCCAACATTTATAAGAACCAGTCCAGGAATGCTTCCAGAAAGTCGAACACAATGTGCTCTGATGCTGCACCAAAGGAACCTGATAGGAAACGCCAGAAACTGAATGGGTCCTTTCCCAGCCAGCTTAAGGCGGATCATCATGTAAATCTTCCTCCAAAACCTGTTCAAACATCAACTGCCCAGACTGCTGGTCGTGAACAGGAGAACGTGGTTAATATTGAAAATACAGGCAATCCAAAGAGAACAACGGCTTCAGATGCTGTCAAATCACTGGAACAAGATAACCATCTGGGGCACAGAACATCATCAGCAAATCCAGCCAGTGGGTTGTATGGCAGTGAACGCATCATGGCTAATCGCAGCAATAATAGTACTCCAAACAGAATGGCTTCAGAAATTGTCAAAGCACTTGGACAAGATAATCATCTGCCCCCTATCACTTCATCAGCAAATCCAGCCAGTGGGTTGAACGGCAGTGAATACTTTTCTAAAGATGCTGGAGGAAGTCCTCTTTTAAAACTTGGTGTCTTCTTACTTAACATGACTGATGTGTAAAGTTTCTGTGTTTTGCAGGTACAAGCATTGATGACGGGCACGTGCGGCCTAATCAAATTGGTATACAGGTGCATGCTGTGATTTATTGAACAACACTGCTTCTTTAGTATTATGGGATTTATTGGATAATATACCATGTGAAATACGATTTATTGTGTATAATATGACTTCGCTTGTCCGACTCATTCTTTTTGTGATAACAAAGATTTAATTTTGGTTGTGTTATTTGACATGGGGGCTCTCAATGGGGAACCTACTGATTGAACTTTATTCCGATATAATGCTGTACAAGTTTCAGCACTGCTTAAATATATGCTTTTGTTTCTTGTTTTGGTTGCAATTCTAGTATTTGGTGGCCTTCAGTATTTCAGGATAATTTGTTGTTCATGTAATTTCCCTCTTAAATTTACCTGTTTACAGAGAAATATTGAGGGGGATCATATGCATATGGTACATAAGTACCCAGGTCCTTCAAAGACGGTGATGAGTGAACAACATTTGTTCAGCAGCCAAGGTACCTCTGGTGGTAGAATTATATCGCCGCCTGTAGAGAACATATTGCAGGTATGTCTGGCAGAGTGCTGGCTTTTTATAAGACTTTTTTTATTTTGTCCCCTCTCTTACATTGTTCATCCTATTTGTTTCTGTTTTCTCCACAACGTTCCAGTCATCTCTTAATAATGCAAGATTCTCAAGTTATTCGGGCGTGGTGGATGTCTCTCAAAATAGTGACAAAGATCTACGACCATTAGTTGAAATGGAGGAAACATTGGACAGGGAGCTGGAGGAAGCCCAAGAACTCAGACACAGATGTGAAATTGAAGAGAGAAATGCTCTTAAAGCTTATAGGAGAGCGCAGAGGGCTCTGATTGAGGCTAATGCTAGGTGTACAGAGCTTTATCGCAAAAGGGAACTGTACTCAGCCCGTTTTCGGTCACTTATTATGAAGGATTCCAGTTTGTTATGGTCAACTGGGGATCATGGCTATTCTGGAATGGATTTGAGTTCTGTAGGACATGCATGTAAAAACATACAGCTAATACCTACATCAATTCAGCAGCAGCAGCTGTGCGATGGTCAGAATTTGAGGTCTGAGCCTTGCAGTGATCCAGATGTGAGCATGTCTGAGCCGTTGCATCATGGCCTCAATAATGCTGCAACTCGAGGTAGCTCTCCTCTTGATGATCCAATTGTTTCAACAGATGAAGATGAAGAGGTATTTACGTCGAAGCATGACACTATCCGCAGCAGAAACATGCAGCCAGTAGCACATAATTCCTCGGAACAATTAAAAGATTCTGATCATCCTCAGGATAAGGACTTCTCTATGAAGGACTCCCAGGATTCGATTAATCTTGAGGCATCATTGAGGTCTGAGCTATTTGCTCGGTTGGGCATGAAAGCTTTTCCAAAGAATACCGTTTCATCATGTTTAGAGTCGGCAGGTGAACTGGGAACTGAAAATGATGATGCAAGTGAAAGAACTCAGATGAGCGATAGCAGTCTTCCTGTATTAGCTACTGAAGAGCACCAAGAATGTGATCTTGAAGGTAACAATTCAATTGAGAACGGACATAGCTGAGCTGATTAATGATTTTGGCATAGTCGCCAGGTTTTGCTGCATTAAATTGTTTGTGGTAGTGATATATAGCCCACTTGGAAAGCAAACAAGCATGATTTGCCTTCTTGCTGTTTAACATGAGAAGAAGGTAGTTGAGGATTAATCTGAGTTTTCTAATGGCATAGGACTAAATTTTGTTGTCTTTTGCATGACTCCTAGATGCTTCTGTTTCAATTTTCTGAGCAGCTTCCCTATTAGTTTAAATTGTCATGTCTTGAGTTTGTTTTCCTGGTTAGCTTGCAGACCAGTCAACAATGCTTCTATTTTTTTTTTTTTTTTTCTGTGACCTATCAATAAATCAGGACAATTGGATCCATTTGTGTTTACCTTCCTCCTGTAGTGGTTGACTGGACCATTTCATGTGTTCTTCTAGAGGAGGGACAAAACTCACACTTGTGAACTAGTCTCATGTGTTCACTCGCTTTTAGTTAGAGATACCAGAGAAGGTATTGCCAAAATAAAATGTTGAGCTCTAGCTTAAACGTTTGGTTGTCATAGCAATTCAGGGTGAATTATGAGTAAATAACTGGACTCCCAATTTAGTTGGAAGGGTCATTTCTGAATGTTTATTTTATGCTCATATATGCAGCCGATGTGGGCACCCACGTATTTTGTAGGAAAAATTTGCTATCTCTGTCCTCTGCATAGTTTATCTTTTAATATTGGTTATTTCATTCTTAAACCAGGCAAGGATAATGCTGAAAGAAGTATATCCAAGGCTCCTGCCCAGGACACGAACGTTGATAAGTCCTCTCACTCCACTGCTGATTCTGGGCGCATTGGGTACCCTACCAGAGGTCATCAATTGACTCCTGCTATGTTGTCAGCTCCTACAGTTTTGAGAAGTGTATTCGGACATCTGAAAGTTATATCCCCAACAGCTTGCTTAGCTGTGAAGTGTACAGACAACCAGAATCGCTATACAGTTGATAAATATGCCGGAGATAATGATAATGCTGGCTCTATGCTAGTCCAGTATGACAACGTAACTGCAACTTCAATGGAGGAAAGCAATAAGGATGTATATGCCATGGAAATTGGTTCCTTTAACACAATTGACAGATATGCTGGAGATAATGATAAAGGTGACTCTATGGTAGTCCAGTATGGCAATGTAACTGCAAATTCAATGGAGGAAAGCACTAAGGATGTATATGCCATGGAAATTGGTTCTTTTAACAGCAATGCCACAATCGATCCATTTTGGCCATTATGCATGTATGAGCTTCGAGGAAAATGCAACAACAGTGAATGTCCATTGCAGCATGTTGCAGATTTCTCTGCTGGAAATAAGAATCAGCATGTTGGCTCTCATGATTCTGGTATGAACAGTATTTCTAAAACTCTGTTTGCAGTATTGCATTCTGTTTCTCACGCTTAAATATGATTGGCCAGGTCGCTCCCCTGAAGTACAAATAGCAAGAACAGCAGCAAAACCATCCAACCTTGGTGGTATTTTGGAATTACCGACTTATCTGGTTGGTTTGGATATCATGAAGGCACATACAAAAAAATATGAATCCATTGTAGCATGGAAAGATGGAAAATGCTGGCAGAAAGCTTTCAGTGCTTGCTTGGCTCTTTCCAGTTTGCTCGTGAAAGATTTGCCTGCAAATGAGCTTTTTTTAAGTGGGAATGATGGTCGAATCGAGGTGCACGGGAGTTCGATTACACAGCTATCTTGCTTCCACAGTAGGAATAGCCAAGTGGTTTGTTAACTTCTATTATGTTCTACTCTTTGCTTGGGAACAAGTTTAGATTTTAGCCATCATATCTGATATGTGCCTTACTCTTGACTTATCCGCTTTTTCTCTCATCTTATGGAAGATCAACAACCATGTAACAGTTCATGGTGGTGCTTAATTTTGTATGTCGAATTAAAGTTTTATGTGTTTGTCTGTTATCTTTTTTTCTGAACAAGAGTTCTATTTCTCTATTTTTTGCTTCGGTGTTAGAATGTTTGCCATGCAGAGCAATGCCTGTATATGTTTGACTGCATGATATGACTATGCACTTTATTGGCATCTTTATCTTGCATAATTCTCTCATAATTTGCTATTATCTGTTTAATTTCAGAATCAAGCAATACCTAGTAGCATCCATGCCCTGGAAACATCCCTTCTTACTCTCTGCCAGGAGGTTAACAAAGTAGAGAATATGAAAAAGGTAAATGCTATGGCTAGCATATGTTTTCATGGTTGTATCCAGAATTTGAGTTGATTTGAAATCTTCCTTTTGCAGGCTCTTAGTATTCTGTCAAGAGCTATTGAATCTGATCCGGCATCTGAAACCTCATGGATAATTTATCTCCTTGTGTACTACAGTAACATCAAGTCCCATGAGAAGGATGACATGTTCCCCTCTGCGGTATGTGAATGTAGTAAGGGGTTTGCCTTTCTTATCTTATGATGTTACCACGTGGCTGCTTCAATTGGCGTGTGTGCTTCGTTTATCAACTAATACACAGCTAAAATAGAATTTTATTAAATAATCAACCGGCAAAGTTCTCTGTGTGCAGAGTTGTCATGGAGTAAAAGCTGGTCGATTAGTTATGAACTTTAAGATATAAATAGGTTCTTTCTATTCATTTTGCGAAACTGAAGAATAAGGTAATTAAATATGATTGACTGGGCATAGCCTCTATGACAGCATGAAACTGAAACCTAACAGTTCTGTAGGCCTGAACCAGTACTTTTGTCTAGTTGGGACTTTAAATTCCTTGTCTTGGAGAGATCTGCCCCAGTATTTTTAAGTTGAACCTCCTTTGATTTGCATCTCTGGAATCATGCTCAACTAGTCTAGTTCTGACTCGTGCTGCCTATTTATTTCCTCTAGAGATGATGTTTGGAATGCATTTCCTTTGGATCAAGTAGCTTGTTGGAGTTCTCCTATCTACATGTGCCTGTCCTCTTGTTATACCTGCTTTTCCCTCAACTTGTCTCTCGTCCAGTGACCTAACTACTATGAAATGCAAACTTTTTGTTGGAAACCATCTCCATTGTTCTTCAGGTTGAATTCAATCCTGCATCCTACGGACTTCGGCTCATGTACATCAACAGCCGTGTACATCTCAATGAGCGGTTAGCTGCATATATTGAAGCTATCAGAGCGCTTTGCCCGAAAGTCTTTGCTTCTGAGAATGGTGAAGAAATGCACAGCTCTTGCATCTTGGACCTGTTCCTGCAGATGCTGGATTGTTTGTGCATGTCAGGGAATGTCAATAGAGCAGTCCAAACAATTTATGGACTCTTCGGTTTGGCAGCCTATTCAGATGAGCCTAATTCTCTGTTGCTCTCTGATATCCTCACATGCTTAACAATTTCTGACAAATATGTGTTCTGGATTTGTTGTGTGTACTTAGTTATTTACAGGAAGTTGCCCATCACTGTTCTACAGCAGTTTGAGTGTCCGAAAGATCTCCCTGCAATTCAGTGGTCACCTGTTGATTTAGGGGATGATGAGAAGGTTAGAGCCGTTGAGCTGGTAGAAAGGGCCACGGACTCTTTGAAATTGTTGAGCTACAGTGAATCACCTGGAAGTGAAGCCAGTCAGAGGGTTGCTCGGAATTTTGCTCTCGGTCACATTGGGTGTCTGATGGCCCTTGGTAGGTTAGAATTTTGTTGGAGTTTGTTGGAGACATATTTGGATATGCACCCAGAGTTCCTAGAGCTGTTACTCGTGTCAGCAAGAAGCCAAGCAACAGATTTTGAGTGTTCAACCCTTGACGGATTCGAGAATGCCCTTACTAACTGGCCAAAAGAAGCCCCTGGAATCGTTGGGTTGTGGAATCAATATATTCAGGTTGCGCTCGAGAGACGAGGTCCTGATCTTGCTAAACAACTCCTTGTCCGTTGGTTCAACTCCATATCCGAAGTTACATCTACAGACAGTAATCATTCTGTTGAATCTTTGGCATCGGTATCAGTATCAAGCTCAGAGTTTTCGATGCCCTATTCGAATAGGATGGACATAATGTTTGGATACCTTAACCTCTCTCTTGCAAAATTGCTGCAGAACGATCACATTGAGGCACGTGCTGCCATCGACAGGGCTTTCAAGAGTGCAGTCCCTGCCTATTTCAATCACTGTCTGGTAGAACATGCTGCATTCTTGCTGAACCACGGGCAGCATCGGCAAACGAAGGAAGATACTTCTCCTATCAGTGAGCGGCTGAGGATTTTGAGAGGTTACTTGGACGATGCTCGGGATTTGTTTATACCCAAACCATTGTCCAGGGAATTCATCAAGACTGTTGAAAAGCCAAGAGTTCAGCAGCTCATTAGCAACATATTGAGTCCAGTCTCGTCTGAGTTCTTGTTGGTGAATTTGGTTCTGGAGGTATGGCATGGTCCATCTCTTCTACCACCGTGGGACTCAATAATCAACGCAAAGGAATTGGTCGATCTCGTTGAAGCGATCTTGGAGATGGTGCCTTCAAATTACCCTCTAGCGCTCTCTGTCTGTAGGATGTTGAAAGAAGGATCCCTGGACGGGACATCTTCTCGGAGTTTGCTATTCTGGTCGAGCTCGACATTGATTCAGTCCATCTTCCAGGCTATCCCGGTGGCACCTGAATGTGTTTGGGTTGAAGCTGCGCAAGTCTTGGCAGAAACCGAAGGGGCTGATTTACTCTCCGAGCGGTTTTACAAGAGAGCTCTTTCCGTGTATCCATTTTCCAAGAAGCTTTGGTGTCGTTATAAGGAGGTAGCCAAGGGTAGGAGTGGGCGAGGTAGCACCACTGGTGCTGTGGAGGAAGAAGCAAGGAAGAGGGGTATTGAAGTGGAATGAAGCTGTTGGTTTGGGTAGACAAGGCTGTGGTTTTCGTTTTAGCCGAGGTAGAAGTTTATTGCTCTCAAACCTGTACAGGCTTAATACTTACAGAGAATGCACTCAAAAGGGTTTGTAAGTTCGTTTGCTATACAAGTGAGTTTACGATATACGGATACGGATGGGAGACAGGAGGAGATAAAGAGTTATGGAGCTTAAAGGATAGGGAATTGAAGTGCTTAGGTACCATGATGATAAGTTGAAACTGCAGATTGCTGTTTTTGCATTCCTCTCTTTCTGTTTCTGTTTTGTTGTAGTTCGTTAATTAGTTTTGCTTAGATGCTAGTTAGTCGTTAACGAGTAGGTCAGTGTACTGGTTTAGTTTACTTGTGTCTTTCTGTATTGTTTATTTTCCTGCCTTGTCCAGTTTTGGTGGAAATACAAGAATATGATTTTGCTTAGTTGAGAATTTGGTGGGGAGAAGCTTCTTCAATCAATCACTACTATGCTGCAGATCCGTTTCAACGAATATATGAACGAATATATGTATCGTTATGTTTGAGCTGCACGAAAGCAAATTCTCAAAACAGCTCTCTGCAAAGCAATAGGTATTAAGTAGAGGAGAACGATGCATCGTTATCTTTTCTTGGGACTCAAGCAAATAGTTCGCCTCAAAGTAGAGGAGAACGATGCAAAGCAATAGGTATTAAGTAGAACAAGTCAGAAAATTTTGTACATAAAAAGAAGATTTAGGCTCTACGAAGGATCAGCCAACAATATTAATATAATCGATTTTGATTTCATTTGTTGCAATAAGAGTTTGGAGAATCTTTGAGGGGATTCTTTGTACTCTCATGTGCATGCTACTGGTAGTGTTGTACAATGGAGCAAATAGTCTCGACAAAATTCGACAATTGACCTAGTTATTCAGGTGGAGCTAACAGCAAAAGGAGTGTCTTAAAATCGAAGTCTACCATCTCCCTGAACCAATGATACTCTTCCGATCGCGACAGACTGGTTATTTTGAAAGGGCATTCATCTTTTCTCTCAGATAGTAAAGCTTGGCTCTTCTTACTTTCTTCTTGTCCAGAATCTTAACCTCCTTTATGTTAGGCGAGTATCTGCAGTCCACCCAAGACAATTTCCCCATCAGTATACAGTAACTAACATGAAAATTCTGAAGGAAACAATGCTGACAGTAATAAAGATGGGTTAACATGAAATGCACTAGATCAACAACTTCTGATAGACTGATACTTGAAGAGATGATTCACTCTGCATTCCATTCCACTTAAAACCGCTACTACTCAAATTTGTCATTGAGAAAGAGACCGAGCTTAACATAGCTCCTTTTGAGTTTATTTCGGTGGGGACCAAGCTTAACATACTTCTAAGACACAACATGCTGTCATTTGGTTCGAGTGGGAGTTGTGTTAGGTTGACTAAACCCCGGGAAACAACTAAAGATATTACCTACATCAGACATAATATAATGGAAAAATGGTCAATTTGGAAAGAATTGAGTAACTGCTTAGGAGCAGGACAAGGAGAAGTGCAAGTTGATATAAAAACAACCCAAGGATACTTACAACATGAAGAGAGACTCAACTCCAACTCCTGCTACCTGCCTTCTGATCCTAAATGTGGTGTTTATACCAGCATTGCGTCTTGCTATAACAATGCCCTTAACGGTTGAAAGACGCCTCTTATTTTCAGGCACTTCCTGCTCATTATACAAGGACCAGTATTCCAACAGTCAAACAGTTAAGTTGTGCATTATGCCGAACTCAAATGGGGGAAAGGATAGGAATTTGCACAAAATCAGTACCACTTTGAGTTGCACAATGTAACCAGGACGTATATCGGGTACTTCTCTCTGTGTTCTCACTTCCTCTACGGCCTCCCTATTGAGAATCTGCCAGAAAATAATAATGCCATTAATGTCCTGGTGAAATTACTTAGCATCAATGTGAAACTGGAAAAGGAGTTTTCACTGGAACTCAACCCCCATTAACAAGTATATACCTGCATTATGTTCCTTGCTGTTTTATCCATCCTCTTGAATTTGATTCGCGGTGGTACATCATCAAACGGTATTGAAGAATCTTGCGAAGTCGGTGCATCAGAGGAGCCCGCAGTTGAAATGCCCCTGCTTGGGAAAGAAGTCCCAAGAACAGACCCAGGCGATAAATTTAGACTAGAGCTTATCCCACTGCCACTAAACTTGGCGAGGCTCCCACTCTTCAACTCTGATGTCTGCAGGAGAGCATAGCCAAGTCAAGAACGCATAGAAAATCCCTCAGGACATCTAATGCTAAACTGGGTGATCACTCCATAACTTCTAATGCCATAAACCAACATAAAGCGAGTAAATTTTATATCAAGGAAACTGGAAATTTCTTTCCACGACATTGATCTCGTTCTTACTTGTTATACAATCGCGTGAATCAATAGGAATGGTGATTTTGTAAAGACGTATAATCACATTAATAGGTTTCCGCCCTCATTGAAAGAATAGCAGAACACCCGAGCGGACGAATCAAAAGGGGTAGTAGTAAGAGACCGTACCAGTAGCCGAGGAGACCCGGAAGGGAAATGGTGAAACGAGCGGAGAAAGTGATTCTTCGAACAGTGAGCGCAATTCGAAGCCGAAGAACAGAACACATGATTTCCACTGCCACAGTTAGCGAAAGAAGCACCTACTCCTCCGCTGGACTGCAATCGCGCAGTTATGGAGCTGCTGCCAAGGGTTTGCCTTCGAATCAATGCGCCGAAAACAGATCGCATTTCTTCTTCTGGGAATCGGCAAACGCGAAGATTATATTGGAAGTAAGAGACGGGGAAGTCTTCTTTGCAGGGGAAAGGTTTGGATTCGAGTATGGGAGGCGGATGCTAGATCAGATGGCAAGGACGACGGAGGAAACCCCGCCGTCTGTTCGACGGAGTGAGAGCGGCGACGGTCGACGAGAAGAGGGAAAGGATGAGAGACTGAGGTAGGCTCAGTCAGAGACCGGAAAGTCGGGGTTTAGGGTTTTCATTTACTTCAATGGAATAAAAGATGACGCGCGTCGTTTCAGTCAGGTCACCCGGGCAGATTTGATCGCAGCACTGTAATAATAATAATAATAATAATGTATTCATGTAGAATGAATAAGTGTTAATATCTTATTCTAGTCCGAACTATGACCAAATAATCAATTTTGACTAGTGGTTTGAGAAATTAATATTCTAATTCGAATGATATAACATATAGACTCAATTGGCCCGATTCGTTAATTTCCGTCAAATTAGATGGTTAATAGTGTTGACCGTTAGTAAATTAGCATATTTTACTGACGTGAATGCCATGTGTAACATCGGAGCTTGACGGCTTTGGGGAGTCTGGTGTCGGCTTTGGAGAAGAAGAATGGTTAGGGTTAGGGATTTTTTTGGTTTTGCTAGAAGAAGGAAAGAGGCGAGGGGATAAGGTGGTGGGTGGCCGAAAATAATTTTTTTTAATTAGGTAAAGTAATAATAAAATAAAATTGAGTTTTGATTTCTTTGGTGCTGACATGGCTGTGATCTGGACAATTGACTAATAGTCAACGGTGTTGATCGTCCAAACAAACGGTCAAATCATGATTCCGCCCAAATGAGTCTGTATATTGCAAAGTTCGGGGCAGGATGTTAATTTCTGAAACCATGGGCCAAAGTTAATTATATGGTCATAGTTCGGGCCAGAATAAGGTATTAACCCAATAAATAATGATAAATGTGTTGTTGTAATGATCAAGAATCTTTTGTTGTACGATGCAACTAAGTATATATCATGGTTCAGTTTCTGTGTAATTAGTGAGGGTTAAAGTTTGGGATTAAGTTCATTGTAGAAGCAAGTATGGCAGACAGTTTCAGTTTTTTTTTTTTTTTTTTTGTCTAAGGACATATTTGAAGAGCCAAGGAGTGTTATTTGAAAATTGGAATGATGCGTAGAGACAGTGTTGTTGAAGGGTTGACTCACACAAAAAACCACACTAGAAATCCCCTCTAAAGTCTAAGTTTTAAACTCTAGAAGGGAGCATCATAGGGCAAGTAAGTTTTAATTATCAACCAGGGCTGATCCATGTACCACTACTTCAATCGCTAAGGTTATTATCTAGCAAGAAACTTTTGGGTTTAGAACTAAAGGAACTACTACAAACTAAACAAGCAAAGAAAAGTAAATAAAGGAAAATTATAACTAAGGGAGCTTCACCCAGTAGTTGCTTCCCCCTAACTAGCTACCATGACTCGTTGGATTGAACAGAGTCGTGTGGTGTAGGTGGTTGTGAACCGCGAGGGTGGGCAACTAGTGATCGGTTTGTCACGGAATCAATTCACTAGCAATCGATTTGTCACGGGATCGATCCACTCACATCGTCTAGGGGAACCGCTAGGAGGAGCAACTAGTGATCCATTTGTCACGGGATGGGTTCACTAGATATGGGTTTGGTACGGAATCGATCCTCTCACTCAGTCTCTAGGGGTTGCCTAGTGCTCTCCCTCAAATCGGAGTTTGAGCGGCTTAATCACAACCAACCTAGATGCAAACTTGAGTCAAGGGGGATGCTCATTTCTAACCTAGATAGTAGGCGCAAAGTGCCCAGGAAAACCAAGCTTGTCAAACCTACCTAAAAAGGTGTGGTTTTGCTCTAATCTAGGCTAGGCAATCACACAAGATTTGGAAAGCACAATCACCATGAAGACACCTCTAATACTCAAATTGATGCAAACTCATACAAAATCATTCAATCTAAACAAGTAATTACAAAGTATTAGTTAGGGATCTACAACACCCAAGAGAAAAGAGTGAGTTTCTAGAGAGAGAGAGAGAGAGAGAGAGAGAGGAGAGATTACAAAGAAACCTCTAGATCTTCTTCTTCTTCTTCTTCTTATAGGCTCGATTCCTTGCTCCCAAGCTTGAAAAATGCCTTCAATTAAGCTCCAAGATCCTTATCTCACTCTCTAGAACTCCCCTATGGTGTTTTGGGTCGAAACCCTAGAGAAAGAAACCCATTCTTCTTCAAAAACCAGCTCCCCCTTCTCTCTCTCGCTGTTGTCTTCATATTTGCCCGAAAGTGACCAGTTCACGGACGCGTTGGCCAGTTCACGGCCGTGAACATCTAAACGCGTACGTGAACTCAGTGTCGTCTCCAAAACGCACCGCTTCGCTTATGTTGTTCACGGTCATTGGCCCCAGTTCACGGTCTTAGTGACCGTGAACTCCCTTTGCGTCAGTAACCTCTGAAACCTCGCTGGACTGCTATATGTTCACGGTTTGTGGCTCCAATTCACAGTCATAGGAGACCGTGAACTCCCTTGCTTGACCGTGAACTGCGGCTGCTTCCTGGACGCCAGCACTTCACTGTTGTGGGGCAATTGTCACGGTCTTTGGACTTTTCTTTGGATTTTGCGCTTTTTGACCTCCAATTATCCCAAAATTCGACCTCGACCCTTCCACACATGCTAGGACCTGAAACGTAACAAAACAAGCACAACCTAGCGTGAAATATATCGAAGAACGATGAAATACTAAACTAAAAGAATAAGAAAAGAGGGGCAAAATGTGTGCATTTGGGCCCGAATCAAGGGTTTTTAGTATCGTAACAGAAAAGGCATAAACAATGATGCTCATCCAAGTTTGAACGAAGCCAAGGTCAGCAATTCAAACTCCACGAACTATAAGAGCAATGAAAAGAGTTGGGAAGTTGGTCTAGCTTGTTAGAGGCTTAGAGCTAGAGTAATGGACAATAAAGAAAATTGAACTCATGATAGAAACCTAATTTTCGGGTTCATACCTAGGGATACTAAATCGGTAACCTTAGCATTCATTCGAGTGTTCATCCGCTTGCCTGGGTTTAAGAGAGCACATGTGGGGTATTCCTCGGGCATCATAACAATTTGTGGAAAACGTCCGTTGGAGGACGAGAATCGGTGGATGCGTTTTGAGACAAAGATCAAGATTAGGTCGGATTTCGATGTCGAAGAATTTGACGTTTTGTTGAGATACGGCTTGCTCACCGTTGAAATTGCCGAGAGCAAATCTTCGTCGCCAACAGCAGCGGGAAGCACACAGCTCACTAAACCCGCTGTCATAATCCTGCCGCTAACCGACGCAGCGAGGGAAGAAGATTTGTTGGCTAAGGGAAAAGAAGAGGCGGCCGCCGCAAAGGGAAAGGGTTGCTGCGGTTGGAAGGAGCGGAGGGGCAGGCAGCGAGCGAGCCACCGCCACAACAGGAAAAGACGACATGAGATCCTGGCGAGGCGGAGGTGGAGCGATCAAGTGAGGCTACATCACAAGCGGACGACGAGCAAGAGCGGACGATCGAGGAGGAGGAAGCTGCGCAGTTGAAGCCGCAGACGAGGTGACGGCAGTGATGTCATTGGCTCGAGAAGCAGTGCCAGTCGTGAATGGAGAAGTGGCATCGCGATCATTCGCATCTCCACCCGCCGCGACGACAGTGACGATGACAGAGAGGGAGTCAGGCATCATGGCTCCGGAATCGCCCTGGGAGATGGAAACAAAGATGGCGTCGTCGGGTAAAGACTCGAAGTATTCGCTGGTGAACGAAGAGGACGATGACAACTTTCTCTCTCTCCCGAGTGAGGGCGAGTTACAGTCGTCGTTGAAGTAGAAGCCTCAAGAAGACGAGCCATCGTCGGAGAACGAGATGGATTCGAGTTTAGCTTTCCACGGTCTGGTGTTCTCCTTGCCGCCGGTTGAGGAATCGAAGAAGGTGTGCGGCGCGCTAGGGGATAAGAACTCAAAGACTAGGCCGCCATCAGGCTGGCACTCGTGTCTTCTGGTGAGCCGCTCGCCGTTGGGAATGAAGTCGGAGATGGTTCTGCAGACAAAGGATGGGGAGGAAGGCGGCGCGACAAGGAATAAGAAGATGGAGGAAGGTGGTGGTAGCTAGGTTCCTCTTGTCGATAATCCTAGCTCGCAATTTTTGCCCACCTCAAACCAGCAATCATTTGTTCCTTCGGGTCGAATTGCTTGGGCCGTCGATCTGGAGAGGGTAGATGGAGCGGGCTGGGTCGAAGCCATTAGTCTTGGTCGCGGGCTGGCTTTGAATAAGAAGCTCAGTGGGTTTACATTGGGTCGATCCGAGCATGCGAATGGGTCTAAGGCAAGCAAAAGAAAGGCAAGTTGGGCTAAAGTAGGGATGGCAATTTCGACCTGACCCGATTTACCCGACCTGTTTGACCTGTTCTGGGGCGGGGCGGGAATGGGTACCTCTCATAAACCCGACCTGCCCTGACCCGCCCCATTCTCGACCCATTCTTGCCTAAATTACATGTAATCTTAGTCAAATTACTTAGGATTTTCCTCTTATTACATCATATTTTAGGTATAATAAAGTTGTAAATAAGTGAAAAACTCAATTTCTCCATCAACTTAACTACATTTTATCAAATTAATGTTTCTTTCTTGGTCTTTTAATTAAAATAACGAATAATTCTAATGTTTTTCGCATAAATTATATACCCAATAGGTCGACCTGCCCCGACCCACGCCCCATGATAAATTACCCGACCCAGACCCGACCTGCCACGGGACTGGTATGGGTATTGAGATACCCGCCCCGGACCTGCCCCATTGCCATTCCTAGGCTAAAGGAAGCAACGTGCCGAATTTTCAGGCAGGTTGTGGGCCTCTGTTGGGTTGTCTCATAAAGTCTCTTTTGTATGATCTTGGGCCAAAAATAGAAGAGAGTGGGTCGTGTTGGTAGAGAAGGCTTAAGCCCAACGTGCGCTATGATTTGAAGATTGACATGGAGAAAAGGAAAGGTGGGTTTATGTGCTTAGCTGGTGGACTTTTCAAGGAACATGACCCACAAATAAGGGGAGGAATAACAAAGGAAGTGATTGGGCTAGTTTCAAGAAGGAAGTTTGAAGGCCTTGATGAGTTGGTACTTGATGATGGGTTCTTTCACGAGAAAGTACATTTTGATTCATTAAGTTCCTGGAGCATGATACCAATGAAAGGAGAGCTATTAGAGTTTGACCTTGCCACAGAAGAGAATAGTGGGCCCATGGAAATGAAATTGGAAGAGATGGACCAACACAGGGAGATCAATGCAAGAAGACCAAGTGAAGAGTTGGAGCGTGACTGGAAGAAAAGGAAGCACAAGAAATGGGAAGTCAAGGCGAGATTTGCACGGACAACGTGGAGAAGTGGGTCAATCAACCTTGATGGCAAGGTTGGTCTCAAGGGGAAGGGGATGATAGAAACCTAATTTTCGGGTTCTATCATAATTATCATAATTACTATTTTAGGATTTATTTATATATGGTTAGTAGTCTTTGAGTCACATTAGGAAAGTCTATTAGGTTTTTCTGGTCTTTAACTATAAATATGTATATTGGGTCTTTGGTACAATTAAGCAGAAGTTAAACAAAGAATAATCTTCCCAAACCTTAAACTCTCTCTATCTCCTAATTTCTCTTCTTCCCTAATCCAAGGTTTCAGCCGATTCTTATTCTTTTCTTCTTCTTCCCCAATTTTATCCCCAAATCCCTAAATTCCAAATCACCCATCACAATCGATAGAACCCTAGAAATAGGTTTCTATAAACTCACAGTGTAACGATATCTCCGTTGTGGATTGTTTCGAGATATTTTTCTAGTATTTTACTTGTAAAAATGTCTAAGCTCTATTCAAACCTGATTATTTGCGAACCCTCCCCCGCATTTTATACATTTCAAAAAGCATTGATTCTTTATATGATAAAGGCCACACGAGATGTAACTTATCAGAGGAAATTGACACCGAATAACCCAATATCATGCCAGCTAAGCAAGGAAGATCATTAGCATATGACATACTCGATCTAGAACTATTATGCACATAATTAACCAGACAAACCATGACATCAATGTTCAACAAAACTCGTACAGATCTTACCGAAGTCGTCAATTAAAGACATTGATTTATTTGTTTAATCCTCTATGTTGTGTTGCTTTAGCTTATTGCCTTGTTGTGGTAAGGAGTCGTTCGTCTCTTGGAAAAAAAGAGACAAAACATAAAAGAGGGCTCAGACAAACCATGACATCAATGTTTAGCAGAACTCGTACAGATCTGATCAAAATTGTCAATTAAAGACATCAATTCGGGTTGGATCCGGTCCTTAAGCCTCATTGTTTAAGGAGGTTCTTAAACCATTTTTATTGGGTGATACTAGATTAGGTAGTTAATAGGGGTTAGTAGTTAATAGTTAGTTGGAATAAATAAGATATTATGTAAATATAATTAATATTACTCATTAATGATTCTCTTTCTCTCTCCCTCTTGATCTTCTCCATAACCTCTCTCTCCACTACAATTAAAAAAAATTCGAAATTAATTTAATTAAATATTATTATTTAATATTTAATAAATTCGAACTTAATATTTTTTGTTTTTTAAAATGAAAATTGAAAAATAAAATATATGCTCTCTCACTTTGTGACAACTTGCAATACAGTATCAACATTTTGCAATGACAATATCAACATTTATGAAATGAATCGTTATTATTATACCTCATCATTATTAACGACTTCAATATATTTATCAATTCCTTACAATTACATTATTAACAATTTTGGATCAATTGTTACTGTTTTATAGTTTCGTCATCAACGCCTATGAATGAATCATTAAAGTTATGTAACATGGTCATTAACAGTTTGAATAACAATATCATTGATTTACAACATCTTTAGTACTAATGATTCACATATTCACATCATGTTTATAACTATCTAGTCATGCCTCTTCCAATGATTTCTAATGACATTATTAACGTTTTATGATAAATTAATATTGCTTTACATTATCATTCTCATAAAGTACAATACTGATTTTCAACATCTTGGGTACTTGTGACATAGTGCACCTGTGTGATTCAGTCAAAAAAACATTGTCCAAAAAAATATTAGCTCAAACAAACCAACATTCACACCTCAACACTAAACTTTTAATAACAATCCAATAAATCATTGATAACGAAAAGTATTTCGTTGAACATAAACACAAAACATCAATGTAAAAATGTCAGACTTCAACATTATAAATGACGTCAAAATTTTTATAAAGATATTAAAAACTAATATTGATTGATCAAGTCACTGATAAGGAAATAGATTTTTGTAATAAAAAATATTAATAATATTCAGATGCAATGTTTAATGTCAAATAGCACTAAAAACGCATCAATAAGTAACATGTGTTTAATGGATAATGCATCCAAAAACTTTAATAATGATAGCAACTAATGATTTTAAGTACCTTATTAGATATTATTAATATCTTATTTTTCAAACATTGATAATGCTTATACACACCTATTAATAATGACACCAACTACGTTACTAACTTAGACGGAAAGATTAATAACCATAGTTATCACATTAAACGTAAATTCACTTTTGATAATGTCATAAACAAACGAATACCTAACAAGTATGCTTCTTGATAATGACATTTGACAAAGTTACAAACATAAACGAAAACATATTAATAATTCAAATCACTTAACATAAGCAATCTTACAAATGAAATAATTTTTTGCTAATGGTTGTATTGTGCTTGGAAGAAAAACATTGATAATAGCACTTCAAATGATTATAAATCATTGCGAACCAAATTGATAATACGATGTAATAGTAAATAAACTTCAAGGTTCAACAAATTGAAACACACAATTTCACTTTTGCTAATGTTACAAACAAAACATAACATAAAAAGTTAATAATGTCATATAAAATTATTAAAAAACATGTCGAACAACATTAATAATAACACAAATGAATACCTAACAACGAAAAACCCCAAACTCATGCAACAAAAAGCCCTAATGATGATTCAATTTATAAATATTGATAATGCCATTGCAAAATGTTAATACTTAATACTAATCGGAAGTTGCCAAGATGTGAAAGAGGCATATATTTTAAATTTCAGATTTCCATTTTAGAAAAAGAAAACTATTAAATTCGGATTTTATTAAATATTAAATAAAATTAATTTCATATTTTTTTAATTATAATGTAGAAAGAGGGTTATGGAGAAAATCATGGGAGGAGAGAGAAAGAGAATCATTAATTAATTATATTAATTGTATTTGCAAACCCCATTTACCCTTAACTACCTATTAACTACTAACCATTATTAACTACCTAATCCACTATCAGCCAATAGGAATGCTTTAAGCTTCTCCTTTAAAAATGAGGTTTAAGGACTTGAACTCAAGCCGGTAAGGAGTTGTTGGTCTCTTGGAAAAAAAGAGACGAAAATAAAAGAGGGCTCAGACAAACCATGACATCAATGTTTAGCAAAACTCGTACAGATTTTACCAAAATTGTCAATTAAAAACATCAATTTATTTTCTTAATCTTCTATGTTCCGTTGCTTTAAATGGTTGTGGTAAGGAGTCATTTGTCTCTTGGAAAAAAGAAACAAAAAATAAGAGAGGGCCCAACCGGTGACCTCTCTGCAGTCAGATGCTCTACCACTAAGCTATGGGCCCCTATATGTTAATAATTTCGTATTCAATTTATTTATAAAACAACAGACTAGCTATAGTTACAGACAAACCATGACATCAATATTTAGCAAAACTCGTACAGATCTTATCGAAATTGTCAATTAAAGACATCAATTTATTTTCTTAATCTTCTATGTTCCGTTGCTTTAAATTGTTGTGGTAATGAGTCGTTTGTCTCTTGGAAAAAAGAAACAAAAAATAAGAGAGGGCCCAACCAGGTTCGAACCAGTGACCTCTTAATCTGCAGTCAAATGCTCTACCACTGAGCTATGGACCCCGATATGTTAATAATTTCGTATTCAATTTATTTATAAAAACAACAAACTAGCTATAGTTACTTAATAAACACAAATTTAATACAACCATTCTAGTTACTCTACCACAATTACATTCTTAGCTTTCAGTGATCAAGCATACCAAATTAACTTTCAAACATAACACTTTAACTGTATTCGTTCAGTTTCATATTAATGGAGAAAAGTGTTGATGTGACTTGAATCGGACTATCAGCCGCTACGAGTGGTAGTCGGGGATCTCGCTGTTATTTGGGTTCGGATTCTGGGCCTGGTTTGTAACTGTTTCCTTTGCCAGATTGGATTAGGTTTAGACCCACATGGAGAAGTACTATAAATACTTCTCATACTCCTTTGTAATCTGTAATCTCCTCGATATAGTGAAACTGGCTCTCTCTCGCCCATGGACTAGCTAACACACATCGTGTTAGTGAACCACATAAATCGTGTGTCTGTGTTTTTCGATTCTCGCTTACGTATTCCTGCTTTATCGATTCCGGCAATTTCTCGATTTGTAGCAGCGCGTTTATAACAAAAAGTATTTGGCTGCACTCGTACTTGCAACTTTAAACTGAATCAAAATAGATTTCATTATATACAATTCGACAATCAAAATTAATTGTTTAAAATGCCACGATACAATCACTTAAGATGAGAAAAACAACGATGCTTCAATTTCCATGCTACTTTTGGAAGGTTTATTGCATGATTTCAATAGTACATAAAAATAAAAGAACCATAACAAGGTTTTCAATGACGGAGGGGTAAACAGGTCGGCGGACACTTTGTTTTGCTATCGTTGTTGTTATTGTTTTCATCTTCCCTGCATATACTCTGTTTTGCAGGTCCTCGACGAACTAGGGATTGAGGACGGCTGCTTGAGTGGCGACTATCAGAAAGGAAATCCGATCCAAAAGAAGAGCAGCTCCGCCGTCACAGGAGGAACGAGTCCCGCCGGGGTACAGTCGGAGAAGACGGTCGGGAGAAAAAATAGAGTAAAAGAATTCAGAAAAAAAAAGTGAAAGCTTCATCAATCTTTCTCTCTCTACTTCCGCCCCAATTTGGGGGACTTGTTCAAACAGTAGTTTTGCTCCTCTAAATGGCCGCCCCCCTACTGTTCAAAACTTTACCAAACAAGTGCAAGTTTATTGGGAAACGGATTTGCCCCTTGTTTTTACGCCCCCCTCTACTTCCCCCTCTTCCCAAACATAGCGTAAAAGACTTAGTATGAAAAATGTAATAGAGAGAATTAATAATAAAACAGAAATGACATAAAACAAAAAACAAAAGGCCTGCCTCTATATATTTCCTATCTAGAGGAAAATGTTAGCCTTTAGGTAGGCTTCTTGTTTTAAGCTATTCCATTAATCATCTAGTAAGAGCTCTCTTCTCTATCTCAATTCACAGACAATCAAGGGGAAAAACACAATGGCATATTGAACCTAATTTCCAGTGCGTTAGGCTGGGCCATAAAAACCCAATTTATCCAAAAACAAGGCCCAATCAGACTTCAGCTCCACCCTCCTGATAAGGTCTTGGATCCATAACAAGGCCCAGGTCTGCAAATTTCTGTGTCATCGTCGACAAAGGCACCAAGCAAAGCCCTCTATCTCTCAAGTCCGACAATTCTCCATCACGTTCCTTCTGCAACAAGTAAAATCCCATACAAAGAGTTTAAGTTCGTTCCAATTTTATCGAATGTTTCCAAAGGAACGTTTGAATTTCATTCTTAGATAATATGCTTCTAATAATAGATTAGAGTATTTTTTTGACGATTTGAGTTTGATACACGAGTTTTGCTTCGTAACACTTACAATGGTTGTTGTCCATGCCTCGTTGCTTAAATCACCAGAAGCCTCGAATAAGGCCCTATTACTCAATATCTGAAAGACACATTTTGATTCGTATTTACGTCGGTTAGAATATTAAGAAAATCAAATCATCGATATAAGATCTAGTCTTAAAACTCGTTATAATTCATATTTAACGAGTAAGGGGAATCATTATACTTGGATTTGTTTCTGGAGGAGCTTGATGTAGAGGGAAGCCTCTTGGAGAACAGAAGCTGTATCTGTCTGCAAAATGGGAATCAACAAACAAATCTAAGCTTAAAAAAAAAACATAAAATTCAAAGGGAATTATAGCCAGAAAATGAGGTGGATGCAGGCTGCAGACCTTGCCGTATGGAGACACTAACTTCTGGAGTGCTGTGATTTTGTCACTTAGCTTCTGGCTTCTCCTTGCTGGAACCTGCAATTGCTGGATCACCAAGTTGGCTGATTACAAACTGCTGTCAATTACTCACATTATTGCTTAGTTTTTTTTTTTTTTTCCATCTGTGCAATTCCCACATAACAGAATAACATTTCTAATTTAACTGTCCATTATCCAGAAGTATTGACAATGAAAGGTTGCAGCTTTTTTAACAAGAGTGACATTGCTGTGATAGATGTGTACCTTGAGCTCTTGGATCGTTGTGATGGACGACTGATCGTTCTGTTGCGGTTGATGCCATGCCCCTGCAGATGTAGTACTAGTACTGGACTTCTTCCTCTTCCTGGTATTTGTAGTAGTGTTCTTGGTTGCTATGCTGCTAACTTCAATTGATCGTTTCCTCCCTTGTTTGCTGTACAATCCCTGAAAATTGGTGAAAGGATCTGTCACAAATTCATGGTTCCTAAGCAATGACTCTACCAATATCGATCGACGGATTGATCAATCAATTACATTTTCATTCTCTGCAGCAGAATCAAGCTTGTTGGTCACCACCATCGACTGGCTCGAAGTGGTGTCACAGAACTGGGAGGATCCATACCAAGCTGCTGCATCGAATGGCAGATCGTAGCTCGTAACGTTGAAGGATTCTTGCTGATGATGAGGAGGAGCAATGTGGAACCCTGCTGCTGGAGCAACAATTGATGGTGGCTCCATTTGGTAATTGCTGAAAGCTATGGAGTCCCAGCAGAAGCTTGAGATGTCCAAACTTGGCATCACCTGAGCTTCACTGACACTGCTACTCCCTGAAACATAACCAACAAAACAATGAGAAACATCAGAAATTGCTTCATGGGATGTTAGTGCTCATCATCATGGGATTCAATTGTTGTTACCAAAGTTGTAAAGCTGTAATGAAGATACTGAAAGTGGAAGGACAGAATCCCTCATTGTTGTGCAGAAGCAAAGAGTGGAACCCAGAAAGGAACAGAGGGAATCTGATACAATGTTGTCTGAGTAAAAAGGGGTTTTTAAGGTTTCTTTGTGACAAGGGGAAGGAGTAGATATATAGTCACATCTGAGTCGGCCTCTCTCTAATGTATAATTTTAGTGTACAAAAACTTTCATGCACAGTTTATGTGTTCATGGTTGCTGTCTCTGCTCTTTGTATCCATCAGTAGGATCAAGAAAGAGCCAACGGGCGGCTGCATAAGGTTTTTAAGTACTGTCTTAATTATATGATTTTGATCGGTTTAGTTAGTCTAATCTCTCTTTCATATGGGTTTGACTTGGGTATTCATTTGTTGAAAACTCTTAGCAGCTAATGATTTGTCTGAATTAGCACTTAGGGAGGTGTTAATTAAGTTGGGCCGGACTATGACTGGTTATGTCAATCTGTCAAAGGTTGGTAAATCAAACCAAATCTTTGATTTCTTACAATATGTTTCCGAAAGAAGGAAAGAAAATGGAGGGAAAGGAAAATTTGGAGGTGAAGGAAAAGGAGGGGAGAGAAATTTGAAAAGGATAGAAAATGTTGTTTTACGGAGGAAAGTGAAAGAGAAAGTGAGAGGGAAAAGGTATATTGGGAAGTGTGATATATATGTTAGTTTATTGGGTATGTAATAGTAAAATAATTAAAATTATGTGTTGATGTTATTTCTATTACTTATAAGTTATAAATAATGGATAAAATTTATTCTTTTTACTAATTTGATTCACCATTAAAAATCTCGTTCATTTTTTTTAAAAGTGCTATTATTGGAAAAATCCCTTTTATATATTGCGTACGTTATACATGACATAAATCACTCATTTGGTCGGGTCCAAATATCAAACTGATCCATTTTCTTTAACAATTATAAAATTCACGATCGAATCGCATTACACTCGCTTTGGTGTCATATGGTCCAAAACAATATTTTTTGGTAATATTTACTATTTCCATTAATAATTCGTGAATAATTAACAAGGCAAGATTAAGAATGATTTTATGGTAATACTAATATCACTTTGCTAATTCCATTTTTTTTTTGACTAATTTATGCAAACACTATCAAGAAACGAAACCAAATTAATTAAGAGACAAAATAGGATTAAAAAGTGGACAAAATATTACCACCGCCAGAGAAGGAAAGGAAACCAAATTGAAAACAAAAAGAATAAAAAGAGAAAAGGAAAGGAAAGTCGGACTTTCCGCCCAAATCGGAGGGACTAGTGGAACAGTTCCATTTTCGTCGCTTTTCCCTCCCCTCTGTCCTGTTGAAACGTTCGGAAACGGGAGAAACCTTCTCGGGAATGTAATTTTCCGCTCAGTCTTTCCCTTCCCTTCCTTTTCTCTCCTAAATGAACATAGTGTAAAAGCTGGGGTAAAAACGAAGCAGAGTGTGCTATCTCTGTCTCCTGTTCCAAATCTCCAGTTCTAGCCTTCCGAATCCATTCCCTAAAACAATACAAACTCAATAAACATTAGAGGTGGCAAATGGATTGGATTGGTGGATCCATAGATCAAATAGATTGGATCTAATGGATTGGATCAAGTGGATTGGTGGATTATCCATGAATCCAAATGACATCCTCAACCAAGGACCAATTTGTAAAATGTAAAAAGTTGAGGTACTAAAATGTCATAATGAAAAATTTTAGGTACCAAAACGTAATTTTACAATGATATTTTTCGTATAAAAATTTTAATTTTAGGTACCAAAATGTAAAAAATAAAAATTATAGGTACTAAACCGTAATTTGCCAATGATCCATAGATCCAATCCATGAATCCACCAATCCAATTGGATTTGGATAAAATGGATTGGATTTAAATGGATTGGATTAAGTGGATATTTTTAATGGATTGATGGATTGGATTGGTGGATTGGATTGAAATTGCCACCTCTAATAAACATAAAGTAACGATAGTTCGGGCAGTGTCCCGTCACACCGGTATTTTTGGAAGTGAAAAAAAAATTCCAACATATGTAGAATTTAAGGATTGAACCAATAATCTTTGGGTTGATTAAAGTGTTTTTATCAGTACACTACAAGCTGATTCTTGCTTAAAAGAGGACACGGGTATTTTTGAATGAATTGTTTAGATATTAGTTTTAATTATATTAATTATGTATTTATATTTTGAAAAGAGGACACACAGGTATTTTTGAATCCTAACTCCGCCACTGGTTTTAGGTTAGGATATTTCGTACAAATCCAAAGTTAAAAGTGTATCATGAACGCACAACACTAATTAATCCATCGTTAGTTGGTTAACTATGTACTCTTACCATCTTCTGTGTTGCTTATCACTAGTTTGGTTAATAATTTTTGGATCCAAAAATATTATTGTAGCTACGAGCCAAGAATATAATTGACCTTTTCCTAACTAGTCATCTTTAATAAATCATGAGATACTCCCTTTTAAAAATAGATGTTACAATAAATTCATTTCTAATTAGTAAATTTATTAGATACGTACAAAACGTTATACTATACATTTAAATGTATAACAAGAGACCATGATGACCAAAACTTGAAATGAAATCTGTATCATTAGTCTAAAATACATAATTAACATGTAGTTTAGTACGTAAGCTAGATATTAGAACGCATGCAGGCCCAGCAACGTTTAAAAAAGTGAAGTGGCGGAGGGTTGTGTTTGTCTTTGCCGTACGTATTTCACAAAATCCAATTACCAAATTTGAAAACTGTATCAGGATTAATTAAGCTATATATATTTGTGTACGTGGACGGAAACAGAAAGCTAATTACGTTGTCGTTGTTAGTTAATTCATTGGATAAGAGATAATATTACAACTCAAACCCGATTCTTCTTCAAACAAAATTTCAACACCAATTGTTCCCAGCATAGAGTTTATTAACTAATTAATTAGCCCAGTAGCTTAACCTTAATTGAGTTTCAAATATTTATTATGGGAGACATATTTAATATTTTGTCCTGTTTCAAGCAAGATAGATTAGATAGCTCATGAATCAATAGCCTGAAAAGGGTGACAAATGGACTCTACACAATTATTTTGAGAATCTTAAATCAATTCCCTATTTATCACAATCACATATTTGGTATTGCCACAGCTTCCTAAAGAATGACAAATTGGCTGCATATATCTTTGGAGATCAAACAAAAATCGGAAACACAAACACATGAGAAACAAATAGTACCATGTGTTGTCGATAGTGATGCCGCTACGACTACAATTTTTTAATTTTCGATTTAATATGATGACATGTATATTCATATTCTGAGAAAACGTTAAAAAGTGGTAGAACGCAAACGATTACACCGATTTCTCAAAATTTTACATTTAAAATCATCGAAAGCTGTTATAATTACTTATTATTTTCAGCTCTTATATACTAAATCCAAAGTCGCCATGGTTTGTCGAAATAAAGTTATAAGAAAATGGAGGAAGTATATGTCCATTGGGCCAAAATGCATATATAATATACGTCAATGAACTCAAACAAGAAGTAGTCTGCTATAGTTTGCTGTCTGCATGCAGAATTACGAGCATTAATTAATTACAATTAGAGTGGGGGGGACATCGTATGTATCGCCGGATCAAACCTAATCCTAATTAGCATGATGGACGTAACAAAAGTTAAATTATAGTATCGTGTCCAACTTTAGTTAATTCAGAATCTAAATACCGAAAAATTTAAGAAACCCAAAATTGATCACATGTCGTGCAGGCCCCATTTCATAATTGAATATTACCAGTTGGCAGTGTTTTTATTTGCCTGTTGTTTCTTCTTTGGTAGGACCTGAGAAGCTGCAAATTGAACAAACACGGGCAACTAATTAATATGGCTCTGGCTCTAAACAAAATTTAATTATCGGCATTGTTAATTAACCATACTATAATCACAACAAGATGATCATCAAGGTTTAGATAATGACTTTCGATGAGTTCTACATCCCCATCAATGGTCGGCAGAAGAGGGAGGTCAACACTCCACGACAGGTCCAACCTTTTTCAACTTATTCGTTTCTTTATAAAGACTTGATAACTTATAATTTATGCATGTTTTCTTGTCTTTGTATATTTTAGCACATTTGTCATGTCGTCATTTTGGACCAAGTTTGTTGGCTTCCCAGTTTTAAGCTTGTCTTCAATTGTTTTTTTTATGTGGGTTTGTCTTAGATCCTTTTTTTCTTCCTTTGTTGAAGTTTTAGATCTCGTTTGCTATTGAAGTTTCTAGATCTTAACACATCACTTGGACAAAAGGATCTTAAAAAAAAAAAAAACTCAATAGTAATTACAGACTAAACACGAGTCGTGTTCTTGGCTGATGTCTTTTTACTAGAGCCACATATATTATGAAGGAATTCGGTACGAGAGAATAATGTCATATTCTTTTAGAGCAAGAATAGGGCGAACACACTAGTTTTGCATTGGAGAGGAATAGTTAAGAAAATTCTTAGATATTTATCGATCTCGAAGTTCAAGAGTTAGAAGATTTGATGACGTTTTCCGAAAGTCATATCAACTTGCTCTCTTCCTTGTTTGTTTTCATATTCTTCATAAACTAATGCTACCTTGTATTTAAATAGATAAATCCAGCCAATACATTTCATTCGAAGTCCAAATCTAAGGGATCGTTTGGAAGTTGAGATTCTTCAAATATGTGTATTTGGTGAATACATGTATTGTAAATAGAAAGATTGTAAGAATTAGATGATTGGAAGAATGTCTTGTTTGTTTGTAGCCATTCAAAATTTTTAAAGAAAAGAAAAAATCACTTTATGAGCTAAAAGTGTAACATATTAAAGTCCACAATCTCAAAGGAAGAATCTCACTTTTTTGTTGAGATTTAGGGTAAATACAATTTAATAGCAAACCTTTCGTTTTAAACAAAATAATAGCCAAAACTTTTCGAAAACAATTTAATAGCCAAACCGTCAACTTTCCGTCCAGTTGACTGTTAGTTGACTATGACGTGGCAAAATTTTAAGTGAGTTGGAAGATTTTTGCTGATGTGGCAGGAAGTCAAACGTTTGGCCATGTCACATAAATATTACATAATTTTATAAAATAAATTTTGTTATCATACAAATAAATTAAATTTAGATAAATAATACTAAAAGTAAATGAAATTGTGAAATTTCTCAATCACTTCAGAACACCTATCCTTCTTCTCCGCATCTCAACCCCTTTCCGTCGATCAAGCCCTTTTCCCAGTCGTCCTGCGCCGATGTCGAGTAACTTCACAACCAGTTCGACCATTTCCCCATTTGTCGATTCACCAATCGTCCGTCAAAACACCACAAAGCCTAGCCCTGTTCTTTCTGCTCTGGTCGATTCCTCTTCTCGGCAAAGACCAAACGCCCTTCCCTCCACGAATCCTCTCGGATTGCCGCTCAACTGGCAAGAGCCGTCCCCATCAATCGAATCCGACAATTGGTTCAGCATCCTTCCCCGATCTGGCCCTCTCTAGTCTCGACCCGCCACAACGCGACCTTGATTCTGGCAACACTTATTCTTCTTTCTCTGACTCGTAAGTCGTATCCACGACGGCAACATATTCAACTACAAGAAAAAAAAATTCTCTTCCCCGTCCCATTCAGGCGACCGCCGCCGCCGCGTACTACTGCCGTCATAAGAGATTAATAAGATTCAGATCTCTGTCTTGGTAGATGTTGTAAAGTGGAGAATCAGATTCCCATTTTTGTCCCGTAAGAGATTGAGTCTCAGAAATGAAGATGTGGTGGTAATTTCAGATGATGCGTCCCAGGATCAAATCCCTAATTTTGGGTTGCCGGGGCGGCCATAGAACTCCATTTTAAAACTTGGTGTGGTGTCTTTTATCCAAGTTCCTGAAGCTTCCTCTGTAGTCGATCCTGAGGAACGAATCCCCATTTGGGAGAGGCAAAAAATTTGGACTTTAGAAAGTGGAGTGACTTGCTTGGCTAACGAACGATGAAGAGTCCCCTTACCGCCGAAGAGGGATTTGTATATAGAGAGAGGAAGTTGAATGGACTAATTAGAATAGAGAGAGAGTTGAATGGATAAGCTTCATCTTTATTTTTTATTTTGTTTTTCTATTTTTAAACATAAAAATTAAATTGTAAAAAGAATAGTAATCCATGTCACATGGTCAAATATTTGACATTCTGCCACATCAGCAAAAAATTATCCAGCTCACTTAAAATTTTGCCACGTCATAGTCAACTAACGGTCAACTGGACGGAAAGTTGACGGTTTGGCTATTAAATTGTTTTCGAAAAGGTTTGGTTATTATTTTGTTTATAACGAAAAGGTTTGGCTATTAAATTGTATTTACCCTAAAAGAAATTAAATAAATAATAGTAATAATAAAAAAAAAAGGAGAAAGCACTTATCGGCGTAACCGCCACTGTCCGGAATTGTAACCGCCAATGCCAATGGCCACTTCGTCGTCTTATCGAGCCCTCCTCCTAGCGCCGTCGTCCTCATCCTGTCCTCGTTCGTGGTCGGCGTCTGATCTCCCTTTGTTGGTCGCCAGAGCAAAGGACGGGAGAGGAGTCGCCGCCGCCATCATCGGCCCTCTTCTCTCTTATTCGATGCTTGGAAAAGCATTACCCGGTGTCGCCAATATCCTGGGTAGAAGATTCGTCGTCGTTGGACTTGAGAGGAACGACGGAGACGACGACTTTAGCGATGGGGCGTGGAGGAAAACGTGAAAGAAGGTTGTTACAAATGGTGTTGCTAATGTGAAAAATCCAAAGCAAACTAATCAAAAGGGCTTTTAAAAGCCCAATATGACAAACCGAGAGGAGCCCATGGCCAGCAAACGCAAGAAAATACAACGATTTATTTTGAATCCAGCCCAGTTACGTTATATTTATGATGGTGGGAATTATCCTAGTCTTATATAATTGATTCGTCTTCCTCCAAAACCCTAATCCTTTCAAGCCACCGTGACAGCCGTAACTCACCAGGTTTGTCCGCCGGCATACCTCAATTTCTCTTCGGACTCTCTTATGGATTTCTAAGCCTAGCTGTTCAGATTTTTTGTGTGTCGGCCGTAGAGAGGAGCTCCTTCAATTCGTTTCTGTACGTTTTCAATGGATACGCATAGTCTAATACTAGCAGGAAAATGAACTATAGATCTCATATTAGTTTACTTGCTTTTCTGCTCAGTTCTCCCGCACAGTCTTCCCTTCTGATATCCATGATCTCCTGATTTTCTCTAGTCGTTGGGATATAATTGTGTGGTTTTGCTTCTCGCCCACTGTATTTCACCGTGTGGTGGATAATGTTTGATTCTTCTGGCTTTTATGAACAGGTAAGAAGTTGTGGGTTTTGCTCTGAGCTCCCAACAATGGCGCCTAAAGGTATTTACCTTTTCTTTCTTGTTTAAACCCTTTCTCGTTTTCACGATGTCTGAACATAGAAGAAGTTAGAAATGAGTTCCTTAGCTTCATCTTCCTTCCCCCTGGGTTGCCGTAGTTGCATTGATGGTGTTATTAGTGGGATTATGTTCTTAGCGGAATCTGAGGGTCAGAAAGATGAATTGTTGCGTTTTGATAAGGCCTGTGTCTGGTTTTGAAGTTTTGAATCTGCACCCATTTTCGCAGCTGATGCTACCAAGAAGGCTGATCCAAAGGCGCAGGCTGCCAAGGCAGCCAAGGCTGTGAAATCAGGGCCTACATTCAACAGGAAGGCCAAGAAGATCAGGACTAAGGTCACCTTTCACCGCCCCAGGACCCTGAAGAAGGAGAGGAACCCCAAGTATCCTCGCATCAGTGCACCTCCAAGGAACAAGCTTGATCACTACCAGATTTTGAAGTTCCCATTGACCACTGAATCTGCAATGAAGAAGATCGAGGATAACAACACCCTTGTCTTCATTGTTGATCTCCGTGCCGATAAGAAGAAGATCAAAGCTGCTGTCAAGAAGATGTACGACATTCAGGCCAAGAAAGTTAACACCTTGATCAGGTTACCATGACATTTAAGCTCTTTTGAAGTCAGATTAGTGTGAATTTGATGACTGGTGGATTCAGGATTGATTTTTTTTTTAAATCTAAAACTGAATTGCCCTTGTCCGTGTTTTCGCTGCAGGCCTGATGGAACCAAGAAGGCTTATGTCAGGTTGACTCCAGACTATGATGCCTTGGATGTGGCAAACAAGATTGGGATTATCTAAATTTCATTATTTTGTACTGCTTCTCAGACTCGAGCATTGTTTTCAAGTTTTGGACAGTTTTGCTAGTTATGTGGTGTTAGCAGAGTCCATCCATGTCTGTACCTGTCTTTCCTCTGGAGAACTCAAGTTTTCAATTTAGTTTACCGACCTTTTCTTATTGATGTTCCATTATACTTCTAATTTGTATCCATTATCCTATCAGTGGATGGTCCAGAGTTGTGACTAGCTGTGGTATCCCACGTAGATAATCTGCTGAATATCGTTCATCAAGTTCATGCGCTTTAATATTGAATTTGCCTAATTTGTCAGCCAAGAAACACCAGAAGGAAGATAGAGAGATGTATATATTTGAAACTGGAAACTGGAAACAGGTTAATCAATTTTGGTGATTATTAGCCTTATACAACTCTGCAAAATGCACAGCAATTTTGTGCTTTCAATAGGAAACGAAATAGGTTCGTCCTCTGTGAGAATTGTCACTTCAGAAAATTGGCAACTTTGAATGAATCCACGATTGTCTGCAACTGATCCTTCACCTTCCCCCATCTCCTTTCATTAGCTCCTGTTGTCAAGGTGTATAGCTTTCCTGCAACATACATGAGATAGAAGATGAACTGTTGAATCTTATGTACTATGTAGCAAATGGGTTCCGACTTCTGAATGAACCCATCTTTTCTTGAAAGCAAAAGGAAATGAGTTCACTTCACCTGCAACTTTTGACAGAGCCTTAGCGAAGGAAAGTGAGATGCGTACCATTGCCAATAACAATTGCACTAAGGGCGTGGCGGGTGAAGTTGGGAGCCTGAGCTACAAACTCGAATGTGTAATAAGCTCTTCCGTCAACATCTTGCTGCAACCATTAAAATGCAACTGTCTTCATATGAAAGCAGAGAAGTAACGGCATTTGATGGAAGTCTCGTGTGGTTAATCGTTTATGATGAAAACCACATTCAAAATCAACAATGCATTCCTCCAAGCAAGATTAAGGCCGGGAAACAAGAGCAAACCAACGAACCTCCTTGGCTTCAATGAGTTTGGTCTTCTGGGAAGGAGGGGCTAAAACCTTTTTGATTAGTGTTCCTGCAACCTGATCAGGGGGCCCGAAATCTCGAATATCTTGCTTGTTCGTCGGAAACACGGTTACACTCACACTTTCAAGTGGCTCAATCACATCTTTGTACACTTTATCTTGACCTTCAATCGTCACTTCCTGGAAAAAAGCAACATCAATTGTTATGCAAGTTCCGAATAAGCAACAGAGGCAAGGGCAGCAGCAAAGCAAGCAACAGCAGAAAGAAGGCCATACTTGCCAACCGAATGGGTAGAGGAATGAGTATCCATCCTTATTGTCCGTCACCGGCAGGAATCCCTTTTTATTTTCTGCAGCAACTGAACCATATCAAGGATGGCCTCTTAGGACTAGTACAGAAACCATTGCCCACCACCACAACTAGACAGAGAGCTTCCATTGCTACATCATAGTATGTATATGAAGCAAGCCTGCACTTGGGTCAATGGGCACTTACACGAAGTAGAAGAAGAGTCAGCAGCCAGAGAAACGAAAGGGGCAATCATCCCAACAGCAACCAGTTGGCGTCTCCCCGATGATATAGCTGCAATAAACAACATAGAGTGCGAACCATTTGGAACCCCATATTTTGACTAAACTTGACCCATCAAACTGGTCAATTCGTCGACCCTTTGCTATAAAACGTCCAATTGGAAAATGCCAGAAACCCCATTGTCAAGTTCTGTCGCATTAAGAAAATGCCGACTCAGCAAGCTTAAGTGAAAGTGAAGGCAACGAGACTCACTCGGAGCTTGAGAATTGGAAGCAGGGGAACTAAGCGAAGATTGGTCGGCTCGAACAAGAAACGAAACCCCTCTTCCTTGCAGCAGCTGCTGCTTCTGCAACCCTCCAGCCTGCTGCAAAACCCAACAAGAATAATGAGCCCATTACAAAAGAGAGCAAATTAAGGTGATTGGGGAGGGGGAGGGAGTTGAGTCTTGGGGAAAACAGAGGACCTGGTGAGGGAAGAAAGACAATGTGCGATAGAGAGAAGGCGCGTTTTGGAGGGAAGCCATGGCCGGCCGAGCGGCTGTGTCAAGGCGGAGAAGATACAGATTTGAAATGAATAGACTCTGGGTCAGGGATGGAAATGGGAGAATGGTGGTGGTGATGATGATGATGGCCGTGTGTTTCTGTGGTGGAGACTAGACGAGGAGAGGGCCTCTTCTCTTCTTCAATTGATTCTCTTCTCTTCTGTTCACGCTGGCTTATCCGTTCTTGTTCAGTTTTGGTTTTTCCGCGAAAGGTCCTCTATTTCCTTTTTAATCAACAAATCAGTCCTCCCTCTTTGATAACGGCCCAATTGAGTCCGGCCCAAAATTTCAGTAGGCCGATCCAGAGGCCCAGTCGGAAAACAGGTGGTTGCCCTTAAAATAGTTAAAAATTAGAGGGGAAAGAATTTTTAATATGAATTTGATTAAAACAGGTTTAACGTGACAAACTAATATCTTTACTGCGTCCAAATTTATTATAAAAATTAATGAAAAAGATTTTATGATAAAAAGGAATCGGGAGAAATTTCGTTGAGGGAAAAAGCGAGAGAAGGACAGAACAGGTGCACTGCACTGGCAGAAACAATATATTAATAGTAAAAAATTCACTAAATTGACAGAGAAAAAGTGCCATTAAATTAAGAAATAGTAGAGAAACTGAACCACACGCGCTCCAGCCAATGCTCGATCTCTTGCCTTGCTTGCTAGTTTGCTAATCTCACCGGCCGCCTGGAGGAAAGTGTGGGGTTCTTTTGTACCAGCTCACCACAGCTGGATGCTCTGGAGAAAGGATCCGTTCAGGTCACAAATGCCAAAAAGAAAAAAAGGCCGCTAATGCAGAACGAACATTTGTTTTCTTATTATTTGCTTACAATTTGTAATTAAGAAAGAGATAATTTCATTGTTCACACAATTTCACATGCTTTTGTCTCGTTTTAATTAGTGGCTTTAATCAAATGAACGGCGGCGGCCGTCGACTGCGCTGCGGGCTGCTGCCTTGACAGTTCGCCGCCGGTGATCAGGTGTTTCTTTTGCATCTTGGACTAATCGAACAAGCCGGCGATAAAGCACAAACGTGTCGATTTGACCGGTGTGCTTCCAAGGAACACCTTTTTATCAAGTAGTGTGTAATGTAAGAGGTGAGTGGGGGATCCAACAATTTTACATAGGGGTATCTTCTTTCAAAAATGAAGTAAAATAATTATTAAATAATAAAAATTAAATAAGATAATTCACAAATCGTACATGTTAAAAAAATTCAATGATGTATTTTCATATTCTAATTTTTTTTTATAAAATACAATTGGTGTTTACACTCCTCAACAAATTTGTCTCGGTATATCCTACTAGACAATCTCACGAACTGATTCATATTTGACTTCTAAATTTATTCTTGATGTAACTCAAAGCTGAAAAGACACTTTCAACACTTGGTCGTACAACCATAAAATCAATACAAACTAAGGGTAACTTGTAATTAGATTAATTGTTAGATTTCGAAAATAATTAAAGATAGAGAATAGGGTTTTGCTATTACACGATGTTTATAATAGAACAAGAAAAAAGTTGTAGTCTAATGAAAATTATATTTATTAATAATAGTAGTGTCCCGGGTTTGAATCACCCAAACTACCACTTATATTCTCATACGCAAACTACAAATGAGAGTAGGATAATCGTTCTTTCAAATTTCAGGGCGTCCCAAACTATTGATTATAATTTTTTTTTCCATACGTAAATTACCACCAGGAATTGGATAATCGATTTTCCCAAATTTAGGGATGTCCCGAGACACCCCTAAATTCCTCCGCGTCCTAAGAGATTGAGTCATTGAGATTGAGTGTGAGAACTGAGGTTTGATGGGGAACTGAGGTTGGATTTACGAGAAGGGGAAGACGAGGGAATGAGGGGGAATGGAAAGTGAGTCTTACCATTAGTAAAAATATTCTCTTATCCATTTCATAGTTATAGAATATATAACACGTTAAAATCTAATAATTTAAAAAACACAGAATAAGTAAGAGTAGCTCAAAAGATAAAATAACTCGAATGTAATGTTTATAACATTTTGTTACTCACAAATGACTAAAAATATATGATAGATGTATATGATATTGATGGCTAAAGCATAGGTTACTTTTCTTGCAGACACATCCTATGATGGCTAAAGCAAAGAGACTTTTTCGTTTCGATAACAGATGGATCAAATGTCGGAAGCTGAGTTAATAATCACTTATGCTTGGAACCTAGAGGTAGCAGGCTCAATTCAATACTGCCTATTTAGTAAGCTTCTGCGAACTAGACATGTGTTGGTTGGTTGGTCTAGAGGAGGAACGTCTAACTCAGCAAGGTTAATAAACGACCTAAACCGCGCACTAAAAGAGGCTAGAACTAATGCTTTGGTAAACTGGGCCTTAGTCAAATCATTGGAAAAAGAATTGACTGTCCAATATAATTGGGAAGAAATATTTTGGAGACAAAAATCCCGAACTAATTGGCTACAAGGTGGGGATAAAAATACCGCTTATTTCCATATAGTCACCGCAGCCAGACGACAAGCCAATACAATTTGGGGCCTGGAAAATTCCCAAGGGTCATGGTGTACTGCAGAACACGAGAAATTGAACATGGCGGTGGATTACTATAAAGACCTCTTTCTAACACAATGTATGTCCACAATTGACTTATCCCACCTCCAGGTAGAAAAAACAATGGACGAAATCCAGAATCAAAGTCTAATCGCTCCAATAACTCAAGAAGAAATTAAGAAAGCGGTGTTCAGCATAGGCAAAACACAAGCCCCAGGCCCTGATGGATTTACGAAAGGTTTCTACCAAAATTATTGGGAGCTAATCAATCAAGATGTGATCCAAGCAGTATTGGCTTTTTTCCATTCTGGGCATTTACTAAGGTCCTTCAACCGTACTTGGATATCTCTAGTCCCCAAGGTAAACAACGTAAGAACCATGAAAAACCTAAGGCCAATCAGCCTTTGCCAAGTGATTTACAAAGTCATAGCAAAAATTTTGGCAGATAGACTGAGTAGAGTGCTACCCGGGATCATATCCCAAACACAAAACGGGTTTATCAAAGGGCGTCAAATTTCTGATAACATCCTCATCAGCCATGAAATGGTTCATCATCTCAAAACTTCAAAATCCAAGAAAAAAGGTGGATGGCAGTGAAGTTGGATATGGAGAAAGCATATGATCGTATAGAATGGCCTTTCTTGTTCGAAATGATGAGGATTCTTGGTATACATCCTAGATTCATTTCTTGGCTAAAAGAGTGTGTCACTACAGTGTCATACTCGATTCTCATTAACGGTTCCCCATCAGAGTATTTTAGACCTTCAAGAGGACTAAGACAAGGAGATCCTCTATCGTCTCTCATTTTCGCCATCTGTGTCGAAGGATTTTCTAGTATGATAAGGAAAGCTACCTCCGCAGGATACCTTGAAGGAGTCAGAATCCGCCCTAGTTGTCCGATAATTTCCCATCTATTTTTTGCGGATGACTCATACCTATTCTTATCCGCCTCGCCGGAGTATTGTACATCTCTCCTTTCCCTTCTTCAGGCTTACGAGGATCTGAGCGGTCAACGAATAAACTTAAATAAATCAGCCGTCCTTTTCAGTCACAATACAGACCCTTCCCAAGCTCAAATTATGGGAGCTCAATTGGGTGTTGGTACCATAGGAGAACACGACTCTTATTTAGGCCTACCAACTATCTTATCTAAATAAAAAAGAGAGACATTCCAGTTCATGGAGGAGAAGCTTATTAAGAAAATACAAGGGTGGAAACAATGATCACTTTCAAAAGCTGGGAAAGACATTCTTATCAGAACATCGGTCACTAATATACCAGTTCTAGGTATGTCATGCTTCAAGCTCCCCAAGGAAAATTGTAGGCGCTTAAACAGTCATATCGCAAAATTTTGGTGGGGTACGACACAAAATTCAGAACACCCAATCCACTGGTTGTCTTGGAAAAGCCTAGCTCACAGCAAGTTCCATGGAGGTCTTGGATTCAGGGACTTTGAAGCCTTCAATCAAGCGTTGTTAGCTAAACAATGTTGGAGAATATGGACCAATCCAAATTCATTACTCTCCCAAATATATAAGGGTCGATACTTTACCCAATGCTCGGTGTTGGAAGCATCAATTGGTTCAAACCCTTCGTGGGGGTGGAGAAGTCTACTCTTTGGAAGAGATCTGCTCCTACAGGGACTAAGATGGCAAATAGGCAATGGGCAAAGAACCCGAGCATTCATTGACAAATGGGTTCCGGAAGATAAACCCTTAACCCCAAGTACTCGACCCCAGATTCAAAATAGATCTCCTATGGTATCTTATTTCATATAAGAAGGTCGAGGGGAATGGGACGTTTCAAAACTTGAGAATTGCTTTGAACCTCAATATGTTGATCTCATAAGGAAAATTCCTCTTCCTCGATGATCTCAGCAAGACATTAGAATGTGGCATTATTCCAAAGATGGAAAATACACAGTAAAATCGGGTTATCACTTAGCTCTGGAAATAACATTGGCAACAAGTCGAAAACCGATAGTGCATATCATCGATCCTCCAATTTGGAAAAAGACTTGGAACATCCAAGTTCCGCCTAAACTCAAGTTCTTCATATGGCAATGCCTCAAAGTCATACTTCCAACAGCAGTGACCCTTCAATCTCGTGGAGTAAACTGCCTTAAACGATGTCCTGTCTGCTGGAGACATAGAGAAAGTATTGAACATTTATTCTTCAGATGCCCCATAGCCATTAGATTGTGGACTTTAGTGGGATTGAGCAACTTTATTGAGACCGCCCAGACTGTTAACTTTAGTCTATAGTCGCGACATGTCATGGTCTCCGAGACCTCCCCATTCCACATTCTCCAATGCGTTTGTTTACTTTGGAGAATTTGGAAGTCTAGAAATGAAGTGACCTTTGAATTTACCCAACCTCATGTCTGTTCCCTAGCCAGACAGTTCTACAACCAGGTCCTCAAATTCTCCAGTCTTCTTTCCCCCCTTCCTCCCCGCAGCTCTCTACCACCAATCACGCCTGCCACCACTTGGGTCCCTCCTCCAGAAGGTTTTTTGAAGATCAACGTCGGCGCAGCCGTCAGTGCCTCCGGGTGTTCGTCTGGGCTTGTTATCCGTGGGTCAAACGGGCATGTGTTGTTGGCGATCGGGTTGCAGCATCAAGGAATAGTCAACCCTTATCTGGCTGAGTTGCTAGCGCTCAGGGATGCTATCTCCTTTGTGGCCTCCAGATCCTTTACCCATGTGATAGTCGAAGGTGATTCCGAAGTGGTCGTCAACCAAGTCCGTCAAGGCGTCTCAGAAGACTCGATTGGTGGTCCGGTGCTTCGAGAGTGTCTTCAGATCCTTAGCTCTTTGTCTGTTTGTATATAGTTTAGGGCGGTACCTAGATCCGCCAACAGTGCTGCCCATAGAGTGGCGCGTAAAGCACTGCTTTTATCTCTTGTAGAGCTATAATCTTTTGATTTCTTGGGGTGGCTTCTTTAGAATCTATTAGGGGTCCTGGGTAGAATTTTAAGCTTAATTATTTTTTCTCATTGATATCTTCGTGCAATTGGGTTTTCCAGTCGGGGCCATGGCATTTCAGAGGTAATATGATTTTCTTTCGAAAATGGAAATCAGGTATTCAACCAGTCGTCCCTAAGGTAGAAACTCTGCCGATTTGGGTTAGGATTTGGGGTCTCCCACTTGAATACTTAGCGCCAGAAGGTTTGGAATGGGTGGCAAGTATGATCGGTCGTCCACTCTGGATGGATCAGAAGACGAGGGTAGGGGGACAACTAGGATTTGCTAGGGCTTGCGTTGAGCTTGCTGCTGATTCCTCTTTCGCGACCTCTATTCGCATTTATCCAAATGACGATCCTCCGTTGGACATCATAGTTGAATACAACAATTTGCCTCAGGTTTGCAAGAGATGTAGTATGTTTGGGCATAATTGTGATAGAGGTCCTCAGAAAGTGTGGGTTCCTAAGAATCAGATTACTGTGGAGGCTCAAGAAGAGGTGTTAGTTGAGGGGGTGGTCGAGAAGGCAAATACATAAGCCATGGCTGAAAATGATGAGGTCGATGTTGAGGCTTTTCTGAATGAGGTGCAAGCTAGTGTCATCCAGAGTGTTCTTAGTAGCATGGCTGATGAAGTGATAGGACAGTCTCAGGGGGCTGATGAAAATGGCTCTGCACGAGCTGCTACCAATACTGGGGATTTAAAAGGGAAGAATACTGTCTCTCCTTTATCAAACGAGGGGACTTGAGTCAGCTTTGCGGAGGTTGTGAAAGGGTCAGCAGCTTCGGTTGGGAGCCCTAGCACACCTCTGCAAACATCTGTGGGGACTAAGCCATCTTCAAGTGAAGGGAGCTTACAACCTAAGATAACTGCTCGGGTAAACTTGACAGGTTCTCGATTTGCAGTACTGGACAAGGAGAATAGGATCCCCCCGTGTATTTGGATTGAACCTCTGGATGGAAAGATTAAGAGGAAAGGGGGGAGAGGTGGTGGTAGGGGGAAGGGCCGCAAATGAAAATTCTCTCTTGGAACACCAGAGGTTTTGTTGCAAATAAAAAGTACTTAGCTATACTAGATAAAATAAATAAGCTTGGTTTAGATGTAGTCGCTATTTTAGAGCCTTGGGTAAGTAGAGTTGAAGCTCAGAAGATGCAGCAGAAAAGATTTGAAGGATGGGGTCAGGAAATTCTGTTTAATGAAGAAGGTTTGGGGAAAATCTGGATTGTATGGCGTGTTGGGATTCAGTTGACTATCATAGGGAGGTCTGAACAGTTTGCTCAAGTCTTAATTGGAGGGAAGACTCCTTTCTTTGTTACATTTATCTATGCCTCGAACAGTGAAAGTCAGAGAGAGGTTCTATATGAAGAAGTGGCTCGGTTAAAGGTTGATAGGGTTCCATGGATTCTGTTGGGAGATTTTAATGCTATCAGGGACCCTAGTGAAGGTTCAAATTCCCCTCAGTACTCTACTAGTATGAGGGCTTTTAATGACTGGTTGGTGAAAATTGAAGTGGAGGAACATAAGTCAACATGGCCTTGGTTCACCTGGCTTAATAAGAGACAAGGTAATCCTATTGCTCGAAGATTGGACATGACTTTCATAAACCTAGCTTGGCTGGATGAGATGAAGAATAGCACAGTGCAACTTCAATTACCTGGAGTGTCAGATCACTGTCCGGTTTATGTTCAGACTGATGTACCTTTGAAGACCCTCCCCAAACCTTTCAAAATTTTAATTTCTGGCTTGGGCACCCTACTTTTGAGGGGCTCCTGTCTCAGGCTTGGAATGAAAGTGTGAGTGGTCCACCTTTGATCAGGGTATGCAAGAAGCTTAGGATATTAAAAGACCTTCTAAAGAAGCTTAACAGAGAAGAATACTCTGATATTAGAGGTAGAGTGAGGGAGAAGGAACAAGAACTGGCCAAAGTTCAATTGGATGCTCTCTCTAGTCCTAATCCAGTGACCTTTGAGCTTGAAGCCAAGGTAGCTAAGGATCTCTATGATTTGAACCAGGCAGAGGAAAGTTTTTTGAGACAGAAATCCAGAGAGTTGTGGTTAAGGGTGGGGGATACCAACTCAGGATACTTTCACAGATCAATGAGAACAAGGGCTAAAAGGAATACTATCACTTCTCTTAAAAATGAACTGGGAAACTCAGTGGACACATTAGAAGAAATGAGTCGGGTGGCAGTGGGATTTTACCAGTCTTTACTGGGGAGGGTAAATCCTCATGTTGAAATGAAGGAAGTTGATTTTTACAGGGGTTTGCTTAGGCATAGGTTGATTGACACTCAGGTATCATCCCTATGTTTGCCTATCACTGCTGCTGAAGTGAAGGATGTCATGTTCAGTTTTAATGGTGATAAGAGCCCTGGGCCAGATGGGTACAATGCCAGATTCTTTCAAGCTGCCTGGGGGACCATTGGAGGTGAAGTCATCTCTACAATTCAGCACTGCTTTGTGGTAGGGAAGGTGCCTAGAGAGGTAAATGCTACAATAATTGCACTGATTCCTAAGATTCCGAACCCTAATGAGATGAAATATTTCAGGCATATATCTTGTTGCAACATAATCTATAAGTGCATATCTAAAATCATAGCAAATAGATTTAGTGCTCTTCTCCCTCTGGTTATCAGTAAGAATCAGACTGCTTTTGTTCAGGGAAGGGTTATTGGGGAAAATATTCTTCTTGCTCATGAGCTGGTACAAAAATACTCTAGGAATAATATTTCTACTAGGTCAGCTCTAAAAATTGACCTGATGAAGGCATTTGACTCTGTGAATTGGCAATTTCTGCTTACTGTTTTAGAAGCCATGGGGATCCCTGCACAGTTTATTGCTTGGATTGAAATGTGTGTCACTAGTCCTATGTTAAGTGCTGCTTTTAATGGGGGATTAGCTGGTTACTTCCCTGCAAAACAAAGCTTAAGGCAAGGTGACCCGCTCTCTCCTTATCTTTTACTGTGGCTATGAAGGTTTTCTGGAAGCAAAACATGGGAGATTCCCATATCATCCTATGTGTAGGAAGATTGAGATGACACACTTATGCTTTGCTGATGACCTCTTAGTTTTCTCGAATGGTTCAAATTACAGTATACAGTCTGTACAGAGAGTATTGAGCACTTTTCATAAGCTTTCTGGTCTTCAGTCTAACCCTAGCAAGTGTGAGATTTTCTTTGGTGGGTTAGAGAAGGAAGAGATGGTGGCTAGGTCTAGCAGATATGGTTATCAGTTGGGGGGGGGGGGGGTTCCCAGTCAGATACTTGGGTGTGCCTGTGGTGGCTGGAAAGCTCTCAGTTAATGCTTGGAAGCCGCTCATTGATAGAATTACAAGAAGACTGTAGGGGTGGAAAGCAAAAGCACTTAACTATGCAGGCAGTGTTGAATTGATTGGATTTGTTCTGTACAGTATGTCTCAGTATTGGACGACTGTTTTCACTTTGCCAAAGACAGTTATAAGAGAAGTTGAGAGGATATGTAGCAACTTCCTCTGGTCTGTTGGCCCTGGTTTAAAGCTCAAAGCAAAAATGGCATGGAAATTCTTGGCTATTCCAAAGAAGGAAGGTGGGCTTGGACTTAGAGACCTCTCAACAACTATGCGTGTGTATTCAGACAGATATGGGCTATCATGCTTCAACATGGTTCGTTGTGGGTGGCATGGATTCAAAACTACAAGCTAAAAGGGAGGGACTTCTGGACTGTGACTGCAGATGGATCCTGGAATTGGAAGAAGCTGCTGAAGCTTCGAGGTAAGATTCCTAACCTGTTTAGCTTGAACAATGGCGAGCTTTATTGGAACAATGTTGTCATGCCAAGGTATTCGATCAGAAAGGTTTGGGAGGTTATTAGGCCAAAGCAAAGTGAAGTGAACTGGTACAGTTTACTATGGACAGGACCCTCTATTCCAAGGAACAGATTCCTAGTGTGGCTTATCATCCGGAACAAGATCCAAACAATTGATCAAATGAGAAAATGGGGGTTTGCTGGACAAGATAAGTGTTATTTGTGTGATCAATTTGCTGAGTCGAGGGACCATATATTCTCAACCTGTATGTTTTATGTGTCCGCTCACAAGCAGCTTTTTGGTCAGTTTACTCCTTTCCTTCCTAGGTCCTGGGAAGAAAACCTCCTCTGGGCTACCAGAAAGTTTGGGGTAAAAACGCCTTGTGCAATGGTTGGATGCTTGATTTGGCAATTGCTAATCAGCTATACTTGGAGAGAACGGTGTAGAAGGGCTTTTGGTGAGAATGGTAAAGCTTCTGAGACTCTGGCCTCTCTTGTGAAAAGCGAAGTAAGGATGTTGATGCAGGATTCTGACCTCCTGGATAAATTTTGGGCTGCTGATACTTAGTTTTTTCTTTATCTTCCCCGAGAGCTTGGTTGTTTTTTTAGTATTGATCTGTTATAAGGTTTTCATAGTGCTGTTTTTGTTTATTGGTTTTCTCAGTTTGAGGTAGAAGAACTGACCTATTGGTCTCAGGTTTTGACTCCTAGTTGGCAAGGATGTTGCCAACGCCACTTTTTTGATGAAATACTAATGCACCGATTCATAAAAAAAAAATATAATAAAAAAAAAGATGTATATGCTATTGAATACATTCAATGATTGTTGATTGTGAGATACGAAATCGAATGACGTAAACTCTAATACAAACCTTGTGATACACAATTCTTAATTACATTGGTTCACAATTATGTAAGTTTTATTGATATGCCATATAGCATGACTACTAAGGTACATAAGATATCATGACATCCAAATTCGTTTCATTGTTATAAAAGCTTTAAAATTAGGGTAATGTTTATTTTTTATCATGGTTCAAAAAGGCACGCTTAATCTTACGCTTAGGCACGCCTAGGTGCAAGGCAATGACAAAACGCCTCGCTTAGGGATTTTGCGCCTAATTAGATACTGGAACACGTTAATGGAGTACGACGACATATAAGTCTCTCCTAAACATTACTAGATGGAGCTAAGAAGCCAATACTAAATACCAAAATTAACATCAAATATGAAATCAAGTTTCTATTGCAATATTTTCAATAGCTCAAGAACTTTGTGAACTATTGAGCTATGATTCTATGAACTCGTAAGCTATATTCCTGTCATTAAATGTTGAGTAAGTTATTAATCATTTTAACTGAAGTGAGGAAGTTTTGTAGATTATTATTTCATTCATCATGCACTGCGAATAGCTATTTTCTTCCAACGCCTAGGCACGCTTAGTCAACGCCTAGGCGAGCTAGGCGCAAGGCAAAGGCTCAACGACCGCCTTACGCCTAGCACCTTTTTGAACCTTTTTTTTATCTAAACCCTTTTCAGATTTTTTTTATATTATCCAAACCTATTAAAATGCTATTAATTAATCAAATCTTTCGTAATGCATCAAAATATTAGCAATTTTTATGTTATCGTTAATAATTTTGTAACTATTTTGTTAATTAAAATACTACGATTTTGCAATGTTAACTTTCATGTGTCTCTTCCAAGTCAGTAGCATGTTGTGAAGTCAATATTACTAACGCAATTGCTAACTGAAAATTACATTTATCTGTGTCAAATCTCTCTCATAGAAAGAGGGGAAAAAAGAACGAACAAATGCAAAAATGAAATGTCCGTAAAATAGCGGGATTAAAGTAAATTATGCATTAATTTACCCCAAAAAAATTATTTCGTTTGGCGACCGCGGTTGCCTGGCTGAAAGCCTGAACTTGCTCTGTGTCCGCCTCTTTTGACTCAGTCGTCTTCTTCCTTCCTCTAACCCCAGATTTTTTTTTTACAAAATTCCCCATTCGCCCGATTTTCCTTTCGCTAGAGAAAAGAAAAATTCTCCATCTCCTTTTCCCGGCCGAGAAAATCACAAGCAAACAGAAAGGGCGAGAAAACGAGAGCAGAAACGAAGACAGGCAAATTGAGGAACAGTCGTGTGGTCATCACCTTCAAGCTCCCATGCTAGGCTACCTACTCAACAACCAGCCAACATCATCCCACAGTCATATTCTTTCATTTCGTCGTGGAAACCTGCCGACT